CTTATTATTATTATGTATTATCTTGTGTTCATACGTCCTCTAGATCAGTCATTTAAAACTATTTCAGTGATCCAGAAACTAAAGAGTGCACGTGTTCGTACGCATCAAAAAAGGCCACTTCAATTTTCCTATTGAAAACTGGTGCTTATCTCTTGTGTTTTTCCTCTCAAAGTTCAAGAATCTCGCCCGTTCCCCAAAACAGTGGGAATAAACTGGAATGTACAACACGTAAGGCTAACCAAACGAGGTTTAACGTTTTCGAATAATCCTGATGGCTCCGCTTATCAGCCAAAAAAAGGCAGCTCCCGGGGGAGTACTCCTGGCAATTCTTGGTGGGGGTGTGCTGCCCGGTTCTCCAAATCCTGACCCGATTCAAGACCTAAAAATGTATTTTTCCGTACCCGTTTTCAGACCAGTCCTCCAAACTCCACACCCGTTTTCATACGTGGCCTTTAGGCGGAAATTATGTGATCATTACTTAGATTAGAGCGCAAACAAACAAACTCATCAAACCATTTCGAATTCTCATATTTCTCTTTCGTTCTTACTCATTTGGAATTGAAACGATAAATACGTTCATACACTCCCGTAATTGCCCCGAAAACCTTAACCGATTCCAGACCAAAATGGGCAAAGCGTATACCCGTTTTCAGACCAAAACGGCGCGAAAACCCTACCCGATGGGGCAGCACATACCTATATAGCTTATATAAGGGAGTTCCCCCCCCCCCGGAGGGGGCAGCTCTCGGTTGTATAAATTCTGTTCAAACTTGTGTTTGAGAATGAAAGTGTATGGTAATGACTTTAAAGTAAAGGAAAATACAATTTATGCCCGATACATCCCATCAATAGGCAGGACGATTTCTAACTTTGATAAGCTGTTCTGGCAAATTGTCAGTTCTTGAAAAACAAATTCTGTTGTTGTCCACGACTTTACCACACGCAAACACACGAAGGACTTAACAACTGCTGCATGCATAACGCGACCCTACGCGATGGGAGTTGGCCAGCATACTAAATAACTGATAAAAAACGCAAATATTTAACAATTTTTCCTCCAGCCCGAATGGGCTCTGAGTCAATAGCCCATAGTAAAATAGTAAAATCCAACTAGCTGGTCAAAAATATCGAGAATAAAAAAAAATTAGCTAGTTAAAGCTAGACTTTAATCCTTTTTTGCCGCCAAAAAGCCAGCGCTTATCGCTACTAGTGGGCTATAACATATAGCCTAGTAGTAGCTCAACCAATCAGAACGCAGCATAGATAATAGACTACTAGTTGGATTTTACCAATATCCAGTAGTCTGTGGGGAAACGATTAAAGAGGCAGGGATTGAGGCTGTGTTTACCTCTGAAAAGATCCCAGCTAGGCCCCTGTGGTAAAGAAACAGATCAGACAATTCGAAAATGTTAGTTTAGATACTTCACTAAGATGATGCCATGTTAATAGTATATATATTATATTTCTTACACCTGTGTGTTCTTCTCTATTCATGAATACTGTTGTGTCTGACCAAATAAAATACTTCCTTTACCTATAAGCTATCAACAATTTTTTACTACATACACGCGTAGGACCGAGGAGCATTTGCAGATATACAAGAAAGTAATGCAAAAAAGTGCAATTAAAACTTTGAGTGCTATCCTTCGCGTGAATAAACTTATTTTTATGGGGCTAATATAACTCGCTTTGTAATAAAAGAACTGGAAATATTTTAATATTTTAAAACAGAAAGGTCATTTATTTGAGGTGAAGAATTCTGTACAAGTCCGTTGAATAACATCCCTGGCCCGTTTCAGATTTCTCTTTTTCCCTAATTATGACGTCATCAGACACTAAATTTAAGGACTTTTAGTGGTCATTAAGACTGAAACACTTCTCCGCGAATTATGAGGTATGGCCAGGACCTTACGCAAGCGCACACCCAGATCACCTTGGAATTGGCAGCCACGGACAACTGTTTCGCCCTTTTGATTGGGAGCTCATCAGAGTGATCATTGCATTCAGATGGTTCAGCACAATGACATTATTCAGTGTTTACATGTACTAAGCGTCTATACTCAAGGGATTAAGGCCTGGCTTCTGGGGTCAAAAGAGTGTTGTAAAATATGCTTGATTGGCAATCTCTTGCTAGGATACCCTAACGAACAGGATAAAATTTTTCCCGAAGGGAAATTTGGGGTTTTCAGCAGCAGCCTTGACGTATGTTTATGGTCACGTCAAATGCCAAATGATCAAAAGTTTGAAACAAACCACATGATGAAAATGTAGAAAGTAATGGCGATCGAGGAAGCCTAAAGGAAACCATATGAAGCTAATGAACGTTAATTAGGCCTCCCCTAAATTATAAGTTTTCAAAGATGACATAAAAATTACGGCGAAGGATACAATCATTGCCAAAAGTTATTATTACAATTATTATCATAAATGTATTAGAAGTTTACGATTAATACAAATACAAATTATTGCAATTATCATTATAAATGCATTAGAAGTTTACGATTAAGGTGTTTCGATACAGTTTTTCAGAAGTCATACCGATATTTTTCAATCGCCCTAAAAGTGTTTTTTTCCTTGTACCATCGCTATAACATTTTCACCAGCAATTGGCTATAGATTAAAATTTGTGAAAATGTAGCTTTAGGTAAAATCGATATTACTATGACAACAATAAACAAAAAAATTGAAATTGATAAAAGCCGAATTTTGTGTGATCTAGGCCAGCTTCTGAAAATCCAACACTAGAAACTTAAAGTTTGGTGTTAAGCAAATAACCTCAGCAAGAAGTAAAAAAATTCTGTGTGTTTGAATTCGACTAAAACGAAAATATACTTCAAACCTTAAATTTTCAATAGCCGTGATAGATTATTTAATTAAAACGTTAAAAATGACTCAAATTATTCTTAAGTAGCGTCAGAATGCTGCTTAATATCATATTTTGATGCTAGGAAATTTTGGTGTATTTTCGTGCTTACGATCTCGAAAACTAACCCGTTTTCTCACCACTTTTATTAGTACAACTTCATTCAAAATTTGGACTTTTAGCGCTTTTTTGCATACCTCTGAAACGACTCGAACGAATTTTTTTTAAAATCTCTTCACATAATCTTCATAATGTATGTAATAAAGCCTGAAACTTTCATTGAGATTGACTCACCTCAACATTTAAAATTTCAAGACAAACCTATCCTACGAACCTGTCAAAAATCTGCGTTACAACATTCACCGTTTTGACGTTATGCTAATTTTTCCAAAATAACCCTCACTACACATACCTCCATGACTAGCACATTTTAGTTTGAATTTATCGCACTTTTTGAATGTAAACATTGACGATACTCTCACTGAAGTGGCTAGTCATGGATACATGTATTGTTGCTAAAAGTCCAAATTTTGAATGCACTTGCACTTAGACGGGTGGTGAGAAAACGGGTTAGAAAACTAAAATACACCAAAATTTCCTCGCATTGATATATGATATTTAGAAGCATTCTGACGCTACTTAAGAATAATTTGAGTCATTTATAATGTTTTTATCAAATAATCTATCAAGGCTATTGAAAATTTAAGGTTTGAAATATATCTTCGTTTTAGTCGAATTCAAACATACAGAATTTTTTAATCCTTACTGAGGTTATTTGCTAAACACCAAACTTTAACTTCCTATTGTTGGATTTCCAGTAGCCGGTCTAGATCGCGCAAAATTAGGCGTTTATCAATTTCGAGTTTTTTTTTGTTTATTGTTGTCATGGTAATATCGATTTTACTAAAACCTACATTTTGACAAATTCAATCTATAGTCAATCATTGGTGAAAATGTTATAGCGATCAGAAAAGGTTAAATCACTTTTAAAGCTATTGAAAAATATCGGTATGGCCTCTGAAAAACTATATCGAAACACCTTAATGTTTTGAGTAATTCAGTTGTGAATTTGGCCATTGAAATGGTGTTTGTCCTCATAATTATTTTTATCACAGTTGTAATGGACAGTTTCTGTAAACGTAAATTGTTAGAAATATTTAATACAAAGACTGCGAAGAGAAGACGATTTCTTTTCTATACTCGGTCACCAATTTGTTACTTATTTGAGACTTTCAGTAAGAATGATCACGTAACAGTTCAAGCCAGGTCCTTAACGGATCCTCGTTGTACTTTAATATTTTCAAGGACTTTAATGTCTCTCTATATATACCATTTCGACTCAGTTCCATTCCTACCAAAATTATAGCCAATAAACCATTTTTTTGCTAGAGGTAAACTCACAAACCCAGGCTTTAAACTTCTTGAAGCATAACTTCAACGTTAACCCTCGGACGAAACCCACTAATTTTCCTTCCTACACCCGAAATTCCTGTTGAAAAAGGGAGATGGTGAAGGAAGGCTAAGCAACTGCAAAGGGAATGCATTGCAAAATTCTCGATTTTTTAGCTTGCTAAGAATAGAGTGACGGAGTGTTGGGTAGATAGGACGTTCTGCAAACGGGGCGAGTTATTATTATTTTTCCATCTTTAATTTGTTTTGTAACGAAGATGCATTATTCAGAAAATAATAAGTATGCAATTTAAAATTTAAAAGAAAAGCAAAATTGCTATTGGCTAGTCCATAGCTGTATATGAATAATTAACATTTAAAATAACATCTAAACTTAAAGTACTTATATTGTCGCCTGAGAGCTTTAGAATGGACAGAACGCTTTTGGCTTTAAATTATTTACTACTATTAGGATTTTAAGGGAGAATACAGTACAACTGTAATTATGCACCCTATTGAAACAAAATGTCACTCACTTCATTCGAAATGGGAAATTTGGAGCTGAATAGAGTCGGGACTTAACAGATCAACAAAGTAATTTAAGCAATCTGCGAAATGTACAGCTATGAGTGGGCCCATGGTACGATCGGGTTTGACATGAAAGTGAGGCAAACGAATCGTATTAAGCGCGGGCCTTTTTTCAAACAGAAAGGCGCAATTCTAAAAATACCTACCATGAAAATACAGTCTATTTATTATCGCGCTTACTTGAACAGATCACTGATGCATCCTCGTCGTGTCCACAGTTATGCACACCCCATGGATAGTGTCGACAACTCACAATGGAACTTTCATTTCCCTTACACTGAACATCATCCAGCCAAATCTTTCCACTTCCTTGACCAAACTGTGCACTGTGTGGAGCACTGACAGCAAACGAATACCCAAGTTGACGACAGACAACTCGAGCATCATTTTTATCCCAATTATCGTCACAAACAGTTCCCCATCTACCGCTGTAATAGATCTCCACTCTGCCCTCTCCAGGCCAACTTCCTCCAATCAGTCTCAAAGTTGCTAGTGTATAAGTTAGAGGTAAATTCTTATTTGAGTTTTGAAAAACAAACAAACAACTCTATTCCCCCATCTGTTATCCTGTCATGCACACCGAATATTTTAAAATGGAGAACTTCGTATTTTTGTGTAATCTGCACGGAACTTCTGCGATGCTATTCGACTGAAAAGTGCAAAGAAATAGGGGAATACTGCGAAATGTAACAGAACAAGGCTAGGAATTTTCATTTTGAAAGAGCAAACACCAAGAGACCGGTATAAGGCCGTCATCTTTCAGCTCTCTCTTCGATGACTATATTTATTATTGAGGAACAGAACTTAACTTGAATTTCCCCGCGAAACTTGATTGAAAAATAAAACTGTCCGTGAAAACGCCTCGACATACTAAGGCTATACTAGCCAAGAGAGTTTAATGGGACCGGCAGAGAGCAAATCTTAACGTGTTGGCGTGGATATGTGAATTTCACTACATTTATTTTTAGTGGTTGTAATTAAACGGAAGTCTTATTCCTAAGGCTTCTTTTGAATTCTCTCTTGACAACGCTGAATCAAGTTTCAACAACAGTGGCAAATCAAAGGTGAGTGTGCGGGGATGATTACAAAGCCCCTTATGTATTACAGCAATCATGCTGTGATATATCATTTAGCAGTTAATTAAGCGATTTGTGACTAGAGGTTTGTGCAAATGGCTGCGAAGGTGAAATTTTAATGGAAATACTACGAACTGCAAGCTAGTAAGAGTAGGAAAAATTATGGTGGAACAGTTTCAAAGAGTCACACTCATGTGACGCCTGTCAAGTAATAGATCCTCCTTTGCACAATGTAAACAATTCCAATGGGTCTACAATTATATAGTCAGTAATTTCAGTATGTCTAATAGTAAGTAGAATCATACAAACTACGTATTACAAAAGTTTGCCCACTCAAAATATCGAGAAATTCTCGGGCCCAACGCAAGTTTAGCCTGATCAGAGGTGTCCGCCCTGAATGGAGGTTGGGCTGGGGTTTGTTAATGATTAACTAACAAATAAAAATGCATTTTTTATTCTGCCTCGGAATCTGCTGCAGTCATTATTTCAAGCATCTAGATAATGTACAAAAAAATCGTGATTAACTTATCTCTGTCATGTGGTGTGTCGGAGTCGCGCAAGTGTAATACATCGTTTTCAAGTGAGATAGTTCATGTTTTGAAAGCTGTCGCCATTGTGACTAGTAAACACTTCAACTTATCAACGAATTTTGCCTTTAGTCAGCTTTTGGGTGCTGATTAAAATGTCCCTTGAATGGAGGTTAAAGCCGGGTTTCGGGACCCAGAAAAAAGTGTTCCTTTCCCTTAACAGAGACATCCCTTCAATAGAGGTAACAAATAAAAAGGTTATGTACGTGAACATTTTCCTGGGACTCCCCTGAATTTTCCCTTAAATACGGAGGTGTCCCGAAAGGGTCCATTGGTAATTGAAATTCGGCTCAATTCTAATAAAAGCTTTAATGATTATAAATTACAATCTATTTATTAATACGCTTACTTGAACAGATCACTGATGCATCCCTGTTGTGTCCACAGTTATGCACACCCCATCGATTGTGTCGACAATTCACAATGGAACTTTCATTTCCCTGACACTGAACATCGTCCAGCCAAATCTTTCCACTTCCTTGACCAAACCGTGCACTGTGTGGAGCACTGACAACAGACGAATACCCAAGTTGACGACAAACAACTCGAGCATCATTTTTATCCCAATTATCGTCACAAACAGTTCCCCAGGTACCTCTGTAATAGATCTCCACTCTTCCCTCTCCAGGCCCACTTCCTCCAATCAGTCTCAAATTTGCTAGTGTATAAGTTAGAGGTCAATTCTTACTGGGGTTTTAAAGAACGAACAAACAAGGCGAAAAAACAAACAACTCTATTTCCCCATCTGTTATCCTGTCATGCACACCGAATATCTTAAAATGGAAAACTTCGTATTTTTGTGTAATCTGCACGGAACGTCTGCGATGCTATTCGACTGAATTGTGCAAAGAAATAGAGGAATACTGTGCAATGTAACAAAACAAGGCTAGGAATTTTCATTTTGAAAGAGCAACCACCAAGAGAGCGGTATAAGGCGGTCATCTTTCAGCTACCTCTTCGATGACCGTATTAATGAGGAACAGAACTTAACTTGAATTTCCCCGCGAAACTTGATTTAAAAATAAAACTGTCCATGAAAACGCCTCGACATACTAGCCAATAGAGTTTAATGGGACTGGCAGAGAGGGAATCTTAACGTGTTGGCGTGGGTATGTGAATTTCACTAAATTTATTTTTAGTGGTTGTAATTAAACGAAAGTCTTATTCCTGAAGCGTCCGCGCAAATTTAATCAAGTCCAGAAATCAAACCCTCAAAGCGAAAAAAAACAGCAGAATATTTTCAATGGCGGCTGTTAAATTCTTTCTTGACAACGCTGAATCAAGTTTGAACAGCAGTGGCGAATCAAAGGTGAGAGTGTGGGGATGATTGCAAAGCCCCTTATATGTATTACACCAATCATGCTGTGATATATCATATAGTAGTTAATTAAACGATTTGTGACCAGAGGTTTGTGCAAATGGTTGCGTACGTGAAATTTTAATAGAAATACTATGAACTGCAAGCTAATAAGAGTAGGAAAAAATTATCTGTGGAACAGTTTCAAATAGTCACACTCATGTGACGCGTGTCAAGTAATAGATCCTGCTTTGCACAATATAAACTATTTCAATGGGTCTACAATTATATAGTCAGTAATTTCATTATTTCTAATAATAAATAGAATCGCACAAACTCCGTATAACACCCTGCCCACCCAAAATATCGAGAAATTCTCGGGTCCAAGGCAAGTTTAGCCTGAGCATAGGTGTCCGCCCTGAATGGAGGTAATGGGCTGGGGTTTGTTAATAATTAGCAAACAAATAAACCTGCTTTTTTCATTCTGCCTCGGAATCTGCTCCAGCTTCTAAATAATGTACAAAGAAATCCTGATTAACTTATCTCTGTCATGTGGTGTGTTGAAATCGCGCAAGTGTAATACATCGTTTTCCAGTGAGATAGTTCATGTTTTGAAAGCTGTCGCCATTGTGACTAGTGAACATTTAAACTTATCAACGAATTTGCCATTAGTCAGCTTTTGTCTGCTCATTAAAATGTCCCTTGAATGGAGGTTAAAGCCGGGTTTCGGGATCCAGAAAAGTGTTCCTTTCCCCTGAAAGAGATGTCCCTTTTAACAAAGGTAACAAATAAAAAGGTTATGTATGTGAACATTTTCCTGGGACTCCCCTTGAATTTTCCCTTCAATTCGGACGTGCCTCGAGAGGGTCCATTGTAATTGACATTCGTCTCAATTCTAATGAAAGCTATAATAATTATAAATTACAATCTATTTATTAATACGCTTACTTGAACAGATCACTGATGCATCCTCATGGTGTCCACAGTTATGCTCACCCCATGGACGGTGTCGACAATTCACAATGGAACTTTCATTTCCCTGACACTGAACATCGTCCAGCCAAATCGTTCCATTTCCTCGACCAAACCGTGCACTGTTTGGAGCACTGACAGCAGAAGGATACCCAAGTTGACGACAGACAACTCGAGCAGCATTTTCATCCCAATTATCGTCACAAACAGTTCCCCAGGTACCGCTGTAATAAATCTCCACTCTGCCCTCTCCAGGCCAACGTCCTCCAATCAGTCTCGGTGTATAAACTAGACACAATCAATTCATATTTTGGTCTTGAAACAAATATAAACCTATTTGATTATGCAAGCATTAGCTTCAGGGTTAAGCGTTTGTTAAAAGTGCTCGAATTTGAGCAAGTTTCGGCTTAAAGTAAATGCTCTAAAGCGATGAAGGGGTAAACAAGAGCCGTTGACATATTTAGATGTCTTATATTTTTTGCAAGCTCTCCCTTACGCCCTCCCGCAATGCCATCTGTAGTCAGAGCCAGTTACAAACAACCCACCACATGCCTTGCTCAAACTTAATTCAAATCTACAGGGCTTCCAAACACAAAACACCAACTTTAGGGGGCAAACGAGGTGTCTTGTGGCCGAGGTGCAAATAGTCAATTCAAAAACTTGAATATAAAATAACTTAACGGTAGAAGTTGAATTCTAATTTCAACAGTGTTGAACAAGGTTAATTACTCACTGATTACTAGCAGTTTTTTTCCCTTTACTTTAATTTTACATTTACATCGGTATTTTTACTCTTTATTTTATTTTTTGCTTTTTAAGCAAACTTAAATACACAGGTCGTATATAATATCACGGTTTCCTCGATTTACATGCGTTTTTAATTGAGCTGGTGTACTATACATCAAGTGAATAGCAATCTAGAGTTACGTCAGAAAGAACACAACAATGATCCCTAACCCGCGTAAACAATAACACAATTATCTCCACACGATGAAACCACACAATAGTGTATATATTGACTTGGTACATTGAGCATCACTCGGTTTTGAACAAAATTAATTCAAAATGGCAGATTTAAATAATATGGCGTTATTCCAGTACGTTGTCTAGCAATAAACAAAGTAATCATGAAGCCACTGCTATTGTTAAACATTATCCGTGTGTTAGCCAGCTTCATAATTTTTTTCAAACATTCCACTATTTGAGCATTTTTCGCTTCATGGCTACTCCTAGACAAAAAAAAATTATGAAATTTTGATTCTGCTTATAACTCAAAACAATCGTACGTCATAAGTACGTCAAATCACGTTAGTTATCCCTAGATGTTGAAAATGATGAGTACGTTATTAGGTGTAATTTTGGTGGATGTGTTATGAACTGTTTTAAGTTATCCATGGGAGCCTCCCACACTTCTCTGTCGTAGGAAGCCAGAAAAGGAAAAAAAAGCATGGTTAGATTAGGGTAAAACTTTTGTTTATTAAGTGTGACGATAAGTTTTGTCATGTTTTCTCGAACCTTTGCCGTTTAAAAGCTACAATATTTCTAATGATCATTTATGTGTAGATCATTTTTTAACGACCAAGAAATGTAGCTGTGTTTCATCCCTTTAAAAAACTGTTTGAAAAAAAAAACTGGTTAGCGGGACTAATGTCTTTTATTTTCTCTTACCCATGGCACTTACCTAAGCAACGTGGAACAAAGGAACTCCAACTCCTATTAGCTTGACAATATATAACATCAGTCCCCACTAGAGTGTAATTCTTATCACAAACAAACTTGACTGATCCACCATAGACGTAGCCTTTCTTGACAATCTGCTTTCCGTTTGCTGGTTTTCCAGGATCACCACACTCAACAGCTATAATAATTATAGGGTTGTTAGTTTTTTAGCCTTTGTCTTTTACATATAATGAACTAATGCAAGAAATAAAGATAGCAGGGTATTACGTAACTGCAACTTGAATAGACGCACGCGAGCTAATTCTCCTTTAAACGGTTCAAAGTTGCGGGGTATGTAATTCACTTTGCAACCATTATCGAAATCTGTCACGCAATTTAAAAGTTGCAAATAATACAACCTGCTTTACCTCTCAAATCAACACTAGCTTTTATTTTAAAAAGCAAGAATGAACGCTAACCTTTACACTTGGGAGTGGCAGTGTTCCATCTTCCATCTACACAAGACAGTTCAGCTTCGCCCTCAAGTGTGTACCCAAGGTTACAAGAGTATCGAACTGTTTTTCCGTGTGTATAGTTATTACCGATTTTAAGACCATGATTTAAAACACCAGGTGAGCGACAGTTGGCTTAATCAGAAAGAAAAAAAATAAAGCTTAGCTACCGAAAAAAGTAAGGGAACAAAACAAATTGCTGGTTATTTCTTTAGTTCTTTATAGAAACTAACTCACTGAGTTATTTTGATTTCGATTTTGTTTTATTGAGACCAAGTAATATCTTTGAATATCTTTAAAATCGTTCAAACTATAAAATAAAACTTAGCCAATAGTCCTACAAAATAATCTAAGACCATTTTAAAAACATGGCGACCTGTACGTCAACTTTAACGTTACCAAACCCAAGTTTAACAGCCTTGTTTTACGAAATTCGTCTTTTTTCTATAAAAAAAAAATGATTTATCTCGAGGTTTTCTTGCTGAAATATTGTGTCACACTCAATTTAGAATTATTTAAATATTTGTCATAACTCTTAATTCACTCAATGTCTATTGGTGACCAAATTTGCACTTCTCCCATAATGCACCTTCTTTGCCCCGAAAATATTGTATGATCACCGTTTTCAGTCTCTCCTGAGAAAACTGCAATACCCAGGAGAAATTGAAAAGATGGTTATGCAAAACTTTGGGGGAAAACGAGGTGTATTATGGGAGATGTGCAAATGGCCAATAGACCTTTTTACCGATACGGCGGCTATATTCAATTAATTAGTTTTAAAGAGTATTATGGGATGCCCAGGGGGCATGAGCTTGATCCGATATACTCGTTCTGTATTTACGCTCGCTTTTCGGTTCTAAACAGCAAAAGAAAAAAGAAGCAATTAAAATTGTGGACACTCCGAAGAAACTGGTATGGTCTTTTACTGTACTTTTTCTCACGTAAAAGGCGATCATTATTACATCCAAACACGGTACAAAGTTCCTTTTTCCCATTAAAATCTTATTCTTGGAAAACTTTAAGAAAAAATTGCCCCGAAAAGCTCGCCAAGATACTCAGTGAGTGTATCGGATTGTGCTCATGCCTCCTCGGCATCCCATAATACTCCTTAAATCTAATTAATTCAATATGGCCGCCGTATCGGTAAAAAAACGGAATATAAAATGACTGAATGGTAGATGTTGGATTCAAATTTCAACAGTGTTCAAAAGTGTTAATTATCCGCAGTTTTTTTTTTTTACTTTTACATTTACATCCCCTGTCTTAGGAAGCCAGAAAAGGGAAAAAGCATGGTCAGATTAGGGTTAAACGTTTGTTTATTCCGTGTGACGATAAGTTCACTTTTTCATACAACGCGACGAACTTTTCCTGTCTATTATTACGAGCTTTTGTCGTTTAAAAGCTACAATATTGCTACTGATAATTTATGAATAGATCATTTTTTAACGACCAAAAATTGAACTGTCGTTCTTTACTATTCAGAACCCTTTGAAAAAATTAGTTAGCGGGACTAATGTCTTTTATTTTCTCTTACCCATGGCACTTACCTAAGCAACGTGGAACAAAGGAACTCCAACTCCTATTAGCCTCACAATATATAACATCAGTCCCCACTAGAGTATGATTCTTCTCACAAACAAACTTGACTGATCCACCATAGACGTAGCCTTTCTTGACAATCTGCTTTCCGTTTGCTGGTTTTCCAGGATCACCACACTCAACAGCTATAATAATTACAGGGTGGTTAGTTTTTTAGCCTTTGTCTTTTACATATAATGAACTAATGCAAGAAATGAAGATAGCAGGGTATTAAGTAACTGCAACTTGAATAGACGTACGCGAGCTAATTCTTCTTTAAACGGTTCAAAGTTGCGGGGTATGTAATTCACTTTGCAACCATTATCGAAATCTGTCACGCAATTTAAAAGTTTCAAATAATACAGCCTGCTTTACCTCCCAAATCAAAACTAGCTTTTATTTTAAAAAACAAGAATGAACGCTAACCTTTACACTTGGGAGTGGCAGTGTTCCATCTTCCATCTACACAAGACAGTTCAGCCTCGCCCTCAAGTGTGTACCCAAGGTTACAAGAGTATCGAACTGTTTTTCCGTGTGTATAGTTATTACCGATTTTAAGACCATGATTTAAAACACCAGGTGAGCGACAGTTAGCTTAATAAGAAAGAAAAAAAATCAAGCTTAGCTACCGAAAAAAGTAAGGGAACAAAACAAATTGCTCGTTATTTCTTTAGTTCTTCATAGAAACTAACTCACTGAGTTATTTTGATTTGGTTTTTGTTGTATTGAGACCAAGTAATATCTTTGAATATCTTCAAAATCGTTCCAACTATAAAATAAATCTTAGCCAATAGTCCTACAAAATAATCTAAGAACATTTTAAAAACATGGCGAACTGTACGTCAACTTTAACGTTACCAAACCCAAGTTTAACAGCCTTGTTTTACGAAATTCGTCTTTTTTCTATAAAAAAAATGATTTATTTCGACGTTTTCTTGCTGAAATATTGTGTCACACTCAATTTAGAATTATTTAAATATTTGTCATAACTGTTAATTCACTCAATGTCTATTGGTGACCAAATTTGCACTTCTCCCATAATGCACCTTGTTTGCCCCGAAAATATTGCATAATCATCGTTTTCAGTCTCTCCTGTGAAAACTGCAATACCCAGGAGAAATTGAAAAGAATGTTATGCAAAACTTTGGGGGAAAACGAGGTGTATTATGGGAGATGTGCAAATGGCCAATAGACCTTTTTACCGATACGGCGGCCATATGCAATTAATTAGTTTTAAAGAGTATTATGGGATGCCCAGGGGGCATGAGCTTGATCCGATATACTCGTTCTGTATTTACGCTCGCTTTTCGGTTCTAAACAGCAAAAGAAAAAAGAAGCAATTAAAATTGTGGACACTCCGAAGAAACTGGTATGGTCTTTTACTGTACTTTTTCTCACGTAAAAGGCGATCATTATTACATCCAAACACGGTACAAAGTTCCTTTTTCCCATTAAAATCTTATTCTTGGAAAACTTTAAGAAAAAATTGCCCCGAAAAGCTCGCCAAGATACTCAGTGAGTGTATCGGATTGTGCTCATGCCTCCTAGGCATCCCATAATACTCCTTAAATCTAATTAATTCAATATGGCCGCCGTATCGGTAAAAAAACGGAATATAAAATGACTGAATGGTAGATGTTGGATTCAAATTTCAACAGTGTTCAAAAGTGTTAATTATCCGCAGTTTTTTTTTTTTACTTTTACATTTACATCCCCTGTCTTAGGAAGCCAGAAAAGGGAAAAAGCATGGTCAGATTAGGGTTAAACGTTTGTTTATTCCGTGTGACGATAAGTTCACTTTTTCATACAACGCGACGAACTTTTCCTGTCTATTATTACGAGCTTTTGTCGTTTAAAAGCTACAATATTGCTACTGATAATTTATGAATAGATCATTTTTTAACGACCAAAAATTGAACTGTCGTTCTTTACTATTCAGAACCCTTTGAAAAAATTAGTTAGCGGGACTAATGTCTTTTATTTTCTCTTACCCATGGCACTTACCTAAGCAACGTGGAACAAAGGAACTCCAACTCCTATTAGCCTCACAATATATAACATCAGTCCCCACTAGAGTATGATTCTTCTCACAAACAAACTTGACTGATCCACCATAGACGTAGCCTTTCTTGACAATCTGCCTTCCATTTGTGGGTTTGCCAGGATCACCACACTCAACAGCTATAATAATTACAGGGTGGTTAGTTTTTTAGCCTTTGTCTTTTACATATAATGAACTAATGCAAGAAATGAAGATAGCAGGGTATTAAGTAACTGCAACTTAAATAGACGCACGCGAGCTAATTCTTCTTTAAACGGTTCAAAGTTGCGGGGTATGTAATTCACTTTGCAACCATTATCAAAATCTGTCACGCAATTTAAAAGTTTCAAATAATACAGCCTGCTTTACCTCCCAAATCAACACTAGCTTTTATTTTAAAAAACAAGAATGAACGCTAACCTTTACACTTAGGAGTGGCAGTGTTCCATCTTCCATCTACACAAGACAGTTCAGCCTCGCCCTCAAGTGTGTACCCAAGGTTACAAGAGTATCGAACTGTTTTTCCGTGTGTATAGTTATTACCGATTTTAAGACCATGATTTAAAACACCAGGTGAGCGACAGTTAGCTTAATAAGAAAGAAAAAAAATCAAGCTTAGCTACCGAAAAAAGTAAGGGAACAAAACAAATTGCTCGTTATTTCTTTAGTTCTTCATAGAAACTAACTCACTGAGTTATTTTGATTTGGATTTTGTTGTATTGAGACCAAGTAATATCTTTGAATATCTTCAAAATCGTTCCAACTATAAAATAAATCTTAGCCAATAGTGCTACAAAATAATCTAAGAACATTTTAAAAACATGGCGAACTGTACGTCAACTTTAACGTTACCAAACCCAAGTTTAACAGCCTTGTTTTACGAAATTCGTCTCTTTTCTATAAAAAAATGATTTATTTCGACGCTTTCTTGCTGAAATATTGTGTCACACTCAATTTAGAATTATTTAAATATTTGTCATAACTGTTAATTCACTCAATGTCTATTGGTGACCAAATTTGCACTTCTCCCATAATGCACCTTGTTTGCCCCGAAAATATTGCATAATCATCGTTTTCAGTCTCTCTTGGGAAAACTGCAATACCCAGGAGAAATTGAAAAGAATGTTATGCAAAACTTTGGGGAAAACGAGGTGTATTATGGGAGATGTGCAAATAATAATAGACCCTTTTACCGATACGGCGGCCATATGCAATTAATTAGTTTTAAAGAGTATTATGGGATGACCAGGGGCATGAGCTTGATCCGATATACTCGTTCGGTATTTACGCTCGCTTTTCGGTTCTAAACAGCAAAAAAAAAAAAAAAGCAATTAAAATTGTGGACACTCCGAAGAAACTGGTATGGTCTTTCACTGTACTTTTTCTCACGTAAAAGGCGATCATTATTACATCCAAACACGGTACAAAGTTCCTTTTCCCATTAAAATCTTATTCTTGGAAAACTTTAAGAACAATTGCCCCGAAAAGCTCGCCTAGATACTCAGTGAGTGTATCGGATGGTGCTCATGCCCCCCGGGGCATCCCATAATACTCCTTAAATCGAATTAATTCAATATGGCCGCCGTATCGGTAAAAAAACTGAATATAAAATGACTTAATGGTACATGTTGGATTCAAATTTTAACAGTGTTCAAAAGTGTTAATTATCAGCAGTTTTTTTTTACTTTTACATTTACATCCCCTGTCTTAGGAAGCCAGAAAAGGGAAAAAGCATGGTCAGATTAGGGTTAAACGTTTGTTTATTCCGTGTGACGATAAGTTAACTTTTTCATACAACGCGACGAACTTTTCTTGTCTATTGTTACGACCTTTTGTCGTTTAAAAGCTACAATATTGCTACTGCTAATTTATGTATGGATCATTTTTCAACGACCAAAAATTGAACTGTCGTTTTCTACTATTAAGAACCCTTTGAAAAAATTAGTTACCGGGACTAATGTCTTTTATTTTCTTTTACCCATGGCACTTACCTAAGCAACGTGGAACAAAGGAACTCCAACTCCTATTAGCTTGACAATATATAACATCAGTCCCTACTAGAGTGTAATTCTTGTCACAAACAAACTTGACTGATCCACCATAGACGTAGCCTTTCTTGACAATCTGCTTTCCGTTTGCTGGTTTTCCAGGATCACCACACTCAACAGCTATAATAATTACAGGGTGGTTAGTTTTTTAGCCTTTGTCTTTTACATATAATGAACTAATGCAAGAAATGAAGATAGCAGGGTATTAAGTAACTGCAACTTAAATAGACGCACGCGAGCTAATTCTTCTTTAAACGGTTCAAAGTTGCGGGGTATGTAATTCACTTTGCAACCATTATCAAAATCTGTCACGCAATTTAAAAGTTTCAAATAATACAGCCTGCTTTACCTCCCAAATCAACACTAGCTTTTATTTTAAAAAACAAGAATGAACGCTAACCTTTACACTTAGGAGTGGCAGTGTTCCATCTTCCATCTACACAAGACAGTTCAGCCTCGCCCTCAAGTGTGTACCCAAGGTTACAAGAGTATCGAACTGTTTTTCCGTGTGTATAGTTATTACCGATTTTAAGACCATGATTTAAAACACCAGGTGAGCGACAGTTAGCTTAATAAGAAAGAAAAAAAATCAAGCTTAGCTACCGAAAAAAGTAAGGGAACAAAACAAATTGCTCGTTATTTCTTTAGTTCTTCATAGAAACTAACTCACTGAGTTATTTTGATTTGGATTTTGTTGTATTGAGACCAAGTAATATCTTTGAATATCTTCAAAATCGTTCCAACTATAAGATAAATCTTAGCCAATAGTGCTACAAAATAATCTAAGAACATTTTAAAAACATGGCGAACTGTACGTCAACTTTAACGTTACCAAACCCAAGTTTAACAGCCTTGTTTTACGAAATTCGTCTCTTTTCTATAAAAAAATGATTTATTTCGACGCTTTCTTGCTGAAATATTGTGTCACACTCAATTTAGAATTATTTAAATATTTGTCATAACTGTTAATTCACTCAATGTCTATTGGTGACCAAATTTGCACTTCTCCCATAATGCACCTTGTTTGCCCCGAAAATATTGCATAATCATCGTTTTCAGTCTCTCCTGGGAAAACTGCAATACCCAGGAGAAATTGAAAAGAATGTTATGCAAAACTTTGGGGGAAAACGAGGTGTATTATGGGAGATGTGCAAATGGCCAATGGACCTTTTTACCGATACGGCGGCCATATGCAATTAATTAGTTTTAAAGAGTATTATGGGATGACCAGGGGGCATGAGCTTGATCCGATATACTCGTTCGGTATTTACGCTCGCTTTTCGGTTCTAAACAGCAAAAAAAAACAAAAGAAGCAATTAAAATTGTGGACACTCCGAAGAAACTGGTATGGTCTTTCACTGTACTTTTTCTCACGTAAAAGGCGATCATTATTACATCCAAACACGGTACAAAGTTCCTTTTCCCATTAAAATCTTATTCTTGGAAAACTTTAAGAACAATTGCCCCGAAAAGCTCGCCTAGATACTCAGTGAGTGTATCGGATGGTGCTCATGCCCCCCGGGGCATCCCATAATACTCCTTAAATCGAATTAATTCAATATGGCCGCCGTATCGGTAAAAAAACTGAATATAAAATGACTTAATGGTACATGTTGGATTCAAATTTTAACAGTGTTCAAAAGTGTTAATTATCAGCAGTTTTTTTTTACTTTTACATTTACATCCCCTGTCTTAGGAAGCCAGAAAAGGGAAAAAGCATGGTCAGATTAGGGTTAAACGTTTGTTTATTCCGTGTGACGATAAGTTAACTTTTTCATACAACGCGACGAACTTTTCTTGTCTATTGTTACGACCTTTTGTCGTTTAAAAGCTACAATATTGCTACTGCTAATTTATGTATGGATCATTTTTCAACGACCAAAAATTGAACTGTCGTTTTCTACTATTAAGAACCCTTTGAAAAAATTAGTTACCGGGACTAATGTCTTTTATTTTCTTTTACCCATGGCACTTACCTAAGCAACGTGGAACAAAGGAACTCCAACTCCTATTAGCTTGACAATATATAACATCAGTCCCTACTAGAGTGTAATTCTTGTCACAAACAAACTTGACTGATCCACCATAGACGTAGCCTTTCTTGACAATCTGCTTTCCGTTTGCTGGTTTTCCAGGATCACCACACTCAACAGCTATAATAATTACAGGGTGGTTAGTTTTTTTTTAGCCTTTGTCTTTTACATATAATGAACTAATGCAAGAAATGAAGATAGCAGGGTATTAAGTAACTGCAACTTAAATAGACGCACGCGAGCTAATTCTTCTTTAAACGGTTCAAAGTTGCGGGGGGTATGTAATTCACTTTGCAACCATTATCAAAATCTGTCACGCAATTTAAAAGTTTCAAATAATACAGCCTGCTTTACCTCCCAAATCAACACTAGCTTTTATTTTAAAAAACAAGAATGAACGCTAACCTTTACACTTAGGAGTGGCAGTGTTCCATCTTCCATCTACACAAGACAGTTCAGCCTCGCCCTCAAGTGTGTACCCAAGGTTACAAGAGTATCGAACTGTTTTTCCGTGTGTATAGTTATTACCGATTTTAAGACCATGATTTAAAACACCAGGTGAGCGACAGTTAGCTTAATAAGAAAGAAAAAAAATCAAGCTTAGCTACCGAAAAAAGTAAGGGAACAAAACAAATTGCTCGTTATTTCTTTAGTTCTTCATAGAAACTAACTCACTGAGTTATTTTGATTTGGATTTTGTTGTATTGAGACCAAGTAATATCTTTGAATATCTTCAAAATCGTTCCAACTATAAAATAAATCTTAGCCAATAGTGCTACAAAATAATCTAAGAACATTTTAAAAACATGGCGAACTGTACGTCAACTTTAACGTTACCAAACCCAAGTTTAACAGCCTTGTTTTACGAAATTCGTCTCTTTTCTATAAAAAAATGATTTATTTCGACGCTTTCTTGCTGAAATATTGTCACACTCAATTTAGAATTATTTAAATATTTGTCATAACTGTTAATTCACTCAATGTCTATTGGTGACCAAATTTGCACTTCTCCCATAATGCACCTTGTTTGCCCCGAAAATATTGCATAATCATCGTTTTCAGTCTCTCTTGGGAAAACTGCAATACCCAGGAGAAATTGAAAAGAATGTTATGCAAAACTTTGGGGGAAAACGAGGTGTATTATGGGAGATGTGCAAATGGCCAATAGACCTTTTTACCGATACGGCGGCCATATGCAATTAATTAGTTTTAAAGAGTATTATGGGATGACCAGGGGGCATGAGCTTGATCCGATATACTCGTTCGGTATTTACGCTCGCTTTTCGGTTCTAAACAGCAAAAAAAAACAAAAGAAGCAATTAAAATTGTGGACACTCCGAAGAAACTGGTATGGTCTTTCACTGTACTTTTTCTCACGTAAAAGGCGATCATTATTACATCCAAACACGGTACAAAGTTCCTTTTCCCATTAAAATCTTATTCTTGGAAAACTTTAAGAACAATTGCCCCGAAAAGCTCGCCTAGATACTCAGTGAGTGTATCGGATGGTGCTCATGCCCCCCGGGGCATCCCATAATACTCCTTAAATCGAATTAATTCAATATGGCCGCCGTATCGGTAAAAAAACTGAATATAAAATGACTTAATGGTACATGTTGGATTCAAATTTTAACAGTGTTCAAAAGTGTTAATTATCAGCAGTTTTTTTTTACTTTTACATTTACATCCCCTGTCTTAGGAAGCCAGAAAAGGGAAAAAGCATGGTCAGATTAGGGTTAAACGTTTGTTTATTCTGTGTGACGATAAGTTAACTTTTTCATACAACGCGACGAACTTTTCTTGTCTATTGTGACGACCTTTTGTCGTTTAAAAGCTACAATATTGCTACTGCTAATTTATGTATGGATCATTTTTCAACGACCAAAAATTGAACTGTCGTTTTCTACTATTAAGAACCCTTTGAAAAAATTAGTTACCGGGACTAATGTCTTTTATTTTCTTTTACCCATGGCACTTACCTAAGCAACGTGGAACAAAGGAACTCCAACTCCTATTAGCTTGACAATATATAACATCAGTCCCCACTAGAGTGTAATTCTTATCACAAACAAACTTGACTGATCCACGATAGACGTAGCCTTTCTTGACAATCTGCTTTCCGTTTGCTGGTTTACCAGGATCACCACACTCAACAGCTATAATAATTACAGGGTGGTTAATTTTTAGCCTTTGTCGTTTACATATAATGAACTAATACAACAAATGAAGAAAGCAGGGTATTAAGTAACTGCAACTTGAATAGACGCACACCAGTTAATTCTTCTTTAAACGGTTCAAAGTTGCGGTGTATGTAATTCATTTTGCAACCATTACCGAAATCTGTCACGCAATTTAAAAAGTTGCAAATAAAACAACCCGCTTTACCTCCAAAATCAACACAAGCTTTTATCTTTAAAAACAAGAATGAACGCTAACCTTTACACTTGGGAGTGGCAGTGTTCCACCTTCCATCTACACAAGTCAGTTCAGCCTCGCCCTCAAGTGTGTACCCAAGGTTACAAGAGTATCGAACTGTTTTTCCGTGCGTGTAGTTATTACCGATTTTAAGACCATGATGTAAATCACCAGGTGAGCGACAGTTAGCTTAATCAAAACGAAATAAATCAAGCTTAGCTACCGAAAAAAAGTAAGGGAACAAAACAAATTGCTCGTTATTTCTTTAGTTCTTCAAAGAAACTAACTCACTGAGTTATTTTGATTTGGTTTTTGTTGTATTGAGACCAAGTAATATCTTTGAATATCTTCAAAATCGTTCCAACTATAAAATAAATCTTAGCCAATAGTGCTACAAAATAATCTAAGAACATTTTAAAAACATGGCGAACTGTACGTCAACTTTAACGTTACCAAACCCAAGTTTAACAGCCTTGTTTTACGAAATTCGTCTTTTTTCTATAAAAAAATGATTTATTTCGACGTTTTCTTGCTGAAATATTGTGTCACACTCAATTTAGAATTATTTAAATATTTGTCATAACTGTTAATTCACTCAATGTCTATTGGTGACCAAATTTGCACTTCTCCCATAATGCACCTTGTTTGCCCCGAAAATATTGCATAATCATCGTTTTCAGTCTCTCCTGTGAAAACTGCAATACCCAGGAGAAATTGAAAAGAATGTTATGCAAAACTTTGGGGGAAAACGAGGTGTATTATGGGAGATGTGCAAATGGCCAATAGACCTTTTTACCGATACGGCGGCCATATGCAATTAATTAGTTTTAAAGAGTATTATGGGATGACCAGGGGGCATGAGCTTGATCCGATATACTCGTTCGGTATTTACGCTCGCTTTTCGGTTCTAAACAGCAAAAAAAAACAAAAGAAGCAATTAAAATTGTGGACACTCCGAAGAAACTGGTATGGTCTTTCACTGTACTTTTTCTCACGTAAAAGGCGATCATTATTACATCCAAACACGGTACAAAGTTCCTTTTCCCATTAAAATCTTATTCTTGGAAAACTTTAAGAACAATTGCCCCGAAAAGCTCGCCAAGATACTCAGTGAGTGTATCGGATGGTGCTCATGACCCCTGGGCATCCCATAATACTCCTTATATTCTAATTAATTCAATATTGCCGCCGTATCGGTAAAAAAGAAGTGAATATAAAATGACTAATGGTAGATGTTGGATTCAAATTTTAACAGTGTTCAACAGTGTTAATTATCAGCAGTTTTTTTTACTTTTACATTTACATCCCCTGTCTTAGGAAGCCAGAAAAGGGAAAAAGCATGGTCAGATTAGGGTTAAACGTTTGTTTATTCCGCGTGTGACGATAAGTTAACTTTTTCATACAACGCGACGAACTTTTCTTGTCTATTGTTACGACCTTTTGTCGTTTAAAAGCTACAATATTGCTACTGATAATTTATGTATAGATCATTTTTTAACGACCAAAAATTGAACTGTCGTTTTCTACTATTAAGAACCCTTTGAAAAAAATTAGTTACCGGGACTAATGTCTTTTATTTTCTTTTACCCATGGCACTTACCTAAGCAACGTGGAACAAAGGAACTCCAACTCCTATTAGCTTGACAATATATAACATCAGTCCCTACTAGAGTGTAATTCTTGTCACAAACAAACTTGACTGATCCACCATAGACGTAGCCTTTCTTGACAATCTGCTTTCCGTTTGCTGGTTTTCCAGGATCACCACACTCAACAGCTATAATAATTACAGGGTGGTTAGTTTTTTAGCCTTTGTCTTTTACATATAATGAACTAATGCAAGAAATGAAGATAGCAGGGTATTAAGTAACTGCAACTTAAATAGACGCACGCGAGCTAATTCTTCTTTAAACGGTTCAAAGTTGCGGGGTATGTAATTCACTTTGCAACCATTATCAAAATCTGTCACGCAATTTAAAAGTTTCAAATAATACAGCCTGCTTTACCTCCCAAATCAACACTAGCTTTTATTTTAAAAAACAAGAATGAACGCTAACCTTTACACTTAGGAGTGGCAGTGTTCCATCTTCCATCTACACAAGACAGTTCAGCCTCGCCCTCAAGTGTGTACCCAAGGTTACAAGAGTATCGAACTGTTTTTCCGTGTGTATAGTTATTACCGATTTTAAGACCATGATTTAAAACACCAGGTGAGCGACAGTTAGCTTAATCAGAAAGAAAAAAAATCAAGCTTAGCTACCGAAAAAAGTAAGGGAACAAAACAAATTGCTCGTTATTTCTTTAGTTCTTTATAGAAACTAACTCACTGAGTTATATTGATACGATATTGCTACTGATAATTAATGTATAGATCATTTTTTAACGACCAAAAATTGAACTGTCGTTCTTTACTATTAAGAACCCTTTGAATAAATTAGTTAGCGGGACTAATATCTTTTATTTTCTTTTATCCATGGCACTTACCTAAGCAACGTGGAACAAACGAACTCCAACTCCTATTAGCTTGACAATATATAACATCAGTCCCCACTAGAGTGTGATTCTTGTCACAAACAAACTTGACTGATCCACCATAGACGTAGCCTTTCTTGACAATCTGCCTTCCATTTGTGGGTTTGCCAGGATCACCACACTCAACAGCTATAATAATTGCAAGGGATCTAAATCTTTAAACTTTGTCCTTTACAATTAAACAAGTATGGGAAATGAAGATCATAGAATACCAGGGACACTTTGAGAACAACTCGAGAAGATGCACTCGAGTTAATTCTTCATTTGACAGTTACAATTTGAGGGCTTATTTATTTTGCAGCCATTTCAAAAATTTCCTACATAACATTAAAATTTGCAAAAAAACAACAACAACAACATTAAGCTCCAAAATCAATACAACCTTCTATTTTGGAAAACAAGAAGAGGCTCATAAAAGCTTCAGAAGAGAATGGATACCGCGAACAGCTCGCGTGGTCGCACATACCTTCACCATGTATAGGATAGCATGTGTTGCGCGTTTCTTAAACGTCCCTGCAAACTTTCCAGCCTAAAGCCATTTTCTTGAATTAAAACCCGAGTCTCACAACTAACCAGTCTATTATTTGTTTCTTTATCTGATAGCTTTCTTTGTACCTCTTTTAAAAGTATTATAACCTCGATCGTCAAGTTAAATACCTAAACAAAACACTCAGATTTCCTGGATAGGTCACTACTGAGACTTTCCAAAAACTCAGGTCCCCGTGGCGTAAGGTGAGTAAATTTACACATTATTCCTCTGCGGAAAAAAAACTTCTACCAATAGCAATATTTCATTTCGTACATCATAAGAAGCAATGTAAACGAGCATTATGATGCGAACTGTGATCATAAGGGATCTCCTTGAGAATCTATTCGACTGTTATTCACCGGCCGAGCACGGTGCATTTTCCTCTGAAACGTCTTTATTTCTCTTGGCCGGAGCTGGTGGTACTCGAGTTGTCGATTTAAGTTCAGTAGATCTCTCAACCTCGTTCCCAGGGCTCTCTCCTACCCGCCCTACGGAACGAGAGATAGTAGGAGAGAACCCTGGGAACGAGGTTATAGATCGCTTTGTCTGCACTCTTACGGCTTCATCTCGAATTCAAATATTTTTTTACAAAAGTGACATAAAAAGCTGCCGTGCTGAATTGTTGAAATTTCAATGACAAGTTAATTGCTGGAGGGCGGATCGGCGGCATCAAAGGCATGTCTCCAGGCTCCGCCACTCTATTTCCTCCCCAGACTACCTCTCAGCTCGCTTCGCTCGCCGATTTCTTTTTTTTTCTCAGTAACGCCGATTTTTTCCTTTTTCCCCCAATGCGGATCCTAGTCCCAGGCTACAAGCTATATATCTCTAAATACAAATTCATGCACGCTTACGAATGTACCTTTGCACTTGGGGGTATCAGTATTCCATGTTCCCTCTTCACAAGTCACTTCAGCCTCGCCTTCAAGTGTGAACCCAGCGTCACAAGAGTATCGAACTGTCTTTCCGTGCTTGTAGTTATTACCAATTTTTACGCCGTGATTTATATCACCAGGGGATCCACAGTTAGCTTTAATTTGAACAAAACAAAAATCTTAATAACACAAAACCTAGCCAGGGTAAACGAATGATTTGTTCTTTAAGACCAAATTTCATAGTAAATTAATCGTTAACTTGCCTTTCTCTCAGTTTTATTCAGCACACTAAGTTAAATTGTTCGAACAAGTAGTATTAATACGTATTTGTAAAAAGCTACAATTTTCTACCGCTAATTATGTTTCTACGAGCATTTAATCTTACTCTTATTTACACTTTAAGGCAAAAACTGATGAGGGTAAATGTCTTTAATTTTCTCTTACCCATGGCACTTACCTAAGCAACGTGGAACAGAGGAACTCCAACTCCTATCAGCTTGACAATATATAACATCAGTCCCCACTAGAGTGTAATTCTTGTCACAAACAAACTTGACTGATCCACCATAGACGTAGCCCTTCCCGACAATCTGCTTTCCGTTTGTTGGTTTTCCAGGATCACCACACTCAACAGCTATAGTAGTTACATGGTGGTTAGTTTTTTAGCCTTTGTCTTTTACATATAATGAACTAATGCAAGAAATGAAGATAGCAGGGTATTAAGTGACTGCAACTTGAATAGACGCACGCGAGCTAATTCTTCTTTAAACGGTTCAAAGTTGCGGGGTATGTAATTCACTTTGCAACCATTATCGAAATCTGTCACGCAATTTAAAAGTTGCAAATAATACAACCTGCTTTACCTCCCAAATCAACACTAGCTTTTATTTTAAAAACAAGAATGAACGCTAACCTTTACACTTGGGAGTGGCAGTGTTCCATCTTCCATCTACACAAGACAGTTCAGCCTCGCCCTCAAGTGTGTACCCAAGGTTACAAGAGTATCGAACTGTTTTTCCGTGTGTATAGTTATTACCGATTTTAAGACCATGATTTAAAACACCAGGTGAGCGACAGTTAGCTTAATCAGAAAGAAAAAAATCAAGCTTAGCTACCGAAAAAGTAAGGGAACAAAACAAATTGCTCGTTATTACTTTAGTTCTTTATAGAAACTAACTCACTGAGTTATATTGATACGATATTGCTACTGATAATTTATGTATAGATCATTTTTTAACGACCAAAAATTGAACTGTCGTTTTTACTATAAAGAACCCTTTGAAAAAATTAGTTAGCGGGACTAATGTCTTTTATTTTCTTTTACCCATGGCACTTACCTAAGCAACGTGGAACAAACGAACTCCAACTCCTATTAGCTTGACAATATATAACATCAGCCCCCACTAGAGTGTAATTCTTGTCACAAACAAACTTGACTGATCCACCATAGACGTAGCCTTTCTTGACAATCTGCCTTCCATTTGTGGGTTTGCCAGGATCACCACACTCAACAGCTATAATAATTGCAAGGGATCTAAATCTTTAAACTTTGTCCTTTACAATTAAACAAGTATGGGAAATGAAGATCATAGAATACCAGGGACACTTTGAGAACAACTCGAGAAGATGCACTCGAGTTAATTCTTCATTTGACAGTTACAATTTGAGGGCTTATTTATTTTGCAGCCATTTCAAATATTTCCTACATAACATTAAAATTTGCAAAAAAACAACAACAACAACATTAAGCTCCAAAATCAATACAACCTTCTATTTTGGAAAACAAGAAGAGGCTCATAAAAGCTTCAGAAGAGAATGGATACCGCGAACAGCTCGCGTGGTCGCACATACCTTCACCATGTATAGGATAGCATGTGTTGCGCGTTTCTTAAACGTCCCTGCAAACTTTCCAGCCTAAAGCCATTTTCTTGAATTAAAACCCGAGTCTCAAAACTAACCAGTCTATTATTTGTTTCTTTATCTGATAGCTTTCTTTGTACCTCTTTTAAAAGTATTATAACCTCGATCGTCAAGTTAAATACCTAAACAAAACACTCAGATTTCCTGGATAGGTCACTACTGAGACTTTCCAAAAACTCAGGTCCCCGTGGCGTAAGGTGAGTAAATTTACACATTATTCCTCTGCGGAAAAAAAAAAACTTCTACCAATAGCAATATTTCATTTCGTACATCATAAGAAGCAATGTAAACGAGCATTATGATGCGAACTGTGATCATAAGGGATCTCCTTGAGAATCTATTCGACTGTTATTCACCGGCCGAGCACGGTGCATTTTCCTCTGAAACGTCTTTATTTCTCTTGGCCGGAGCTGGTGGTACTCGAGTTGTCGATTTAAGTTCAGTAGATCTCTCAACCTCGTTCCCAGGGCTCTCTCCTACCCGCCCTACGGAACGAGAGATAGTAGGAGAGAACCCTGGGAACGAGGTTATAGATCGCTTTGTCTGCACTCTTACGGCTTCATCTCGAATTCAAATATTTTTTTACAAAAGTGACATAAAAAGCTGCCGTGCTGAATTGTTGAAATTTCAATGACAAGTTAATTGCTGGAGGGCGGATCGGCGGCATCAAAGGCATGTCTCCAGGCTCCGCCACTCTATTTCCTCCCCAGACTACCTCTCAGCTCGCTTCGCTCGCCGATTTCTTTTTTTTTCTCAGTAACGCCGATTTTTTCCTTTTTCCCCCAATGCGGATCCTAGTCCCAGGCTACAAGCTATATATCTCTAAATACAAATTCATGCACGCTTACGAATGTACCTTTGCACTTGGGGGTATCAGTATTCCATGTTCCCTCTTCACAAGTCACTTCAGCCTCGCCTTCAAGTGTGAACCCAGCGTCACAAGAGTATCGAACTGTCTTTCCGTGCTTGTAGTTATTACCAATTTTTACGCCGTGATTTATATCACCAGGGGATCCACAGTTAGCTTTAATTTGAACAAAAACAAAAATCTTAATAACACAAAAACTAGCCAGGGTAAACGAATGATTTGTTCTTTAAGACCAAATTTCATAGTAAATTAATCGTTAACTTGCCTTTCTCTCAGTTTTATTCAGCACACTAAGTTAAATTGTTCGAACAAGTAGTGTTAATACGTATTTGTAAAAAGCTACAATTTTCTACCGCTAATTATGTTTCTACGAGCATTTAATCTTACTCTTATTTACACTTTAAGGCAAAAACTGATGAGGGTAAATGTCTTTAATTTTCTCTTACCCATGGCACTTACCTAAGCAACGTGGAACAGAGGAACTCCAACTCCTATCAGCTTGACAATATATAACATCAGTCCCCACTAGAGTGTAATTCTTGTCACAAACAAACTTGACTGATCCACCATAGACGTAGCCCTTCCCGACAATCTGCTTTCCGTTTGTTGGTTTTCCAGGATCACCACACTCAACAGCTATAGTAGTTACATGGTGGTTAGTTTTTTAGCCTTTGTCTTTTACATATAATGAACTAATGCAAGAAATGAAGATAGCAGGGTATTAAGTGACTGCAACTTGAATAGACGCACGCGAGCTAATTCTTCTTTAAACGGTTCAAAGTTGCGGGGTATGTAATTCACTTTGCAACCATTATCGAAATCTGTCACGCAATTTAAAAGTTGCAAATAATACAACCTGCTTTACCTCCCAAATCAACACTAGCTTTTATTTTAAAAAACAAGAATGAACGCTAACCTTTACACTTGGGAGTGGCAGTGTTCCATCTTCCATCTACACAAGACAGTTCAGCCTCGCCCTCAAGTGTGTACCCAAGGTTACAAGAGTATCGAACTGTTTTTCCGTGTGTATAGTTATTACCGATTTTAAGACCATGATTTAAAACACCAGGTGAGCGACAGTTAGCTTAATCAGAAAGAAAAAAAATCAAGCTTAGCTACCGAAAAAAGTAAGGGAACAAAACAAATTGCTCGTTATTACTTTAGTTCTTTATAGAAACTAACTCACTGAGTTATATTGATACGATATTGCTACTGATAATTTATGTATAGATCATTTTTTAACGACCAAAAATTGAACTGTCGTTTTTTACTATAAAGAACCCTTTGAAAAAATTAGTTAGCGGGACTAATGTCTTTTATTTTCTTTTACCCATGGCACTTACCTAAGCAACGTGGAACAAACGAACTCCAACTCCTATTAGCTTGACAATATATAACATCAGCCCCCACTAGAGTGTAATTCTTGTCACAAACAAACTTGACTGATCCACCATAGACGTAGCCTTTCTTGACAATCTGCCTTCCATTTGTGGGTTTGCCAGGATCACCACACTCAACAGCTATAATAATTGCAAGGGATCTAAATCTTTAATCTTTGTCCTTTAAAATTAAACAAGTATGGGAAATAAAGATCATAGAATACGAGGGACACTTTGAGAGCAACTCGAGAAGATGCACTCGAGTTATTTCTTCATTTGACAGTTACAATTTGAAGGCTTATTGATTTTGCAGCCATTTCAAAAATCTCCTACACAACATTAAAATTTGCAAAAAAAAACAACAACAACAACATTAAGCTCCAAAATCAATACAACAGTCTATTTTGGAAAACAAGAAGACCGCGAACAGCTCGCGTGGTCGCACATACCTTCACCTTTACCTGTGTAGGATTGGATGTGTTGCGCGTTTCTTAAAAGTCCCTGCAAATTTTCCAGCCTAAAGCCATTTTCTTGAATTAAAACCTGAGTATCAAAACTAACCAGTCTATTATTTGTTTCTTTATCTGATAGCTTTCTTTGTACCTCTTTTAAAAGTATTATAACCTCGATCGTCAAGTTAAATACCTAAACAAAACACTCAGATTTCCTGGATAGGTCACTACCGAGACTTTCCAAAAACTCAGGTCCCCGTCGCGTAAGGTGAGTAAATTTACACATTATTCCTCTGCGGAAAAAAAAATTCCACCAATAGCAATATTTCATTTGGTACATCATAAGAAGCTATGTAAACGAGCATTATGATGCGAACCGTGAGGGATCTCCTTGAGAATCTATTCGGCTGTTCTTCACCGGCCGAACGCGGTGCATTTTCCTCTGAAACGTCTTTATTTCTCTTGGCCGGAGCTGGTGGTACTCGAGTTGGCGATTGAAGTTAAGTAGATCTCTTTGCTTACACTCTTACGGCTTTATCTCGAATTTAAATATCTTTTTTACAGAAGCGACATAATAACCTGACGCGCTGAAGTGTTGAAAGTTTGAATGACAAGTTATTGCTGGAGGGCGGATCGGCGTCATCAAAGGCATGTCTCCAGGCTCCGCCACCCTTTTTCCTTCCCAGACTACCTCTCAGCTCGCTTCGCCCGCCGATTTATTTTCATTTTTTTTTCAACCACGCCGATATTTTTTCCTTTTTCCCCCAATACGGATCCTAGTCCCAGGTTACAAGCTATATCTCTCTAAATACAAATTCATGCACGCTTACGAATGTACCTTTGCACTTGGGGGTATCAGTATTCCATGTTCCCTCTTCACAAGTCACTTCAGCCTCGCCTTCAAGTGTGAACCCAGCGTCACAAGAGTATCGAACTGTCTTTCCGTGCTTGTAGTTATTACCAATTTTAAGGCCGTGATTTATATCACCAGGGGATCCACAGTTAGCTTTAATTTGAACAGAAAGAAAAATCTTAATAACACAAAACCTAGCCAGGGTAAACGAATGATTTGTTCTTTAAGACCAAATTTCATAGTAAATTAATCGTTAACTTGCCTTTCTCTCAGTTTTATTCAGCACACTAAGTTAAATTGTTCGAACAAGTAGTATTAATACGTATTTGTAAAAAGCTACAATTTTCTACCGCTAATTATGTTTCTACGAGCATTTAATCTTACTCTTATTTACACTTTAAGGCAAAAACTGATGAGGGTAAATGTCTTTAATTTTCTCTTACCCATGGCACTTACCTAAGCAACGTGGAACAGAGGAACTCCAACTCCTATCAGCTTGACAATATATAACATCAGTCCCCACTAGAGTGTAATTCTTTTCACAAACAAACTTGACTGATCCACCATAGACGTAGCCCTTCCCGACAATCTGCTTTCCGTTTGTTGGTTTTCCAGGATTACCACACTCAACAGCTATCGTAATAATTAAAGGGTGGTTAATTATTTAGCCTTTGTCATTTAGATATAATGAACTAATACAAGAAATGAAGACAGCAGGGTATTAAGTAACTGCAACTTGAACAGACGCACTCGAGCTAATTCTTCTTTAAAAGGTTCAAAGTTACGGGTTATGTAATTCATTTGTAACCATTACCGAAATCTCTCACGCAATTTAAAAGTTGCAAATAAAACAACCCGCTTTTGCTCCAAAATCAGCACAAGCTTTTATCTTAGAAGACAAGAATGCATGCTAACCTTTACACTTGGGAGAGGCAGTGTTCCATCTTCCATCTACACAAGTCAGTTCAGCCTCGCCCTCAAGTGTGTACCCAAGGTTACAAGAGTATCGAACTGTTTTTCCGTGCGTGTAGTTATTACCGATTTTAAGACCATGATGTAAATCACCAGGTGAGCGACAGTTAGCTTAATCAAAAACGAAAAAAAAAAAACAAGCTTAGCAACGGAAAAAAAGGAAGGGAATATAATAAATTGCTCGTTATGCCTTTAGTTCATAAGAAACTAACTGACTGAATTCTTCCTTATTTTGCTTTTACCTGATTCAGGGGCGTTGAAGGACCCAAATATCTTCAAAATAATTCAAACTACGTGTATGACAACAAATTTAATAGATGTTTGTTAAAATGATCAAATAGCATTTTAAAATTATTGCGACCTGTACGTCAATTTTGACGTTACCATGGTAACCGAGGTTTTAACAGGCTTATTTTACAATACTTGCCTTTTTTACTATATAAAATAATTGGATCGATTTATTTTAAGGTTTATTTATTGAATATTGTATCCCAATAAACTTAGAATTATTTTATATATTTATTATAAATGTTAATTTAATCCAGGTTTTTTGATGACTAAATTCGCCATTTCCACATCTGCCATAATGCACCTTGTTTGCCATCAAAAATTTGCATAAGTATTGTCTTCGTTTTCTGGAAAAACTGCAATACCCAGGAGAAATCACAAACAAAGGTTATGGAAAACTTTAGGGGGCAAACGAGGTGTCTCATGGCAGAAGTGCAAATCGCCAATTCAAAATCTTGAATATAAAATTGCTTAATGGTAGAAGTTGGATTCAAATTTCAACAGTGTTCAACACAGTTAATTACTAGCATTTTTTCTTCTTTTTTTCCTTTTAATTTTAAATTTACATCGGTATTTTTACTTTTTTTATTTTATTTTTTGCTTTTTAAACATATTTTAATATACAGGTTGTATTTAATATCACGGTTTCCTCGATTTACACGGGTTATTAATTGAGCTGGTGCACTATATATCAAGTGAATAGCAATCTAGAGTTACGTCACAAAGAACACAACAATGATCCCTAACCCGCGTAAACAATAACACAATTATCTCCACACAATGAAACGACACAATAGTGCATATATTGTGTTGGTACATTGAGCATCACTCGGTTTTGAACAAAATTAATTCAAAATGGCAGATTTAATATGGCGTTGGTTTAATAAACAAAGTCACCATGACGTCTCTGCAATTGTTAAAGATTATCCGTGTGTCAGCCAACTTCATAATTTCAAACATTTCACTATTTTAGCATTTTTTGCTTCATGGCTTCTCCTAGGCAAAAAAAATGAAATTTGGATTCTGCTTATAACTCATAACAATGTTACGTCATAAGTACCTTAGTAGTTATCCCTAGATGTTGAAAGTGATGAGTACATTGTTAAGTATAATTTTGGCGGATGTGTTATGATCTGTTTTAAGTTACAGAGGGGAGCCTCCCACGTTTCCCTGCCTTAGGAAGCAAGAAAAGGAAAAAAAAAAGCATGGTCAGATTAAGGTTAAACTCTCGTTTATTAACTATGACGATACGTTTTGTCGTGTTTTGTCGAACTTTTGCTGTTTAAAAGCTACAATATTTCTACTGCTAAGTTAAGTATAGATCAGTTTTTAACGACCACGAAGTGTAACTGTGTTTTACCCCTTTAAAAAACTTTTTGGAAAAAAATAGTTAGCGGGACTAATGTCTTTTATTTTCTCTTACCCATGGCACTTACCTAAGCAACGTGGAACAGAGGAACTCCAACTCCTATTAGCTTGACAATATATAACATCAGCCCCCACAAGAGTGTAATTCTTGTCACAAACAAACTTGACTGATCCACCATAGACGTAGCCTTTCTTGACAATCTGCTTTCCGTTTGCTGGTTTTCCAGGATCACCACACTCAACAGCTATAATAATTATAGGGTGGTTAATTTTGTAGCCTTTGTCGTTTACATATAATGAACTAATACAAGAAATGAAGATAGCAAGACCCACGCGAGCTAATTCTTCTTTAAACGGTTCAAAGTTGCAACCATTACCGAAATCTGTCACGCAATTTAAAAAGTTTTAAATAAAACAACCCGCTTTACCTCCAAAATCAACATAAGCTTTTATTTTACAAAACAAGAATAAACGCTTACCTTTACACTTGGGAGTGGCAGTGTTCCATCTTCCATCTACACAAGACAGTTCAGCCTCGCCCTCAAGTGTGTACCCAAGGTTACAAAGGTATCGAACTGTTTTTCCGTGTGAATAGTTATTACCGATTTTAAGACCATGATTTAAAACACCAGGTGAGCGACAGTTAGCTTAATCAGAAAGAAAAAAATCAAGCTTAGCTACAGAAAAAAGTAAGGGAACAAAAAAAATTGCTCCTTATTTCTTTAGTTCTTTATAGAAACTAACTCACTGAGTTATTTTGATTTGGATTTTACCTTTTGAGACCAAGGAACATCTTTGAATATCTTCAAAATAGTTCAAACTATGAAATCAAACTTAGCAAATAGTCCTAAAAAATAATCTAAGAACATTTTAAAAGCAAGGGGACCTGTACGTCAACTTTAACGTTACCATGGCAACCCTGGTGTAACAGCCTTGTTTTACGAAATTCGTCTTTTTTCTATAAAAACTGATTTATTTCAAGGTTTTCTGGCTGAAATATTGTATCACACTCAATTTAGAATTATTTAAATTTTTGTTATAACTGTTAATTCAGTCAAGGCCTTTTGGTGACCAAATTCGCACTTCTCCCATAATACACCTACTGATGTTCCGAAAGTTTTCCTAGAATATGTTTGTAATGGGAAAAAAGACCGTTGTGTTTTATTTGGGGGTAATAATGATCGCCGCGTTTCCCAAGAAATAGTTGGTGAAAGAACCATACCAGTTTCTTCGGAGGTACGTTAATTCTGCTCTTGCAAATAGCACAGGCACTTGGCTACTTGGACGAGACTACTGAGCCAAAAGAGATTAGGTGAACAAAAATACTAATTAAGTTTACCCATATCATTTTAAATTTGGAAGACCGGTTGACAGTCATCCTCAGCCCACTCTCTTTCTGAAGCGCTTTGAAAGGGAAATAGTAAGACGCAAGAGAAATTCTAGATCTCCCATGGACATGCTTCCAGTACAACCAATTATTAGTAAGAGGAAGAAGTCAGATAATAATTCTAAGCAGCAAAAGAAAAAAGAAGCAATTAAAATTGTGGACACTCCGAAGAAAATGGTATCGTCTTTCCGTGTACTATTTCTCGGGTAAAAGGCGATCATTATTACATCCAAACCCGGTACAAAGTTCTTTCTTCGCATTACGATCTTATTCTTGGAAAACGTTCAGAAAAATTGCCACGAAAACGGCGCCTAAATACTGAGTAAGTGTATCGGATGGTGCTCATGCCCCCCCCCACCCCTTGGCATCCCATAATACTCCTTAAATCTAATTATATGGACGCCGTTTCGGTAAAAGAAAAACTGAACATAAAATGACTTAATGGTAGATATTGGATTCAAATTTTAACAGTGTTCAACAGTGTTAATTATCAGCAGTTTTTTTTTTACTTTTACATTTACATCCCCTGTCTTAGGAAGCCAGAAAAGGGAAAAAGCATTGTCAGATTAGGGTTAAACTTTTGTTTATTCCGTGTGACGATAAGTTAATTTTTTGGTACAACGAACCTTTGTCGTCTTTTGTAGAACTTTTGTCGATTAAAAGCTACAATATTGCTACTGCGAATTTATGTATAAATCATGGTTTAACGACCAAAAATTGAACTGTCGTTTTCTACTATTAAGATATCTTTGACAAAATTAGTTAGCGGATTAATGTCATTTATTTTCTCTTACCCATGGCACTTACCTAAGCAACGTGGAACAGAGGAACTCCAACTCCTATTAGCTTGACAATATATAACATCAGTCCCCACTAGAGTGTAATTCTTGTCACATACAAACTTGACTGATCCACCATAGACGTAGCCTTTCTTGACAATTTGCTCTCCATTTTTTGGTTTGCTAGGATCATCACACTCAACAGCTATAATAAGAATTGTAGGAAAGTGAATATTTTAGGCTTTGTCGCTTACATATAAACTAGTATATGAAATGCATATTAACTGCTTATTAACCAAGCGCGAGGGCCGTCGAGGTCCGTAATGCCACGATCGAGGGCCAATATACCCTAGTACGGTTCGAACAAGCTCGGTTAGTAAGTTGGTTATTATGTGGCACTCTGTTTCTGATAGTAAAATGCACTTCCGGTGGCTTGCACTTAAAGGGCTTCCGCCGTGACGTATGCGTGATGATGTAAGCAACTCAGACAAAAGCTAGCCTGTGTAGCAAGCGTTTCCGCGCGAGTTCGTCGAGAACGTCGGAACGGGAGAAAACACACGCTTGCTACGCAGGCTAGACAAAAGCAAGCTACCACGAGTTCGAAAAACAAATTTATTGAATGTGAAATCGTCTGAAATCAGCTTAAACAAAACTTCAAAAATGCTTTGTAACGGAATCTGACAAAAGCAATTGTTGATTCTAAAATTCGAATAAAGGGTTTTTCGAGATCAAATAACATTTTCTTGATTACAAAATATGGATCAAGTCAGTGTCAAGTGAAGCTGTGAAAATTAAATTAAAACTGGACAAAGTTGATAAAACATAGTCAATCGTCCTCATCGCTCTCGATGACAATTCGACGCTTCCTTTCATTCTGGACAATATTCACACTACCCTGAAATATATGTGCACCCGTTGATGGATCCTATGTTTGCACCTGTAAAAACTGGAACGTTGGAAGACAGAATAAAACGGATCGCTTGACGGATCAATCAATGTATTTGTTGTCGAACTTGCAGCGATGTCTGTAGTCGAGCGAGTTACTACTTCAAACCCTTGATTATGGACACTTGATAAAGCTTCATTTCTGGTTCCAGAACGATCAGCTCTGCAGAGGGTCAAGGAGATCCTCTTTTGGTGTTTACCACTGGCGGACTTGTAGGACTGTAAACTCTCCCCGCTTTTGTGGCCACTCAGTTAGGCTACAAAGTTCTCTGGAACATGAGCATCAAGGAGCCTCGAAATACAGGTTTTCCTGACAGAATGATTGGTTACTTTTTTTCCCTCTCTGTGAAGGCCAGCATTCTTCGCTGCAGTGGACAGAAACTTTCCTATTTCATTTTTTCCGAGGGGTGCATTCATATACCAAACTTCTTCATTTGATCGTCGATTATGCCTGACCGCTAAGTAAAATGGTGACTTTGGTGCGTTCATTTCCGTTGGCCGGTGACTGCGGAAGTTTTTGTAAAAACTGACAGGACATCTTGCTGTATTGGTGGCATAAATCTTTGGTTGGAACCAGGGGGGGAGGTGTCTCCAAGGAGATCTGTGGTACAGTCCGCCTGCCAGTATGACGTCACGCCTCTCGTCAGTGACTTTCAAAACTATGGCGAGCAAAGTGTTCATCGAAGAGACGGATAAAAATTTCGATTTTATCACGGAAATACTGTTCCGATTTCTTGGATTTGGAGATTTTAAGGTTTCTATTGTCATAGAAAACTAGACTTAGTACTTTTTTGGAATGAAATTTCCAGTGGTGTAATGAATTTTAAACATTCCTTTCTATCGTCGAGCAAATTTTACGCGCAATCATACCGACCGGTCACACTTTTGAGGGCCAGTGCACAGCAAGATTGAGGAGTTTAGACACAGCAATAGGAGGTTCATCAAAGGATGTATTATACTTTACACTGTGTGTATTTTCAGCTCTTCAGAGCTAGTGGAACCCCATATCACTCCTCTGAAAGTTCGCTTTGCTGTAGCGTTGAAAGAGGACGCTAAATGACGGGTATTTGTGAGAGACTGTGAGCACTGAATCTTTTTGCTTTACCGCATTTTAATACTGTATTGGGCATACACCTGTAATTTTGTAATTAAATCCCGAAAACCAATAAAAGGTTTCGTTTAATCATCTTTTGGGGACAAAACCAGTGGAGATTTTAGGGTAATAATATCGTGATGATTACGACGATGTTTAACTTTCGCCAGTGGGTCACTGGTGGGTGTTGGGTGTAAATTAGTACAGTTTGTGGTAAGCTGTGTGTTGTTTGTCATGATGTCAACTAACATTGAAAAAAATTCAGCTGTTTCAGAGGAGGGGCATGTCTTGACAGCTTATGGTTTTTATCTGGTCGTAAGCTTGGCCAGTATGCAGATCAAGACGTTTTGAAATCCCTTTTCCATAATAACACTCCGGACTCAGCTTAAAAATATATATTGATTGAAGTGCATGACCACCAGGGTCAGCCGTAAGAATAAAGAAAAAAAAGGCCAACAGGAAAAATAGTGTTTAAAAAAGAGATCAAACAAGGAAAAAAAAACGGTACATAGAAAAGGAAAACAGCGTCGCCGGAAGTCGAATCCGGTTTATCTGCACGTGCAAATAACTGTCGTATCCCTTGCTAATTTGCACAAGTGACCCGAGGCTCTTGCCCGTTACTATGTGACGTCATACTGGCTGGCGGAGTGGGTCAAGAAACTTAGGTAGAAAACAATAGAGTTACATTCCCCCCGCCCCCTCCTATGGTTGGAACCCTCTTTGGTGTCCTCTCTCCTGACCATGTCAGGTCTTTTTGCTGTGCTAGGCCAACCAAACCAAGACTTCTTGGTCATCATTCTGCTGTTGAAGCTGAACGTCACCCCAGCGTAACTTACGACCTTCATCTCTTGCTCGGAAACCGAAGTGTAGGGATAAAAACCATCACACAGTTCTTTGAAGCGCAACTGGATTGGAGTCGCCGAATTCTCCTGCTTCAAAAAAGGTATCCTCTTCGTCTTCGTCGATGGTTAACCTGAGATCAGGCCCAGTTTTAGCGGTTCTCATACATTCTCTCTAACGGCTACCGTTTCGCCTTGCCCGCTGGAATGTCATTTTTCAAAGCGAAACGAAAATAGAGCCTGATCTAAGGTTATCGATTGCCTGAGCAGCTTGCGGTTTGTTTCCTTTGCCGTGTTCTTGAACAACTGGCTTTCGCTTCGCTGCAAGGACTTTTCTGGATTTTTCGAACTAATTGTTCTTATATAAGTATGTTAAATACTATCGCTGTATACTGCGCCGAAAACTGGAAACTGTTGCTGGCTCGTACTCTTCTCCATTTTTCTTGCGCCATGCGTTCAAAAAAATTCGACTAAGGTGGTTAAGCTCGGACGCACGTAAGCTTTCACTTTTCTCATTTTTCATCATTAGCTTCCATGTAGCGCAGAAGAGTGTTCATATCAGTAGCCGTCTTCTTGTTTGTGTTTGCACTTCTCTGTTGGTTGATAAAATCGTCTATGGCCTCCTGGCTTTCGGTAATGCCTGTTTCAGTTTCTGCATCAAAAGTTTCCAGATCTTCAGCCTAATAAAACTCGCTTGGAGAATGTTTGTTCGAAATTTCGGTAAAATTTCAATCTTTTTAGCTTTTTCTGGTAGTTTCGCTGTGAAGAATGACAATTTTCACAGTTTTTTTTTCGCTGTTTTGGTTCCAAATTTTGAGTTTGCCGGCTTTTTTTGCAAAACAAAAATACACGGCTTCGTGAAAACGGTCCGATCCTGACCGAGAAAGAACCAATCAGAGCACACGGATTTTCCTAAGACTGGCTTTGCCATATAATAATGCCGGATATTAAGAAAAACTTTTTACTACAACTTGGATAGGTGCACACGAGATAATTCCCCTATGAACAGTTCAAAATTTTGAGCTAATTCTTTTTATCAATGAAAAAATTCCACGTTATGTCAAAAGTTGTAAATGAAACAAAAGGTTAAGACTTCCTCTAATTCAGGGCAAGATCTTATTTATAAAAACAAAAAACTATGCCTACTTTTGCACTTTGGAGTATCAGTGTTCCATCTTCCGTCTTCACAAGTCAGTTGAGCCTCGCCTTCAAGTGCGTACCCAGGGTTACAAAAATATCGAACTGTTTTTCCATGCGTGTAGTTATTACCAAATTTAAGGCCATGATTTATATCGTCAGGTGGTCGACAGTTAGCTGAATTTAAAAAAAAAACAACAAAGAAGAAGGAGAACAAATTAATCTTGTCTTACCCCCGTATGACCACATAAGAAAAGCGACAGGAAATGTCCGGTCAGAATAGTGTTAAACTTATTTTTATTTCCTAGCCGAGTGCGCTAAATTAATTTTTTCCATACACAACTAACTAGCATATGTCTTATTAGAGTGACTCTTTCTACTGGTAATTTAAATAAATCATGTTTCTAAGACCGTAAAATCTAACTGTACAGGAGTATCAGAAAAATTTAGTGAGTGGAATTAATGTCCTGGATTTTACCTAAGCAACGTGGAAGAGAAGAACTCCAACTCCTATTAGCTTGACAATATATAAGATCAGTCCCCACTAGAGTGTAATTGTTGTCACAAACAAACTTGACTGATCCACCATAGACGTAGCCTTTCTTGACAATCTGCTTTCCATTTGTTGGTTTCCCAGGATCTCCACATTCGACAGCTGTAATATTTTCAGGGAAGTCAATTTTTTAACCTTTATTTGTCGTTTATATATCAGATAAACTATTGTAGAAATTCAAGACTGGGGGATATCAAGACTACAACTTGGATAAACGAACACAAGTTAATTCTTCTTTCAACGGTTCAAAATTGCGAGCTAACTCATTTTGCAGCCATTGAAAAAATTTACCCAGAAATTTCAATGGTTGTGGCAAAGCTAAAGCAAACCCCTCAAGCTCTTTTCCGTCCGACAACGCATTTTTAGGAGTTCCCAATTCACGACTTTAGATTTGACAAGATAAATACATGTAAATGCAGACATAACAAACTTTAAAGAAATTGTGCACGCACAGGGAATGATTTGGAAGCGCGAAAGATGGCCCCAATTCCAACTATGATGTTCCTAAACAGCTCAAGGTTTTGTGAGTTGTGAGAATGGCGGCTTTGAGACTTGTTAGCAATAATAAGATCGATGAAAGGTTTGAACCCAGGAGTCATTTCAAAAGTAGGTTGAGTTTGATCGTCCGGGTGAACGTAGTCCTGAATAGGACTGTTGTTGTTGACAGTGACTGACGTTTCGACAACCTGTGCGGTAGTCATCTTCACAGTCAAAGTGAGTTGTATCACGTCAGTTGATGGTATTATACTCTGGTTATTGATCCGTGATTGGTCAATTACGTCGCGATGTTATTGGTCGTCTGTCAGTTAAGCCGTGATGTTATTGGCTATGAAGACTCGTAATCAGTAATTGGTACGTTTCGATCTGTCTATTGTCACAGTTAAACAGTCGTCTATTATTAGTCAAATTGTCAGTTCTCCAGTCGTTCTCTCGTAGTTAGCTTTGCTTGATCTCGTCAATAAGTCTTTTGTACGGCGCTGGTAACTGTTGGCTACGATTCAGTGACGTTTGTTCTAAGTTAGGAAACCAGCTTTCTAAAGTAAGACGTTGATAGTAGTCTGTAGAATACGTTATCCATGTCCATGTCCACCTTTATTACTGACCGAACACAAACGCGCGACGAAGAATGGTGACGTCAACAATCACATTGCTGAGCACCATTTAAAGACGAAACATCAAATTGACTGGGACTCTGCGACATGGATAACGTATTCTACAGACTACTATTAACGTCTTACTTTAGAAAGCTGGTTTACTAACTTAGAACAAACGCCACTGAATCGTAGCCAACAGTTACCAGCGCCGTACAAAAGACTTATTGACGAGATCAAGCAAAACTAACTACGAGAGAACGACTGGAGAACTGACAATTTGACTAGCAATAGACGACTGTTTAACTGTGACAATAGACGGATCGAAACGCACCAATTACTGATTACGAGTCTTCATAGCCAATAACATCAAGGCTTAACTGACAGACGACCAATAACATCGCGACGTAATTGACCAATCACGGATCAATAACCAGAATATAATACCATCAACTGACGTGATACAACTCACTTTGACTCTGAAGATGACTACCACGTCCGTCACTGTCAACAACAACAGTCCTATTCAGGACTACGTTCACTTGAACGATCAAACTCAACCTACTTTTGAAATAATAAGATCCGTAACTCTTTTTCTTAAATCTTTCAACGATTATAACCCTTTTAGTTTAAAAACTACCCTTAAAACAGATTTACAAAACTTTCAGTGAACCAGTTGACCGAATTCTGGAAGACCGAGAAATCCCTTAGCTTACTAACCAATCGTGTGTGATGGCTGGGTGCTGGGTTATTGTGCTACATTAAGCTGTACCCACAAAATACTTATCTGCCGGCAACTTACGTTTGCATTCAGGGGTGGTCTCATTCCATGTTCCTTTTACGCAAGATATTATTTCTGACCCAAGCAGTTCGTAACCAACGTTGCATCGATATTGAATGGACGATCCAGAACTGTAATCCTCTCCGATGATTGAACCATTTTTGAAAGGTTCTGGATTCTTGCAATTGCCTTTGGGCAAGAAAGAGAACGAAAATATTCTATTTATTTATTTATTTATTTATTAAAAAAAAAAAAGAATAGATGGTTTACGTATATTTCCTTAAAGGAGAAATATTTCACCAAAAACTCTGCGGTCTAGTCATATCTCAAACCTTCACAAGTTGGAATACTGCCGTTCCATTTTCCTTGAACACATTTCATCTGCCTCAAACCTTGCAATTTAAATCCCTCGTTACATGAAAAAGAGACTAATGCTCCATTTTCATTGCCAATGTTGTGTATTTTTCCATTCCTAAGGGTTTGTAGTGGATCACAAGATGCTGAAGATGAAAGGAGAAGTCAAAAAAGTAAACACGTTATCAGTGTCATAACATGCCCATGATAGTTTGATAGGCCTAAGTAAAAAAGACGATAGAAGAAGAGCTCAGCTGCTCTTTCTGTCTGGATAAGAGTAACTGCTGATTAGCGTCTAGTAACCAACAGCAGTAAGTCCGAATCACAAACAGGAAGCTTCTGGGATTAACACACGCGGCACCAAGTAAATCCTATGATTAAGTTATTTTTTTGTTTCGGTTTGGTTTGTTTTTTCCTTTGTATTTTGTTGTTGTTGTTTTTTTAATTCTGCAGTTTGAATTTGTGGTGTGTTTAGATCATAACTCATGGCTAAATAATCGGCAAAAATTCTGAAATTATCACGTCATTCAAAAGCTGACTTGAATTCTTGTATTTGTATTTGTATTTTATTTTTACTCCATCCTACAGATAATACATTAGTTGTACAATATTAATTAGTACAAGGTTGTTTAAACTACGTGCTACATGAGAAAAAAAATTAGAATGGAGAAGGGCACATTATAGTGAAACTAATTATGGCCCTTAAACAAGATTGACTTTATTCTATTATAGCTTTGTTATTCATTAAAACACAAACACGCACACACGCACGCACACACACACGCAAACAAGTCAATTATTTTTTTAAGTGCCTTTTTGAACAGGATTTTCGATGATTTATTGCGAATAGAAAGGGAAAATCATATTCAAATAAAAGACACCAACAGGAGCTCTTAAACGAAAAGCTAAATTATTTAAAGAAAGACGCAAAAAAAGCAACAAATAACACTCAACTAGCCAGCTTCAAAAGACGCGGCCATCATCATCGCTGACCGCTGACCAGATGAATTGAATTCGCGCCCTTTAACACACGAATTTCACAATTTCTTAATCCACGCCACTGTTTTGAAGTTCGTCATCTTTACCTACCTGGAGTAGAACATCCATAGAGCTCCAATCTAAGACAAGGAACGACAGGAACCATCAAAAACCTAAACGGGTCTTTTGGGTATATCCTGATTGATCGTGTCCTAATTGGTGGCTTGAAGACATTCTTTTTCAAGGATCTGCTGTTTCGATTACCTTTAAGTGGCTGTAAACAGAAAAAAAGGTCTATGTTTATATTCCTAGCTCAGTAATAGCTATGTTAGCAAAGAAAATTATGGAGCTTTGTTTTTAATAGTGATAAAATTTGTAATAATGAATGTATTTGTAATGTGTCATCAAATATTTGCAAGTGACACCGTGGTCGCGATATTTTCTCAGTTTTGGGTTTGTGTGTTTAAACGCAGTAGTAGTTTAGGCTCCACGGGAACAGAATACAAGATATATGTAAAGAATGTTGTTATGTTCCGAAAAGAGCCAACGAGATGTCAGAAATCTAAACCGCAAGCATCAACACCGTAATGGTGATTATCATATCGTTTCGCCATTTGCTTGCGTTTTGTTCCCTTCAATGTGAATGGTAATGACAAAGTAGTCATTATGAAAAAAAGAGTGGTTTTGTTTGTACGTCGACAGTAACTTTATAATGCTGTAAAAACATCACTGTTAGCTTTCAGAAAAAGTTACCTTTCCGTACGATGTCCATTTTTCGTCTCTCGAGTATGTAACTTCAAAATTTCTGGCCCAACTAGAATCGCGTGAACTTCCCTGGGTTTTTATCGCTGTTATAAGGTTTTCTTCGTCCCAAGAAATTTGTATATACGGTGATTTATCTCCCGGAGCTGAGCACCAGGCTCTCGGTCCATCCAGCCGAGCAAATGCAGGTGCGTGATTGGCGCTTAGCTCAGACGATGACGTAATACTATTATCTGGGATTCTTTTGTCTTGCATTCCAAATTCGCTGCTACATTCTGATGCTTAGAAACAATATGTACGTTAGTATAATATCACACAAATAGACCTTATATTTGAGAGTCACCCCATGGACCTAATCGTATAGAGTAATGGTGGCTCCCAGTAACATGATAAAAGCTAAAGTCAGATGCAAAAGCTAAATTAGAACGAGCTTGCAGAGTAGGCTGAACGTGACGTTAAGCTGATTTTTATCTGGATTAGCAAGACCTAGACGCTTCTCAATTACATGTCTATAAAACAACAGATACATTATTATCAGGGGCACCCAACGACAATTTTCGGAAGAATATCTGTTCGGAAGACGATTTTAGATCTAGAATTTTCGGAACATTTGTTGTAAAATTTCTTGCTTGCCTGCCTCTCCTATGATTTTCGAACATCCAAAAAATGGTATAATTGCCTATTTTTAACGGATTTTTACCCTAAAAAGGTCACCTAGAATTTTCGGGAGCCTTTTTTCTGGCTGAAATTTTCGAAAAGGTAAGGTTTGATCCCTATAATATTCGCATCACTAGGCTTTCAGCTAGGAAATCCGAACAGATGAAAAATTTTTAGGGGATAAAAATATGCCTATATCTACTGTTTAAATACTAAAATACGTTTAACAGTGCTATGTTTAAGTGGTTTTGAACTATATTCTCGTTGGGTGCCCCTGTATTATTTGGATCCAAGTAATAACCACTGAATTTTTACTTGTAACCTGTCTTTAAACTCGCGTATGCGTCGGTATATACAACGGAAACGCTGATAACCAAGACGTGGGTACTTTGTAATGCTGCTAAATTATCCCTAGCCGTCTCCTATTTTTCCTTGCGTTCACTTTCAGTTTTTAAATGAACGATACGATGCGATAAAAATATGACTGAAAACAAACATGAAATGAGAAATTCCGATGTATTACAAATTATCGACTCAAAAAATCTTGTTTTTCTTTGGTTTTAAGAGTAAACAAACGTTTCAGACCACGTTTCAACACAATACCGCACCTACAATGAGTTCTTTAGCCTGAATGCTTAATCCCATTATTGGTGCTTCATCACTGTATTCTATTTTTTCACATCAAGGTTATACTTCCTTTAGTTAATGTCTTGCACGCATGATCTCTCACGTAATACATCTTAAAGTTTATTTGTAAAGTGTATTTACCTACAATCTCATTATCTCTTACGTTCATAACAGTTATATTACACCGTTGTTAAGTTGGTTTGTGGTGACTTTTTTTTTCCTCCCGTTGTGCAGTGCAAATTGTATGCCGACACACTAAGGTTAGCACACTCTCAAAGAGTAGCCATTTGGATCCTAAAAGCACCTTAATATTGATACTTACTTGCACTTGCAGAACGTTGACCTATGAAAATCAGTGGAACGGCAAATAACCACAATAAAATCTGATGAAAATAAGACGATTAAAAAAACATTATTCGGACTTTCACTTAAATGAGTATTACAAATTAGTATTACATAGATGGCTAGCAATTTTTTCTCCTTCAAGTGACACTTTTGACACGTTTCATAACTATTCACTAAAAGCCATGCATATATCTTTGCTCCTTTCGAAAAAAAAAATAATTAGAACAATTTAAACTAGTTTAAAAGCCAATGCAATGTATTCAAAGAAAGTGGTTCGAATTTGCCGTTTCGTTTCTACTTTTTAGCGGCTGCTAAATACAAGTATATTGCTGAAAGTAGTCTTTATTAAGACAGAAGCCGAATGTCAGTTGGTTTATTTTCTCATGCGGTCATTAAATAAAAAAACCTGAGCAGTGCTGTCTCAAAGAACGGAAGACAAATGTGCTGACACTCCCAACCGACAAGAGACTTGGCCGAATGGATTCAAACGAAGAGGAAATGTTTCACAGACTTCCTATTATAAGTGCACTTAATATACAGATATACAGCTGTTTTTTATTTGAAACCTCTTCACGGTAAAGTTCAATTCTTCGAAGCTTGTCTGTGGCGTAAACACCTCCGACTTGCACAGCAGTGTTTACACTAACCGATGGCTTAGCATGAAGTAAACTTTTAGAGGGACAACAGTTATTTTTGTTTGAGAACATACCTTATATCCAAGTGAAAACATGTCGAAGAGTGTGAAATGACAGAACCATCAGTTACTCAAAGATGGATTTTCATTCATTGGCATCGACTCCGTGCTATTCTCGAAGCAACTCTGCAACTGATTATCGTGCAATGGTTGTTAACCTTTTAAGACGCAAAAGGGTCACGTTTTCCCAAAATTTATGATGTCATGCGAAGAACTGAAGGAAGTGGAAAGTGGGTTGAGTGAAAATGTGCGCCATAGTTTATTTATCGTTTAGAGTCATAAGGTTATTAAGCTGTTTAATCTTAGATACTTTAATAGCGGTATAAATTCAGAAAGGTCTGTTTTAACAGGGAGTCGTCTGGATGGATAAGGAGTACTGCTGAAAACTATCAATCACAATTGATATCATTTCCCAAAATAAATATTGTTGTTCTGTTTAGTAACACTCCTGGAACTGACTCGTCCCCAGTCGTCTCAAGTTGTCTCTACTCATTAATTATTTTACTAGGGAAACGCTTGGGTTATGCGCGAGGGAAAGAATAGATGGGATCCCCTTCGTTAAAGAGCCCGTTCTTGTCTTCCACGCCAAAACTGAAAAGTTACAGATTTCGACCAATTACTACCCCGAACTCGTTTTTTACATAGTATTAGTAATGAAAATTGAACTGACTGAAATCTTTCCTTAAAAACGGTTACATTAATTACTTTTCTTTTGGTAGCGATATATGCATCCATTTCATTTTGTCCAGTAAATCTTTGCCGAGTGCTAGATATAATTTTAGTTTGATTACAGTGTACTTCAGGTCGTCTTTCATTTTTTACTGAAAGTACATTTATGATAATGCAATCTGAATGGAAAAAATACCTTTAGCCCGTATCGAACTTGATTGGTGCGCTAATTTTCTTTCAATTTGTAAATGTTATGTTAGCATAGGTAATAGCATGATTTGTACTGATATTTCGCATGAATACCACGAATGATATTTCAAAATTGTCATACGTCATTTCACGAGCCGTTAGGCGAGTGAAATTTGAGACGATTTTGAAATATCACGAGTGGTATTTATGCCAAATATCACATACAAATCATGCTATTAATTGTTTATACTACTATCCTTAGAAGGTTTGTAATTTTCACATGTAGGTATTTCAAATTAAGCTGAAATACCACTGCTCTAAGCCAATCAAATTGCATAAATTTCTCATGTAGTAGTATGAGGTATAAATTTGCATGTTTTTATTTAACTTGTAGGTATTGGCATCATGTCAACGAGGAAAGGTTACCGGAATTGTCACGGTTTTGAGTGGTCCGAAATAAAGTCGCAACACTAAGGGCCTGTTTACATGGAGTGGGGGACCCCGGCCTAGTGGGGTTGATTTCTTTTGTTTTTACGCTCTGGGGGACACAAAACGAAAGAAACCTACCCCACTAGACCGGGGTCCCCCACTCCATGTAAACAGGGTCTAAGAGAGAATGGTATCGGGCTACCTTATCCTCTCTTGGTCGCAAATACAGTGAAACCTCTTTCTCAAACTCATTAATAATTCATAAAGAAAATTCAAAGGAAATTAATGTTTAATGAGTGTTTGGATATCAGATGAAAAACTGCTCATTTTTGCATCTTTAATTTCTCCTTCAAAAATGATTTTGTTTGAGAAGAAATATCAAACATTCGACACAGTGTTTCATCACCAGATGAAACACCTCGAAGTTCGTCAAAAATACTCCGCTGCGCGTCGTATTTTCAACTCTCTTCTCGGTGTTTCATCTGGTGATGAAACACTGCATCTCATGTTTGATATATTACATCAAGTGGACCCTCAATTAAGCGGACACCCTCTATTAAGCAGGCACTAAGCCTGGTCCCGAAACGAACGTCTGATATTTCCCTTTATTATTCATTCAAAATATTTTCCCGATTCTGATTGGCTAAAAGCACACGTTTAATTCACCGTAACCAGTTACTGATGACCAAATTTGGAAGAATTTTGTGTTTAACGGGGAAATGACGTCAAAAATGCAGCGTTTTCGCAGGTTAAGGCACCGTTAACCGAGAAGACCTGAAGACGAGGTTGAGTTGTTTTGGTTGTGAACTTGAAAAATGGCGGACATCTCACTCGTTTCAAAAGTAAGAGCTAGGCGAAAAAATGGCTAAAAACATGGCAAGAAGAGCAAGAAGACAACTCGAAGGGCGACGTCTGCTATTTGGAGAATATTTGTGGAGCTGGACAAACCTAAACGTACACTATCGAAGATGAACTTAACATCGATGAATCGATGAAGGTAAGAATGTTTTAGCCATTTTTTAAACTAGGAATTATTTTGAATGAATAATAAAACAATTATTGAATTCGGCTTTCGTATCATATAAAGAATTATGGAGAACTCGGAGGGTGTTATCCGCCTCGGCCTACGGCCTCGACGGATAACACCCTCCTCGATCTCCATAATTCTTCATCAGATACTCAGCCTCATTCATTGATTGTTAATTATAATGAACCCCTATTCAGCGGACTCCTCTATTAAGCGGACGCAGACACTGAAATAAATAAGTTGTATTTGGCTAATTTCTATTGTTAAAAACTTCTATTAACCTGACATCGGACTGAATTGACAATAGTAGTATTGGATTACGTCCTTGAAATACGTACTGTCAGTTAATGTTTTTGCATTTACAAACAAATTAAAGCTAGTAATGAAAGGTAATGAATTTGAACTCTGGATAACTTCTTTAACAACATGCAACTTTATCACAGTACAGAGTAACCGTTGAATGTTGATCGTTAACAAACATTCGCAATTTTTTACAACCTCTATAAAACGGACCCAACGACTGTTTTTTGTAAAATATCTGTTCGGAGAAGCAAATATTGCCTCTGATTTTCTTTTGCTTGAGGACGGCTAAAAATTTCTAGATGGACGTTCCATTCATGTACAATTTTCGAAGCTTTTCAAATAAATTCCCTACGATTTTCTGAAGTTTTATTTTTTTTACATTTAACCACCCAGGTTACACTATTTTTTCTTAGAAAGAAGAAACCTAAAATTTTCGGATTCTAAATAGGGATGGAGAGAGGAATCAGAAAAATTTTCACTTTCGTAAAACTTTACATTGCACCTAAACTTTTCGGAAAAATAATGCTGAAGCCTTGTAATTTCGAAAAGTTCCCCTGTACCCTGCGAGCAGTGGTTTCTCCAGGCCGGACGCTACGCTACGAGAAACCACTGCTCGCAGGGTAGTTCCCCTGGGATGACCGAACAGATAAAAATTTTGTAGGGCCGCCTAGAATGCATTTCTAGAGATCTAAAAGTACTCTATATTGCCTAAAAAGTGTTTCCATCGTATTTTGGAGGAAACCTTCGTTGGGTGCTCATGACTTGGGAAGGTCCCGTTAATAGAGGTTTCACTGTATTAACAAAAAACAAAACTAAACATGAGAAGTTCGAAATAGGGTGTCAATTACAATCGAAAAACTTGTATTTGGGTTTGAGGAAGAAGTAATAATTCCAGGTAAGTACTGCAGAGCAGGAGCTCCTGTGAAGAGTTTTGCGCTTGGATGCGCTTGGGCACATTCCCGGCCAGGAGGGGCTTGGAACCAACAAAGATTGTCGCGCGTAGCAACCATAACAAACTTCAATATGGCGGCCGTAGGTTAATTTATTTGTCGTTTGGACCTGGAAAGTTTAGCTATTTTTCGGCAGATTGAGTCACCGTTGTTGTTACTAATACACTAGTAAATATGTCTAAGTCTCGAAGAGGAAAAAGCGCATCAGCCAATGAATTAAGCAGATGGGAAACAGAATTGATTCAAACGCCGTTCAACGAGGTTTAAATTTACGGTTCTTCAATTCCCTTTTCAACTTTCGAACTTTTTTACTGTGTTTGGATTTGCTGACTAAGTGTCACGGTTTTTTTGGCTTTATATTAGGAAGCATGGAGATCTTGCGTGTATTTCATCGTTCCAAACAGAGTGGAAGATAATGTGTTTATCGACGTTCTGTCAGAAGTTGTTGTGACTGGCCTGAGAAAGTTGTACAGCATTATAACATTCGACGGTCTTGTTAAAGATGTAAGTTATACGATCTCTATGTTTTTATTTAAGTCACAAATGAGCGTTTGAATGATGCTTCGCATTTAAAATTGCTAGATCTGTGTTCATTAATCAGCGTATTATTTATTCACAGATTGCCCTAACAGGATGCATCTGTTTTGTTAGTACAAATTAAAGTGCCGTTGTATTTGTGCTAAACTCTCTCATTGCTGAAAATGTGTTCATGTTTTATGTACTCCTATTTAATCGGGTATAGATGATTAATAATACTTTTTATATAAGGGTCTGTTTACAAAATGGGAGGGAAATCCTGGTGCTATGGTTTACCGTAGCATTAGCGGGCCTAAGATAACTCTGATTTACAATCGAAATTTCCTAGGTTGGGTTACCCCGGGTCAACTTTACAAGCTTGAGTGACATGTTGCGTCATGCGTGACTAAAATACACAGTCTTTGCATAGACCTCCAAGATTTGAATGAAATCTTGAAGATCTCCAAAGAAACAAGTTAAATTCACAATGGTACAGACAAATATTATCATTGTATACAGAAAATAATTTATATGTACCTAATATTGCTCAGATTATTAAATGTTAGCTCGAAAAATTGGGTAACCACATTCAAATTTTAAACAACTATTGGATGAGGTTTTTCTGATATACAGAATAATCAAGGTCAAGGTAAGTGTTATCAGCAGAGCTGAAGGCCGAGGCTGATAACATTTATCGAGACCTTGATTATTTAGGATATCACAAAAACTTGAGTCTAATAATTGTTTTATTATACATTGTTTTGAAGAAAATAATGACAAACACACTGTCGCAAGGAACCTGAATTGATATTGTTATTGCAAATCATGCATTGCATGTGCAACCTACAGATTAGTCAGTTATCTGCTAGCATATAACGAACTAATCTGTTGGTTGCGCTGATTTCCAAAATTAGCTGTAGGCTCTTAGCCAATGAGAAGACAGATAGTGAGTACAAAATGTATAATAATCAAGATTACTGGTCACATGCAATGGAGCAAAGTTGACTTTATATCACCAAGGTAAACCCACCTGCCCAGGGGGGGGTACTGCCATATATGGGCTATATAGGTATGTGCCGCTGTGAAGGGTATAGTTTTCAAGCAGTTTACTCTAGGATAGGGTATATAAATCAGAGCGTTTGGGTCTAGAATAGGGTATCATTTTTCAGGAAACTGATCAGTTGGTTGAAGATTTTATCTAGACAAGGGAAACAGCTACTCTAGGATAGGGGGATTTTGGGAGTTTACTCTAGTATAGGGTAGCAAAATTCAGCTGAACTAGCTCTGGTATAGGTTAAGGGTTCCAGGGTCCCAGCGGCACATCCCCACCCAGAAATTCCTAAAGTACCACCCCCGGGCCACCTGCCTTATAAACACTTTGCGTAACAATTAAACAAAGAAATGTGTAAAGTGCTAGGGTAACCCCCTTGCACCAGGGTTATAACTTCCCCCCTTGTAAACAGGCCCTAACTATTATGTTTAATTTATATATTATCACCGTTCAAGGTTAAAGAATTTTCTAAACCTGCTGCTACTGGTGGTAAAGGTAAAGGAGCAGCATCTGCTAAACCACCACAGTTTCATGAAGTCTGTGAGCAAGTCAAACCACTGGTGGATCAAGGTGAACCTATTCCACCTTCTTTGATGGCCAAACTTTTAAAGTTCAAGTTGTTACATGTTAAACAGAAGGATCTAGAGAGAAGAGAGGAAGAAAAGAAGGTACATTCTTACAAACTGAGTGAACTATATATTTCACACCTTAGTTTAGTTGCTTTTCAAAAAATACCATTAATAAATTTGTTTGTGTTCCAGCCATTTTCTGATTGCCCAAGAAGACACTGCTCTCTCCCCAACATTAACCTTTCAGTTTCGCTCTCTCCCCTTGCATCTTTCTTTAATTCTCTTCCTTCTCCTAGTGTCTGCAAAGAAAGTTGTGTCCCAGCCCTGGGCTTGTAGATTTTGCTATTGAATTCTGTTTTTACCGTGCAAGTGAGAAGTTTTTCTGGGAATTCCAATTACAGAAGACCTGTAATCAATCCTGCTGGAAAAATGTTTTGAGGGGCTATATGTAGTTAAATTGACTACTGGGCTAGCAAATGCTATAGCTACAGCTTGCCCAAAATTATGACAAGCTGTAAAACTGCATGACTTTATTTGTACTCTGCCCCCTTTTCTGGGCGTCTTCTAGACCTCATTTTGTTGGGAAAGGTTTTCATGAAAACTTTGACGGTCATCAGAAATACTTTTTAAAGAAGTTATGCTGGGTGTATTTGTCAAAGAAAAAGATTTTTATTTAAAATTTTTTTTTTCAGTCAAGGTTACATGTTCCTTTTTAGCCTGCAGTGCAGGCGTATTTTGGGTGGGCGAAACCTTGTTCGTGTTCGTATAAATATTGTTGTAGCCACCATCTTTGATTTTATGACAGTGGAAGATTGGGGAGAGTAGAAATAGTAACCCTCACGGTAGGTGCGAGGGCAAAAGAAGGAAACGGGGGAGGGAGAGGGGAGAAAAAAAAATGCGCCTGCCCGATATCATTGTTCTTTTGGGAAACTGACCGTACGCTGGCAAACGGAGCTCCTGATTGGTGCGGCATAGGGAAGTAGATTGATGCCTGTCAATTAACTGTAAGTCTATATTGTTTTTTCCGTTTCCCTCAGTCTTTTGAAATTGGAGCGGCTGGGAATGTCGCGTGTATTACGCAATGAGAAAGTCAAAGTGATTTATACACTGGTCATCAGGACAAGATTTGCTCGCAAGTACTAAAACCTACACGACTTCTGCCTCATGCCAAAATGCTGCTTGTTCCAATACGTTCTTTTTTTCTGGTGATTAGATTATGCTCTAGGGGGGTTCTATGTTTTGAGTGAGCAAATGTAATTTTAGCCGCTTGTTTCACACTGAGAGGTCATGACACGCTTATTGATTTTCTGTGGTTTTTGAATTTCTGGTCTTCATGATTTGCCCTCTGGTGCAAGAGCGTTTTCTTTGACCTCTTTTGAAGCGTAAAGCTCTTTTTGTCGCTAAATAAGGCTGTTAGGTTCTTTTTATTTTTGTCCAAAGTGCCTCAGGATCTGAATAACTAAGCAATTTTCTTTCTAGCCTGAGAATGTGATGTTTTCCCTGCAATGTTGTATCACGCTGGGCCCAGCTCGTTAGCTTTTTAAATTGTTTGCAGGATGTTAAACTCTCGCGGATAGCGATTTACAGAGATGAATTTCCCTTAACAAAATTTCTACCCTGCAAAACCCTGTGAGAGCCCTGTAAAATCCTGTTTCCAGCCCTGTTTACGTTATTTCAGGGCTGTAAACTGGTTGTAACAGGGCTGTGACACAGCTGCAACTTACTTGAGTTAAAACAAGTGGAGCTGTGACAGGGCTGTAAAAGTGTACATAGTTAAGTGTAACAAGCCTGTTACATAGCTGTGAAAATATCCAGTTACTGTAACAGGGTTAAGACAGGGCTACCTAGTGATGCAGAAGAACTAGGACAGGGATGCAGAATGGCTGTGTTAGGTACATTTGACAGAAACCGGGTTACTACAGAGTTGTGAGATGTCTATTTCTGTTCACACATGCAATGGATAATAATCAAAGGGCAGTAACAATGTAGCCAAGTACGTTAAACTCCATAAATCATGAAAGATGGTAATATTTCTCAAAGTCTAAAGTGTTAAAAGGAGCGAGGGTCAGCTAGATTAATACAAATAAAACGAAAAAGAACTTGGTGAAAATGGCATCGCTAAATCATCAAACACGATTATTGTACATCTTTTAGTATGCTGTTTTTGGTTTTGTTTGGATTTGCTTCGTTTTTTTCTTTTTTTTTTTTCATTGACACTTACATCAATTAATTACCGATGTTGTGGCTACCTTTTGTAGTTTGAAGTTGCTTTCTTTTTAGACTTTTATCTCATGCTAAAAACGAAGACCTTCTTATGATTTCATCAGCTCCTGTTCTTCCTGTTCTTTTAAATAATAAAAAAACCGCTGTAACTTAATTTTTTACAGCAATGTACGAAAAATGAAAGACTTTCAGATCACTTCAATTTGTTTTCCTACCTGAGAGACCTCTGCAAGCATGGAATTAACTATTTTCATTCCGTGACAGACACACGCCATCGGTAATTCCCTGGAGAAATCCAAGACCTTAATCTTATTGGTCAGCACTTTTACCGGAAGATCGCATTACACATCTCCATTCCTCAAACGACTCACGATTATTTGAATGAAAGTGGAAAATATTCAAATATTTTCTGCATCCAGTTTGGATTGAAAAAGGCTGTAGAGCATTTTTTGCTGCTTTTGAAGCAGAGAGTGAAAAAGTATAAGCAAAAAAATAACTGTGCTTTGACCAGTTCTCAACGAATGGGAAACAGATCGATCTAGTGGACAGAAAACATTCCGCGGCACTTGCAAGATTCAAAGATTGTTTGCCCTGCCTAGTAATAATGCAAGTTCATTTCGTACACCGTTGAACAATTCAGCAACAACTGAAACACAAATGGATTGGCTCTTTTCATGAGGAAATGTAACACATTCTGGATCATGAAGGAAAGACGATCGAGGTGAGCGATTTTCAAATTAAGCTTGTTACAACGAACAAAACAAGTATAAACTGTCAACCTCGGAACCGTTGTTACCATGGAACAGTTCCGCGTTTCATCTCTAAATAATTGCTGACAAAAGTCGTTTTTTCGTTTTTTGAGACAGTTATTGTAAAGTCGGCATTTTGATGTGCTAGTTGTACATTAAATCGAACAATTATGACCAAGTATTTACAAGCCAGATCAGACTGTTGTATGCAGTTCAAATTTTGTTCTGTACATTTTTACACACTGTAACATGGGCACGTGAAAAATAAAGTAACGTTAAGTTCTTAATTGACTGTATTTACTGTTTTCCTTTACTGAAAGTGTTCTTTCAATGCATGTTTGCTGAAATGCATTGCTTTTGTTTCAAGTACTTTGTGACTAAACGGACTAAACCAGCCGTTGGTGGTTCAACTTTGAAGCTTTTTGTGGCGCAAATCGTTCCTTTGCTTCAGGAATTTTCATGAGTTCAAATACGCCTAAAAATGATGAAGTTTCATCTTCAATAGATATGAAGTTTATGTTCTGATAGTACTATAATCCTAATGTATAGAAGTAAAACGGCTGCTGTCTAAAGTGTAGATTGTGTGAGAGGGAGTATCACAACATTGGCACCTGGTAAAAACAGCCTTGTTAACTGCCAATTAAAAAGTTGTAACAGGGTTGTGATGCATGAAACCTGTACCAAGGCTGTTAAAGGAATGCCACAGTGTAAAAACAGCCTTGCTAACTGTGCCAATTCACGAGCTGTGGCGGGGATGTCCATCACAGGGTGGAAACAGGGTTGTAACGTGGCTGTTACAGGGTGTCTACCAAGAAATTTTGAGTTAAACGTGACAGGGCTGTTCCAAGGCTGCTACAGGGTAGAAACAGCCTTGCTAACTGTGCCAAATGACGAGCTGTAACAGGGTTGTCACAGGTTAGTTTTACAACCCTGTTCCAGTGATGCTACAGAGCTGTTACAGGGTAGAAATTTTGTTAAGGGTTAGAAGAATGAATTGCAGCTTAAAGTGAAGCTTCATCAGCTGTGGAGAATTGCATTGTGACTCAGTCAACATAAAAACAATGATAAACTCCAGCTTGTTTTTCTTTGGACTGGAGCGACTGTTTGGTTGTTTTGTTATTGTCGGCTACTCATTTCCCGAAGAGCGGTCACAGGCATCTAATTAGGGGGTGTTTCTCATTTTCACAGTGTTTTCGGGCAGGCTTTTTCTCTTTTCTCTCCCCACCCCCTCCCCGCTCCCTTTGACTCACCCCATCTCCTCCTCTCTTCCGGAAGTTTCAACATGGCACTTTCGCGAGCAAATTGCGCGCTCAAAGAAAACGCCTACACTGCAGGCTAGTTCCTTTTTTTTTCCGTTTTTGTTGTCTGGCCTGTTTGACTGAATCACCCTCTTTTGGGGATGGTTAAAAATATTTCTCTCCCTGGCAGATTAAAAGTGGTGCAAGGGAAAATTGATTCAAGTGGGTATGAACAGTTGAGGTACTTCACTGTGGATGTGTTAATATATTTTCTAAAAGTCTACTTATAATTTAAGCTTTTCAACTCATTTTTAACAGGCTGCCAAAGCTGCTGAGGCTGGAAAAAAGGATGACAAAGGAAAGAAATCTGGACGAAGTCCGTCAGCAGGAAAACGGTCAAAATCACCCGGAAAGAAAAAAGGAAAAAAAGAAGCAGACCTTCCACCATCCCCAAAGAAGGATACAAAGCTAAAGAGGAGAGGAGATGTGGAGGACACTTTCAAGACTATTGGTAAGATATGAATTTTATAAAACTGAAGATTACCATATTTTATAGCTACGCAAAACCACTTCAAATGGATGCCAAATGAAGATTGATCCATTCACTGTAGTTTCTGACAATTGCTATACACTTGGCTGGCATGGATCTGTAGTTGTAAGGACATACATTGTATTGTACAGTGTAAGGTGTTTGAGCAAGCAACTGTGGAAGGCAGGCAGCATATACTGGCAAATAGTTTTGAAATTTTGTCCTTGTGAAAGGCAATGTTCATTTTCCTTGGGGAACTAGATATAGTTGCAAATTGTTTTTTGGTGGCTTGGACTGAAATCTCCAAACTACCACTTTATTTTACTCCATCTTCAATCAGCGACGAAATTGTGGAGACATATTGTCCTCAAAAGGGGTAATTTTGGAAAACAAAACAATACACACCCCTCCTCCCTGCCTACCATTCAAAAATTGGGGTGTTGTTGTTTTCTACAGGCAGCTCAAACAGCAGCACAACATTTCATGGATGGGTTGGGGATGGAAAACTTTATTTTCTCCTTTTTAAGATGGCAAACTGTTAGAGTGTCTCAACTAATTTTGTTGCCAATTGTTGGTCAAAGGTGGTGCTCTCTAGGAGATTGTATATGGCAGTGGCTCAGTGTATTTATACTGCCACGAAAACAAAAAAAAAAGTGCATGTTACACTAAACTGTTGTTCTAAGAATGGTTGGTTAGATAGACAGGGTGCAAAGAAATTCAGTTTTACTAGCCCAAAAGTCATTTCAACTAGCCCGAAGAAATTTTTGATGAGCATTGTTTACAGTTCTTCTGTAATTCAAATTCCCTCAAAGAACTTTGTTTGCCCATCGTGCAAGTTAAGAATAGAAATCACTAGCCCCGTAGCAAAATCCACCAGCCCCAGGCTATCGGACACCACTTTCTTTGCATGCTGGATAGAGGATAGATAGATAGATAGATAGATAGATAGTTTATAACCAATACTTTTGCAGCCCAAAGGCTGCATAGCCTATTTACAAACGGTGGAATTGATAAAAATGTGTATATAAAACTAAGTAGAGTAAAAATAAAAGTATGAAAAATATGATAAAAGACTAAAAATCTATGTATGTATAATTATTATCAAGACAGGATCTAATAATAAAACTATTCCTAAAACGATCTATCTTTCATTTAGGTATGATGAAGTGCCTGTTGCACCTTAAAGCATAGTGACGGTCTACTGAATGGTATTAAACTGTTTAGATGGTGTTCAGGGTCGTTTATAAGGTTGTTGTGATTTTCATTTGCCATAGATGATGAGCCTGATGACGAAGGAAGTCCCCAACATTATATCCTGATCCATGGCATACTCACAGCTCCTGTTATCCATTACTTGAGTGAGATTGGTGTCAATGTCGATGCTCTGATCTGTGTGAAGGCACAGATCTATGAGAGCCTCACACCAGCTCCAGAACAGCAGGGCGAGACCAAAGACACAGAGGATGAAGCTGCTATAGTAAGAAGTTTGCTTATCATAATGGCTGACAAGCTCCATAAGTGCAGGGCAAAATGAAGCAAATCATGTGAACTGATAGTCGACCCAAGTGGGCAAAAAAAAGCACAATAGCCAATGTCTAAGTTTTCTGTGTCACCAACAAACAATAATGAACATCCTAACAACATTTGTACTAAACAAAGAAAAGTTTACAGTTCCTTAAATACCATCAGAAGGTCGTAGTTTCAACTCTTGTTCAGGGCTTGAAAAGTTCACTGTCTGGTCATCTGCCTGACATGTGAAGTTTCTTCTTGGGCAAGTAACATTTAAAGCTGGCTTGCCATTGGCAAGGGACTAGGCAAGTCGAAATTCATCCTGTAACAAAATCATCAGCTAAGAGAATCAGATATTTGCCTTGGGCAAGAAAGATGTGAGGTTGCTTGTGTCAAGATTTTTTTTAGCCCTGCTGTTGGGAGAATTGGGATATTTTTCTGGTCCCCTGTGTCACTGATTGGAGAACATCATTCACACTTACATATTAGTTTAAAATTCTGTTACCTGAGTTTTGCTTATAATGAAAGAAGTTAGATATTATTTTCAGATTACCCCAGTTGTTTATTGCTTTATTCAACTTTATGCCTGTATTATAATAATGAGCCAGTTACAGTCAAAATTTAGAAGCTGTCATGATAGACGTGAATGAATGACAGAACTGAAAACATCATCTCTAAATAACAGGAAGAAGATCCAGAGATGCTAGACAAAGAAATACAAGAGTCAGAAGAGAGGGCTCAGAAACTTGAGGCTGAGTCCACCCTTAAAGCATTTTGGTCAGAATCAGAAAACATTGTGATGAAAGCACCATCAGGACACAAGCTGAAGGATATAGCAAGATATGAAGTTACAGTGAAGGAAAGTGTGGTGCCTGAGGGTGATCTCATGGAATTGGAAACAGAGAAAAAGGTAGCTTATTTTCAGTGTTTTTCATACATGTTTAATATGAATATTAAAGATTTATTACCCAGGGTTGTCATTAGTAGCTAGCCTGCGAACGCAGACGTGTTTCCAGTCGTCGCTTCTCAGACTGAAAAGACATTTGCGTTTGCGGGCTATTCTAGGTTTGCAAATGAGACAAATATGGAAGGATTCGTGGGATAAATGACTTGCTACTTACCTCGAGAGACCATCTTATTAAAACCTTAATGATAGCCCTGATTACTACTGAGTAGTGCCTTATATATGTTGGGGGCTGAATCTCATGAAATATTGTAAGGGCTCTGAGCATAACATTCAGCCCATTCATCTGACACAGAAAAGTTTCCTGATAAAATTAACTATGCAGGTTGAGCATGATTGTCTCGGTGAATGTAGTCAAAAGCTGTTATCGTAAAAGGCAAATAAAGTTTTTTGGTCAAGCGTGGCATGAAGAGGCAAGCTGGGAATCCCAAATTGAGAACGTTGTAGTCAGTTGATGGATTGGCTTTATATGATTCAGACAATGACTGGAGCTGTTTCTTTCTAGTAGTGGCAGGGGCACCCAACGAGAATATACTCCAAAACCACATAAACATAGCATTGTTGAACGTACTTTAGTATTTAAACGGTAGATAAAGGCTTATTTTTATCCCCTAAAAATTTTTCATCTGTTCGGATTTCCTAGCTGAAAGTATAGTGATCCGAAAATTATAGGGATCAAAATTTACCTTTTCGAAAATTTCAGCCAGAAAAAAGGCTCCCGAAAATTCTAGGTGACCTTTTAGGGTAAAAATCCGTTAAAAATGGGCAATTATACGATTTTTTTGATTTTCGAAAATCCTAGGAGAGGCAGGCAAGCAAGAAATTTTTCAGAAAATGATCCGAAAATTCTAGATCTCAAATCGTCTTCCGAACAGATAATTTTCCGAAAATTGTGGTTGGGTGCCCCTGTAGTGGCTATCGAAAATGTAGCACATTATGATTTGAAGAACCAAGGTACAAAAAAGGCCTTTTTTTTCAAAGTGCTGCACATAAGCACATACAGTTACAACGTGACTGACTTAAATCGTTCTTTGATAGAGAATTGATATTGGATTTGTATGTAACATTTTAAAGGTTAACTTAACCACGCTTGGCGAAGTGATGCTTTGCTAAGCAGACTGGCCAGCTATTAAACCAGGGTCCTGAAGACTATTAAGTTCATGCAGCCTGCAGTCCTTGTTCAAATGATGGCGTCTTTGGGTGAAACAATAAATCGGTGGTCTTTTCTCCTTAGATCCTTGTCAATAGGGCGCTTTAGCAACCTTGTGGCCGTAACAAAAAGTTTTGAAAGAGCAGGGAAAAAAGACCCTGTTAGCGTGGCCCACCAGCACCTGTTTACAGTGTGACGTGATATACAGTGGAACGTCGATTTAACGAACCTCCATATAACGAAGTTCTCAGTATAACAAACGATTTTCTTCAGCCCGGCCAACATTGAAATAAAATGCATGGAACAGAATCTCGATATAACGAACCTCGATTTAACAAAATCCTAGCTCGTTATAAACGAGCACAATCCAGAAACGCAAACAATAACTTCGTATGTATGCAAATGTTTATCAAAGAAATTGTTCACATTCGGAAATTCTGGGCGTTGAAATTAATCATTAACTATTCCTCGTTATAACGAACATTTTGCTTGTTTTCCCAAAAATTCGTTAAATCAAGGTTTTTGATACAACGAACCCCGGATATAACGAACAAATTTTCCCAGTCCCTTGGCACTTCGCGCAATCGAGGTTTTACTGCCGGAGTGAATTCTTCAACCCCCGCTCCCCAGTAGTGATTTAATGTTCCTGTAATGGTGGTCTAGTGCCCAGTGCCACCGCAAGGGTCAGTTAGCTACTTCTGATTCAGTTTTGAACCATTCTTTTTATTATTAGACTGAATTTGGTACAGCAATATTTGAAGACGTCGCTGATGTGTGTTATAATATGCTGGATCATCTGGAACAATACAAGCAGTACCTTGACTCAATGAAACTGATTCATGTCCCTGTGCATATGAAGCCATCGGCTAGCGTGGCTTCAATCATCCAACCTACAACAGATCTTGCACCTTCACAATCTGCCACAGCTACACAGGGTAAGCAAGCAAAATAAATTACGTGTAGGCTTAACTGCAGAATACCCTACTTCTGTAAAATGTGGAACTTGTTATTTTTATTACCAGATATTTTGGTTAAAAGATGCACCTGCTTATAATACACACTCATTTTTGTAATGTTGTTGCCTATGTTTTTAGGTAGATCCTGACCTTTCTTAGATTAAACCAGAATTTTCTTTCTCTCCTATGATGAATTAGCGCTAGGAAACAAAAGTTGAAAAATTCGGAGCTGTCAACTCAGAATTTTCAGTTGTTAACTTGAAAACTGGTTTAACTTGGGAACGGGTTTTACCTACAACAGATATGCAGCCAAAGTTTACCTGCAGTTTCCACATGTCCCTTTCACAAATAATTTTGAGGTAGTGGGTCTTATATTTCTCACTGCATATCTATTGCGGGCATCAGCTTTTCTCTACATTTAGAATAGCATATCAGTAAAACATTTAGTATGTGTGGAAGGTCTGTATCTTTTCGTTTGTACTTTAGATGCCCCTCCCGCCCCTGTGCCAACAGAGATAGACATGCGGTACTACAATCACTTGATTGGCAGTGTGCCCCCAGAGAGCCACAGTGTTCAACTCATTCTTCACTGTCTGTTAGAACAGGTGAGTGGGTGTCGGTCTATTTTTATAAAACACTAAAAATCTTGACGACATTTAGCCGGGCAGGAGATCATAAACCGGAGAGAGTCCCATATTAAGCCTATATCACGTTTATTTTTATACACATTTTGGAATACGTTTTCCCGCGAAAATGGAATAAAATGAAACGAATAGTTCTGGCCTCATATTTTGTTTCACCATACAGTCCTGGACCTTTTTTGTGAATAAGCGGAATTTACATCATTCCCGTTACATGTTTTTTAGCCCAGGGAGAATTCAGACCCTGAAAAGACAAAGAACTATTGTTATTTCTTCAAATTGTTTTCAGGTTGTTGCGACGGTGGATGAAAATAACCCACTGGACCAAGTTGTTCCGCCAAGAGGCGATGGTTTAAATCATGATCTGGCGGCATATATCTCCAGCAAAACATCTAAACTGGCTCTGCCAGAAAACGATAAACAGGTGTGTACATGTATACAGTAGGACCACAGTTCTCTGGCAAATTCATCAAGGAGAAATTTCAGATCTTTTACTCTACGTGTCTTGATTTATATGTTATAGGGAACATCACGAGTTAGTTTAATTTCTGTTTTTTCTTATTTGCCTTGTGACTAAGTCAGCCGATGATTTCGAACCTAAGCCCTTTGCTAAGAAATGTTGCGTTCGTTGCAATTTGCAATCCGGTGTAACAGCTACTATAACAATTGTTTTTGGTTGGACAATAATGCAAAGCCTACGGAGAACTGCAATTTCACTGCTTGTCGCTACCCATAATAAACTGTTGTGACCTGTACCTTCTTGTTATGTTTACCAAGCGCGTTTCAAAGGCTCTGAATGGAGAAATTGCTAGTCTTGCAAAACTGTTTACTACTGAAGTTAATTTCGCAATGGAATATTAAAAATGGCGAGGAAAATCTTAGGAAGACCTCATTAAAACTATTAACGTGATTTGAAACCAAATTAAGGAGAGAAAATAGGTCTGCGTTTATGTCAATGGTGTAGCTCTTCTTTGTGACTTAAGTGTTTGAATTTTTTTGTTAGGGTGTGACGGATGCCTCAGACAAAAGCAATCCTCGGAAACCTCCGGAAACCCCAGTGATACTTCATTACAACGACACAATGACCTCACGTCTCCATCACCTCGAACCAGCCAATGGCCTTGATCCTGAGAAGGCAGAATTGCGCATGCTTGAACTGTTCCCGCGAAGTCGACTAAAGGAACTGCCTATTCTGGACGGATGTGATGTTATAGAGCGTGAAGCACGCGCAAATGAGCTACGACATTTCTGCAACTCTCATTTGGACTCTGGTGGATTTCTAGAGCGTGCCCTTAAGCAGTTTGCTTTTGAAGGAATGTTGCTTAAGGTTGCAGACGAAAACGGAGATATTGTGGATCTTAAAGAGGTGGATGATTGTTTTAAGTTTCATTCCAACTTGTGGGATCATCCATATAGTAAATTGAGTGAGTTTCAAGAATTAAGATTTCCTGGTGATAACACCGAAAAAGCCTTTCTGACGGACACTTCCCCTCTCTCATCATTTCGTAACCTTGATGACTGGTGTTTCGTGGAACATTTTGATAACAAGACTATGATTCAGGTAAGTATTCGGAACGACTCTTTTTTCGTTTATTCACAGTACTGCGACATAACTTACTTTTCATTTGATGATTTTATTTACTTGTACCTGTACCAGCTTTATCTAAGATCGGCGTCTAAATTAGTCAAGAAACTTTGTAGTTATGTTAAAAGAGGTAAAAGCATGCCTTATTTCCCCGCTAAGAAGTGGTGGTGCCAGGGTGGTCAGGTTACGACCAACAAGCCAACTTTGATCGCTGTTTGGGTGTATAGTAGGCGCTCAGTTTGCGGTGTTTGTAGACTGTACTTGCCTGATAAAAAAAAAACCGCTCTTGTAGCTACATGCAAGAATGAATTTTTGCAACTCCATTTGGTCCCAGCACCATGACATTTAGAGCGAACGGGATTCAAACAAGAACATAAACCTAGCCTACGTAGCAAGCGTTTCCAATTGAGTCATTGCCTGAAAGTTGGAGCAAGAGCCAAAAAATGGGAGGGGAAGGAGTGAAGAGAAAACTCTTACGCGCAAGCCCCACGATTCTGAAAAACTTCCCTTGATATTTCAAGGTTCGGTTCATTTGTAGATTGACAGCTTGTCAACACAGCTGCCAGTAACTTTAATAACTTGCTTTAAAAATACACACTGTGACTTTTGTACCGGGTTTTCACTACTATCCTAAAATTCATCTTTCTATCCAATAGGTCCTGGAGTCAGCTCGTCTAACAAACCCATATATGGACACTTATTATCACAAGCGTGACCACTCGCTGTTGATTGTGTTACACAACCCTGTGGGCACCAATGGAACAAGCGCGTCATCCTGGAACACTAAACTTCATTCTAATGTAGGCTTCAGAAACTACCTTGAACATGTGGTCAGCTCCATTAGAGACTGGGTTCGAGAACAGGTAACTTAGGCTTGCGATGAAGTTTTTAGCCGCAGTTTTGTTGGTTATATTAGCCAATTCGGCAATTAGATAAAAATTATCAAGCACAATATTTCTATCTAGATCTTCTCAATTTTTGTTGATCACGCCAATACTGATACAGCATGTCAATCCATTCAGGCAAAACAAATCGCGTGCGACATAGCCTGCATAACGGGCGCTTTATAAGCCAAGCAAGGCGAACGCTGCATTTTGTGCGAAGCACGAGAAGAGGGGAGAAAAAGATTAGCAATTCGCGCTCGTCTCACACTTTGCGCAGACTGCCACGTTCGCCTCGCTTGGCTCAGAAAAGCAAGTCTAGAAAAGTACTTATGAAAATTTCCCTTCATTACAATAGGAGCGAATACGCGAACAAGCAGCCAGGACCCCCACCCCTCCCCCACAAGAACCAGAACAACCCATTGTGCCGCTTAAAATTGGAAGTCGTTACGGTCTGATGACCAGACAGGAAGTTGCTTTAATCAAGGCGGAAGAGGAAGAGAAAAGTAAAAAGAAAGGCAAGAAAAGCGCGCGTGGTACACGGAGCCCCAAGAGAAGTGCCACGAAATCACGAGAAAAGAGCGCTTCACCGGAGAAAAAGGACGATAAAGGTATTCCTGCTCTGTCACTACTAAGAGATTTTCACTAAATAAAGTGTAAACAAACCATTACATGATTTCAAAAGACGTAGTTAATCTAGTGAAATATGCGTCTTGTGACAATAGTGAACTTACGCAATAGGACGAAAGGGGAAAGAAGACGGCAAACCTTGTGTGACAAGCGTGACGGCAATTATGTTTGGAAACATTATCCGCCAAACTTCACCTTCCTTTGAACAGATCTTTTTGTAAAAAAGCAGAAAACACCAATATTAAGTGAAGATCACGACAAAACACGCAAGCAATAGGCCTGTTTTTCACACAAACGTTTTGCCGTCCTCTTCATTTTGCCGTGCCGTTGCGTAAGCTCACTGTTTTTAAGGTCAAAATTGGTATTTAAAAGAGCCTTAAGCTAGAACCAAAAGTCTAGACCAGCGAGAGGCGGGTGCTCGTGGGAACTATTTAACTGCTTAGATGCTTTCTGTTTTTGTTTGTCACTCAAATGCGCCTTAGTGTAAGTCTGAGGCAGTATATTTTTTTGTAGCTGGAATGCACCAAAGGATTATAAATACCTTTCAGAATTTTCATTTTCAACAAATTGTTTATTTTATTGTTGGGCGTCTTTTCAGACAAGAAACGAGAAGGCTCTGCCTCCAGTCGACAGAAATCGGCTTCCGGCCGAAGTCCTTCGGCAAGAGGCTCTCGATCCATCAGAAGTGCCACAAGTAGGGGGGACAAGAAAGGCCTCAACAGCACCTCACGTGCCGGGGACTTTGAGGAGCCTGAGGCCCCACCGGTGGAGGTATATGTGGAGGAGCCATACGATTTTATTGGATATGATACAGGCGACAACCTAATCCACGTGTCTGGGTCCTTATCAACAATGTTCCCGGCAGATGGGGGGCAGATACAGGTGAAAAAGGCTCAATATGTGCAGGGTGCAAGGAGCGTTTCTACATCAGTGTTCAAGGATGGAAACATGTTTGTTCTGCACTTCTTGGAACCTACAGATGAGATTTTGTCAAAGGAAGAAGAGGAGGGCTTAGACGAGAAAGAAGATGAAAGCCTGTTGGACAAGAACAAAACAGAGGAGAGCCAGGAAGAAGGAGTGGAGAAAAGTGAAGTGGAAGCTTCCGAGAAAGACCAACATAAACAACCTAAGAGTCCAAAACCGTTCTGTGATTTCAGCTCCTTTGTGGCGGAGCTTAGCGATGGCATGGTCGTGGCCCTTAGTGGGTATGGTCCTTCAGGGTCCCTCATAGAGAAAGACGATAAGGATTCAGAAGATACTGTCACGGGACATTTGATTACTGATGCCCCTCCTCCTCAGCCCACACCCAGCCCTCAGCCTAAGGCAGGGTCCCCTAAGGCGCGGAAGAGAGCGGAAGAAGAGGCTAAGAGAATGGAGGAAATTCAACAGCAACAAGAAGAAGAACGACTCAGGCAGGAAGAGGAAGGTATTTACAGTTCATTCTTATAACCCAACAATGTCACCATGGCAGAAGCCTTACAGTTCGCAAAAAAGGAAGGAAGGTGTCCTGTGCGACGCTTGACGGCATAAGCGCTAGTGATTATTATAATGATGATGATGCTGCTGATGATGATAATGATGATGATTATGAGCTGCGTTTGGAAACATCGCGGGGTATAAGAAAGTGTGGGTTATTGCGTTTTTGTTCACTTTTTTTAAGAATAAGAAAAATAAGTCTCTGGCTCGCACCACATGTGGCCTAAGCTCGAGATATTACCATCGGCATTGCTTCGAAACCTTCTAAAGAATTATACGAGAGAACAAACCGGTTCCAATAAAACCCGAAATGGATATAAATTAGCTCGGGAAACATAGAGGAAAGAAGAAACACACAACTTAATTGAATTTAGCCGATTTTTATTGTTAAACCCTTACAGAATTGTGGCTTCAAGAAGCAATCGGTTTTTATGTCCGTACAAATCCTTTTATTTTCAAGGATACGCCACAATACCGATGGTTATGTTTCGAGCTTCGGCCACCTGTGCTTGCAATTCTTCAATACTATCCGCGTTTGCAGTGACCCGAAAAAACACAGATGCCTGCGTTCTGTACATGAGTGCAAAACTCGGTCTAACAAGTAATCGTAGGTTTAATTCAAGAACCAAACAATTTCACCATTTACTATCGTACTGTCACTTTTTTGTTCACAGCTCGAAGAAAAGCCGAAGAAGAGAAGCTAAAGAAACCGTTCCAGCACTTGTACATCACGTGTCCTGATGGCCAGCACGTGCAATACATCAATGACGACTGTTATCACAGTAAAGATGAAAGGGGAGGGGTTGTGGTGAGACAGAGCTATCCCGTCAGGCCACTCGGGCCGGCCAGAGTAAAACCCGCGTCAGATGAAACTTTAAGGACCGTAATGACCGATGGGACTGTAATAAAGGTGAGTTACTCCAAGTTATTTTGATAACCACCAAATCGTGGTTGCATGCAAATTTTGAAACAAAGCTGGAGTTGACGTTGTTTTGATACAACGCTTCCTGCTTTCTTATGCTAATTATGTTGTTCTTATGCTAACAATTATTTTACGGCATAATTTCCATAAGAGAGTGAAAAGGTCTGTATTAAAACAGTGTCGGCCTCGACCTCACGTTCACTCACGGGCCTGACTACTTAACCCACAGCTGTAAATTTGTCTATTCCTGAAAAACTAACGCCAAGCTCGAAGTCGTGACAAGCCTTACAAGATGTGAGAAAGTGTCACGGCTGTAGTTAACATGGGCTTAAAGAACAAACTGATTTCAAATGGAATGATACAAAAGTTCAACAATTTGGTGCACAACTTTAAGACCGCCTTTAAGCATTCGCCAAACGCTTTAAAGTCGTAGTTCCTTTTTAAGAATTAAGCCACGTTTCGTCACAAACTACTGTGCGTGATTGTGGTTTTAAAGAATCCCTTGTTTAAAAGCAATTAATTGTTCCTGTTTCTTTTTGTGTTTTTTTTTGTTGACGTTTTTGTACCTTGGTGAACTTTGCTTACAGTTTAGTTTGATTTGGTGAGATTTGTACGGTTGCAGTGTATCATCAACTGCCTTGAAAACGTAAGGTCTACCTGCCACGCAGACGAGGCTAATGTATCTGACAATGCTCGTTTATTTGCAGCTTCTTACTGATGGTAGTATCCAGGTCCTGTTTCCGGATGGTGCAGTAAGCAAGTGTCAATCTTACCCGGTCAAAGCCCCCCCAGCTCCCCCTACCAGTAAACCAAGTAGTGCAGTTACTAAACAGGACCCTTCCCTAGCTGCTGCGAGAAGGAGCCTTCGTGGCCCGTCATTAACTCATAAGCCCTCCGAGGAGCCTTTGGTGCCTGTGATTGCTTTACCTGCGAAGGTTCCGGAATGGTCCAGTACGGGAATTGATGGGAATAGAGTTTTGACCAATTCTGATGGAAGCCACGTGACCATTCCTGGGGTGCATTGTTCGCAAGCCACATGCTCTCAGAGTGGACAGGTCGGTATTGAATACATAGGGGACTGTTCAGATACGAACTTAATGTTAGGGCCTGAAGCATCTACGACAGCCACGGCTAGAAAATGGTATAAGAATAAATGCACTTGGTTCACACTTGTTGGTCGATTTCTTTGCAATCCAGATCACAACGACGTTGCGAAATTTCGTAAAGGTTAGGAAATTACTGAATTTGGATGCGGCCCTTAAGATTAAATGTAGTAAAAATAAGCGCGTGTTTCAAAAAAGGTGGGGGACTTGAAATCTCATTGTAAGAAGGATTTTGACTGCCATCGCCCGGCCCTGATTATTGAGGTTACTTGACACTCACGTGGTTCAGTTTGGACCCTTTCATTCTACTTGGCATGAGATCCTGTTCACACTCTAGAGTTTCGTAAAACTTTCATTCTTTTCCCTTAGATTCTTAAAACGCGTGAAGATAACGTTGTCACCGTGGATCGGCCGGACGGAACACGGATCGTCGAGCACGCCGACGGAACACGCATAACAACATTCTACAAGCAAGTTCAACAAGAAGTACTGGCCCCGGATAACGAAACAGGCGAACAAGCTGAATACTCTGATATCAGCAAAATGTTTGTAAAAGTAGAATGCCCTGGATTTGCTACTGTGATATTTGACACTGAATTGGGTTCCTGTGAGACTGTCTGGGGTAACGGCACGAGGCTTCAGACACAGGCGAATGGTGTGTCTGTGCTGCACAGGCCAGATGGTACTCAGTTGCGTATTGGTGCTAAAGGTAAGATACGAGAAGGGTTCAATATCCATTTAAGGATCTTTAACCCTTTAACTCAGAAATGATCGGCATGTAAATTCTCCTTGTAATATCAATACATTGTTCAACAGAGAGGTAATAAGAATAGTAAAATGTATCAGCTAGAGTACAGTAAAAAACGGCGACTAAGAACATGCATTTTCCCAAGTTAGTCTAAAAAGGTTTTTACATAAATGGTAATTAGCACAAATTTAGGCTATTTAGGTTCTTAAATAGGTTTTTATTTTCTGAAGAAACAAAACACTGGCTAAGTGGTATTCACCAATTTCTTAAATAAAATCTGCATACCAATACATTGCAGTTGGAGTGACTTTGATGACTGTTTCAGAAATTCAGTCCATCTTCTAGAATCTTCCAGAAATATTAAATGTCGTTCTCTATCTGTTCACTGACAAAACGAATAGCCACTGTATGTTGCATTACCAAGTTATTCATTATTGGACGATTAACATCAATCTTCCAATAATTACTGGAAAAATGATGTAAATCCTATAAATTTGTTAAGCGTTTGGCTGGTACTCATAGTTTCGGATCGAAGCCAATCAGAAACCAAAAAAAAAGTATGTTTTACGAATGATAAGATCACTTTTTGCCTTCTCTTTTCAGGCGTTGTATCTTACTATACCCGTGACACTCAATGCAACACGCAAGCTAAATCTGAGCCCGCGATGGATGAGCAAGAAGCACTGGTGGGCGTATATGTCATGCGCACCACAAGCCAACGCTGCTGTGAAATGACAGACACTAGAGGAACCCATTTCACTGTCATGTCAAACGGAGGAATGACGGTAAACAAGGCGGAAACTAGGGAGACTACAACAGAGGAATCAGCTACACCATCAGATGAAACGGAGAACAAAGAATCGAAGTCTTCCGAGGCAGGTCCCTTACAGAGAGCCACCGTGAGCCCTTTAGTACCTCGTTTCTTTATCATCCATGCGGACGGCACAGGCTCTGAGCTCTTACGCGGTGTTGACGTGAAGGAGTTCCTAGAGCGCGCTGAGAAAGATCCCGCTACCGCTGTACTGAAAACCCCCTTGGAGGGACACCCTGATGTTTCAGGAATTACTGTCTTGAAGCCTTATTCAGGTAAAGGATGATTTACCTTTTTTGTTACCAGCTTCAAATCGTGACTGTTACGTTGTGTTATTAACGTTTATGTCTTTGGATGTAGTTCAGTTGCACCTTGCGAGCAGAGCTTCCTTTTGTGTTCTTGAATGAGGAGGAGAAAAAAGGAGGCTCAGCCTGAACCACGTCAAACCTTTTGAAGTCGCCGCAGCCCGAATTTCTGGACTAGTCAATCTTGTTTTCTCTCGTCAAACTGGTTTATTCGAGTGTGGATTTCCGTTTGTTAAACCGATTATCGGACGGGTTTCCATACTTTATCGGATAGCTTTTCGTGTCGGTGTTAAAGTGATAGTGGCATCTCCACGTTTTGGGCATCCCCATTCCCAAAACCCTAGTGATATGGGCAACTCATTCTCATATTACCTTAGTGATTTAGGTTTGAGTTAGGGTTACAGGGGATGCCCATATCACTAGGGTTTTGGGAAGGAGGATGCCCAAAACGTGGAGATGCCCATATCACTGTGACATCGGCAGAAGAAGCTATTCGACACTAAAAAACAAGAAGGAAACTGGGCCCGAGTCAGCTTTCGTAAAGACTTCTGGGATCGTTACTTGGGACGCGCCGTCTGCTATTGGTCAATTTGCTTTCCCTGTCCCTGGTAACAGTCGCAGAAGTCTTTGTGATAGTTAACACGGCCCAGTGTCTTTCTCGTTTCTAAAGTGGTGAATCGGGTAAAGTGTGAACAGAGCCTAAACCAATGAAACCAAAAGAAATCGCAGTTGATTGTCATTTTCCACTTGAAAAACGTCTTAAAAGTAACCTTTTTGGCAAACGTTTTAACGTCCCTGCGTCTGTTTCATCTAAGTGATAAGCGCTTGGGTATCATTGCCTTGCTTGTGGAATACAGAATCCAGGAAATTTTTGCTGTGGAGTCCGGAATCCAGGGCTTTTAAACCCTGAATACAGCTCAAGGAATCGGAAATTCCAATAAAGATTGGAATCCAATATCCAATTTCCACTGACAAAGAATCCGGAGCCCACAGCGTTGAATCCAGAATCCAAGACTGTTTTGGATTGCCTTGCATCCATGCTTCCCTAGATGCAATTTGTTCTTATTAAATTTATCCCAGGAGTTGCTGGGAACGACTTTGACGTTTTCATATTTTCCAACAGGTGGAACCGGTAAGATCTGGTTTACAGAAAAGGATGAAGAGGTTCTCATTCCACAGGGTCTGAGAGAGAGGGACTTCAAACTAATGCCTTCCAGGGAACAAAAAAAATCGGGCCCTGTTTTTGGCACTAATGCTGGTAAATACTACTTCTACTTTAGCTTCCACTTTGCTAACTCTAAACCTCAGATTAATGTCTATGAATCATATCGAGAGTTTTCTGGAAAGGAACATTGTTCGTGCTTTCCCGCCCTCTTTTCCTAAGACACGACAGCGCTTATTCTATGTTACGTTTCAACAGTTGAACGAGATGATTGTCCTCCGTAATTAGCTTCAATAAACATATGCTATTTGAGGCGAGCAAAAGAAACTTCTAAGCAAAACTAAACCTAACGTGGCATTAGAAATTAGAATTTTCGCCAGCTCAATAACAGAAGCAGCCTTGATGGACCGTGATGAATATAGGCTTAGTCTTCAGCCTTGGATGTCTCGATGCGCCCTCGGTACTCCCCACTCGGGTGGAGAGTACTGCTGGCGCATTGAGACATCGCAGGCTGGAGACTGAACCCATGATGAGTCCATGATGAATAATGATGAATAATGATAAAAAGAACTAAGTTTAACAGGAGGGTAGGAAGTAGGAACTCTCGCTACCGTGTTCGTCTCGTGGGAGAGTTTCGGGGAAAGCGAGTAGGGTTCAGTCTTCATGAGCCGGTCGCAATATTCATCGCCCGAAGTAGTTTTCTTTTGGCAGTGACTTACGAGCGATGCTTTGCTTGAAGATTTTCTTACGGACCACTAAACGGAACAACTCGCCGCACGTTTTAACATGCTTTGTTTTATTTGACTCTAAAAAACCGAACTATTTAAGGGAATATCTTAAAGAGAATACCGTATTTATGGATGACGTACCGGGAACTTTAGAACTGAAGCCCTACGCTTGTCTTACTTCAAAAAAAGTTGCAGAGATTTTTACAGGAATAAGATCGGGGGCTTTGATCCTGATCGTCCACATGTTACTTGGTCTTGAAATCATAGTGCAGTCTTTTGTCATAGTAAGTATGCAATTAATAAAATTAATTTTATCCTTGTCGTTTTTTAAGGTAAGGGTCTCAACATTGGTTCGATTGTGAAACCAGTTCCTGTGCCACAAATCACTTGTCCTCGGACTCTTGAGTTTAGACAGTTGATCCAGTACAAACCATTAACAATAGAACAAAGAAAACAGATGAACAAAGCCATGGATGCTTACAGGGATTTTATGGAAAAGAGGCAAAAAGATTTGGATCGGTTATTACCACAAGATCCTCGAGAGGAGAGTGAGAGAAGCGCAGCAGAGGAGCTGGCAAGTCCACTAAGATCGACTGCTATTTTAAGTTCATGATTTTTTGTTAGAAAAATTTCTCTCCTTAATCTTTGATTTTATGTAAAAAATTTTATTAATAGAAACTTCACTCTTCCTTTACAGGCTAAACTGAAAGAGGACCAAGGAAAAGAAGCAAGGCTAAAAAGTGAAGAAAGCTCTTAATTTGCTACCCTGTTTGCAGTTACATGTAGCTCTTTATTTACCATTGCATTTAAAGACATTCACCGACATTGCTTCTTTTTCACAGATGTTAGCTTGACGGATGATGTAAGGAATACACTACAGTCACTTTCTGGTAAGTTAAAAATTGGTTTTCTGTTCTGTATCGTTGTCGTTAGTGTTATACCCTGTCTTGTCCTTTCCCAATCGCGTTCCCACTTATCTCTCTTCTTTCCGTTCCGAGGCTGGTTCCCTTTTGCCAGGTCCCGTGGTGCGTACTTTTATAAGAAATTGTTATATGAAATCTGCTGCTTTTTTCCGCTAGAGTCTATCCCATCAATATTTTTTCCGACCGCAATATTTTCTCTTTTCTTTTCATTCTTTACCTAGACAAAACGAAAACAGAAAATATCTCCACTCAGTACGTGGATGAAATAACACCAGTCCCAGCTCCCCGACCCCCGCCGCCAAAGTGGAAACGATCTGAGTTCGAGTGGGAGCGGGACCGAATAGAACTGGCTGAGCTGGATTATGGGAAGCACGCCTTAAGATACAAAGACGTTCCACCCTACTTTGAAACGACACAAGGTATTTGTGATAACCTCTTCTAAGTCCTGTCTTTAGTCCGTTTTCCCGTTTCAAATGTTCCACAATTTTTTCCCGACATACTTCTAAACTAACTTGAAATTGTATGTTGTTTAGGCCAAGAATTTCTTAAAGGGATTGATAGTCATCGATTCCCGGATATGGAATTGTTAACGTCTGAATTAGCCCATCAGACCCGTCATCCACCCCCTGGAGAGAGCAGCCCTGCTGAAACGCCAGACATTGTTATACACGAAGGAAGCGCGGCGTCCGAGAGAACAGGTTAAATAAAATACGAGAGTATAACTGAAATATTATTTATTCTTGTGATAGATTGTCTGAGAAGTGGTAGGCAAACTTGGAGTTCTTTTATTGCTTTCGCACAGGTGGGGAAAAAGCCTCGTCCAGTCTCGACGTACCCCTCCCCAGTCAAGATTTATCAGCAGAGGCAGAGACACTCACACTTGCCAACGCCACTGGTGACCCTAGCGCAACGCCTAACAGCATAAGACCTACCAACCCCACCCCTGCACATGCCACTGGCAACGGTACCCCCACCCCTGTGCGGCCAACCAATCCTACACCTTTACAGGCATCCACAACTGTTAGTCCTCGTCCCAGCAATCCCACGCCTAAACAGGCGTCCGACCCTCTGTCACATGAGTCGCCTCTTCACGGGGACTCACCTCAATGGACTACTAACTTAGAGTCCGTTCAAGAAGTGGACGTTACTTCCTCCATGGGGGAGGTGGTCGAGGGTCCAGTCGAAGCAGATGACCCGGATGACGTGGACAACGTTCCTATGTTTTCGGGTATGTCCATTTTGTTAGTGGAATTTTTACCCGTCGTTCACTGCGATGGCGAAGCGCGGGGAATCTTTGAAACAGTGGAAGATAGTGGAAGATACCCTATTGGTACTTAATTTCGTGGTTTTGGGGTGACAGTATTTCGCGGGCTTTTAATTTCGCGATTTTAATAGGCAAATGGGAAAGAAGAGGCATTAAATTTCGTGATTTAAGTGTTCTCAACTTCATTTTATTCTTTAAAAGGTCTGAACCTTTAAAAATTTCTAGATAAATTGATCAAGCAATGTGTGAAATCTTTGCAAATTAAATAGGTTTTAAATTTCGCGAATTTTTTTACAGTCACGAAGAACGCGAAATTAAGTACCAAAAAGGTACGTCTTAACTTGACAGGTTCCATCTGGATCGGGAAACGCGTACACTGGCATTAAAACTACGCCCTGAGTACTAGACAGGAGATTTCACATGCCACAAGGGCAGTCAGCAGCTGACTGATCGTCATGCTCTTAAACAAAATGATGGTTGCTGTACTCGACTTGGTTGTAACCAAGTAGCCAAAATATCCTAGCCCTTCAATCATTATCCTTCCTGTTTTGATGTCATTCGATTTCATCCGATTTTCTCATTTAACAGCCGTCATTAAGATTAAGATAGCCTTTACTTATCCCCCGTAGTCCGCCATGCCATGAAATCCTTTTCTTCCCGGTGCTAAAAAAAGACACCCGAGCAGCCGATCGCCGTAAGCTTATGATCTTGTAAGACGGGAACGCGCCTTGAACTTTCATTGCTGGAAGAAAATGTCATTTTCTCCTCTCTATCAGCGCTATTTAGTTGCAAGTTGTTTACCTTTGCATTGTTGTTGTTTGTACCCCAGCTGATTTGCCACAAGTTGGTCCGAGGAGTTTGTACTTTGATGTAACAGGCGATGCTAGGAAAGAGAAAATAAAGCTTCCTACCTGCATCAAGGGCGGCAAACCAGGAGCACTCCCTAATACGCAGGTGTGTTGAATACACAATAAACAACCATGAAAGCAGCAGTATGCATTCATTTTACGAACTTAGCTGGGACAAATGTCGAAAATTTTGTAACAAGAGAGGGATACTCAACAAAGTTTTATACCGGGAGTCCCACCCCTCCCCCCCACCCAATGTCCAATCTCTTAGCCTTACATATACCATCTCTGACAGAACAGGTACCCATTTCGTATACCTTCCATTGACAAATGGTACCCCTTTCACATACCTAGGTTAGAACTTTGCATCCCTTTTAACTGCTGTAACTGCACTGTCTTTACAATGTGAGTAAATCAAACAAAAAAAACTTTCTCGACTTTTTCACTTTTTAAAATAAAATCGTTCTGTTAGCCCTTTTAGATCTTTTTAGAGACCAAAATGACAGATTTCCTTACACTTTTTTGAATACTTCAACTAGTGGAATCCCTGTCTTTTCATATAACTGAAACCTAAAAATGGTACCCCTTTCAGGTGGCGACTCCCTGTATAGGCCATTATAGGTAGTACCCCCCCGGGTACAACTAAAACGGTCCTTTCTTGTTTTAAGTTCTCTGAAGTAGAGGAGCTCGTACGTCGGCGTGTCCAGACAGTGTCCGTGGCGGGCGGGAACCTGGAACAACTTGAAACCCTCCGTGGGTTTGAGCTCTTACCACCGCAAGTGTCGTTTGGAGTCTTAAGGGAAGGCTGTACCTATGTTTACAGTGTGTTGCTGAAAAATATCGGCATCGACAGCTGTCGTTACAAAGTCAAACAGCCGCCTCCATCAACTGGATTACGAGTTCTTTACAAACCTGGCCCAGTAAGTTTCGTTCTGCCTGGTCTTATTCTTTAGGCGTTTTCCGTTAGTAGAATAACTTGAATTTTGAACCTAGAATCACCGGTAAACACTTTTTGGCAGCAGATATGTAAATTAGCTTTGGTGATTGTTTCCTTGTCTGTTTGATGACCAAACCTGTGAGCCTTCTTGTGTGTTTTTGTAGGTAAACTACCGTAAATGTCCTAGCGTAACGACACCACAAAAGTAATAACCACCTGATATGCGGTTTCGGTACGGTTAACACCTGGTGCAAGAAATAAATTCTGATAGTAACGATACCCCCTATTCCCCCCTTTTCCTTGTTATTGCTCATGTAGGCAAAGAAGGAAACTGAAACAAGTGCTCCAAGGCTTATAACCGACATATATATGGAAAATTGTAAAAGGTCTGGTCATGATCAGCATGGCAAGATTCAAGATGTGGTTTACAAGAACATTCCTTTTTTTAGTTTTAAGAGCAGTAACAATTCATCTGTGTTCGAATACGCAGAAAAAGGCGAAAAATTCACGGTCATTTATTGTGTTTTGATTTCATATGTAATGGCGTTGTTTTCATCACAGTGTTTGCTACAAGTTACTTTGAAACTTACAAAACTGTGAACACCAGAAATATTTATGGAACGTTATTATGTTGCGAGAAATGAGCCAGTAAGGCGCGAGATAACTAAACCGCAAACAGCCACGGTAATTAGTTTGTAGCAGGGATGTCACTAAGATTTCAAGTTACCGGGTAAATACAACAGGTTGGCGGGGAATAAAACAACCAGGGATTTCTTTCAGTGCTATGTTTCTTCTATTTTCCTATGAAAGTAGCTGGAGGCAACATTCATGGTAGATAGTAGCCGGGGGAAATCCCCGGCCCCCTTTTTAATGACAGCCCTGTTTGTGGTTTGAGGTTTGCTTGCGTACCCTGAACTCTATTATAATTGGCCAGTACACAATCAACATTCCTAAAATTTGCAGGTGTTCACAGTTTTCTGAGTTTGACAGTAACAGTTTTTGACTCGCAAAAAAAACCCACAAACTTCCGAAAGAAGTGATCCCTGCATTATGCTAATTCTGAGAGTACTTTCCGAGTTATATGGTTTGTGCATGACTTATGTTACTTTCATATGCATAGAATCACTGAAAAAAAAAAACAAGATTGCGGTGAATCTCTACACCCTCTTAATAAACAGTATCATGTTTTCTTTCTCTCCATTTCCTTTTAGGTGGCGGCTGGTATGAACACTGTCTTGGATGTGGAAATATTTGCTGTAGCAGTGGGGGTAGTAGGAGAGAGTGGAATGGGCCACGTAGGACATCACATTGAGATTGGCACCGAGACTGACATTCTGTACCTTCCAGTTACTGCAAATATCCTTTTAGTATAGACATCTCTGTTATTGTAAGGCACGGGTCCTATTACTGTTGACACAAATGATTCCCGTTCTCAAAGGTGAGGCAAGGATTGTGGAGTAGGTTAGCAGTTGAGCCTGCAAGCTGACTGGCTCTCGCCCCTCAATATTAAGGCACTAGTTTGATTCTCGGTTCTGACATTTCTATCGGTTCTTTGCCCTGCTTCGAGGGTTTCTGGATTTACTTCCTTTACAAAAAAGTAACATCTCCGATTTGGTCGGGGGGGTTGTTTTACCCTCATAAAACAGAAATCACTTGAAACTACCCCTTGAGGAGGAGCTGGAATTTTCTACGTGGGTTTGCCATGCAGGCCTACACGGATTTCCCAGTGAAACCTATTTTACTTCAGTGGAGAGCATCATTTGCTAAAAAACCCACCAAAGAAAAAGGAAAGCACGTTAACACCATTCTTGTCACAGCAATCTTTGCAGCAAAAACTGTATGAAGAAACGGAGGCCTGGGTCCGTTTCTCGAAAGTCCCGGTAACTTGTTTTATGCTGATGAAATTTTCAATAATTTTGAAAATGATACAATGAAACTATCAGTTAGGGAAGCAAAATTGATTGGTTTGTGAGCGAGAACCTGAGCTACGATTCAGTAGGTTTTGCTTTGAAATGAAACTACCAGTTATTCAGGAAGCTGAATTGATCGGTTTGTGAGCTAGAAACTGTGCTACTATTCAACAGATTTTACTTTTAAAATTTGCCTTCGGGCCCTAAAAGTGACCTGGCCTTTCGAGAAACGGGCCCCCTGGAACGAAAACCGACGAAATTGCTTCAGTATTCTCCAGTCCCATTCCGGACATTTTTTTAGCACCTTTTTAAATTCAGTTGATTGGTAGCCTGTCCTTAACTCAAATTACCCATCATGACTGTGTACGAATACGAGGCCCGCTACGGCGACTCCGAGGAGGGACTGGGACAAGGCACAAAGAGAGTTCCTAACAGGCCTCCATCCAGAGATCCCACAAGGCCGCGTAAAGAAGCAGATTATGCTTTGTTAAACGAGTCCCTTTAATTTATGCAGGTGTGCATGCAGCAGTGTGTTTGATTTCGTAATCTCTTCTCCTTGTTAAGACACGTAATGAATTCCAACTGTAGGTGGCAAATAGATTTATTCCGCAACGGAATTTTCTCGCCTGTAAAAATGTTATTAAAGTGTACATATTTGTATGAGATGAGTCGTCGTCTTAACTGCAATTTGCTTAGAAGAGGATCTTTAAAGGTGGACTTCAGCATCTGCATACATATGCCTACTCACATACTGTCTGGCAAACGTAGTGCGGGTTAGAAAATCAAATCAATAACCTCTTGTGGCGGTTACTGTCACAAGTAAGAGATTGTCCCGAAAAAGAACTGAAATTTGAAGGGTATACAGCAAAGGGCTTACCTTCCATCATATAAGCAATGCAGACGTATTTTTTGGTTGTTACATGAACACGAAATGGGCCCTTATATGACAATGGGCACCTTGGGAACTATGGAGCAGCCTGAGCATTAGGCTTTTCTGAGGGGAAAGGGGACAAAGGAACGAAACTCTCTCCTCCCCATCGTGTTTATGAATTCTCCCTCCTTTCGCATGGGAAAATTAGGATACAGTCGAACCTCCTGTATGCGACCACCTAAAATACAATATTTACTAGTTACTGACAAGATTCGAACCACTGGGGTCTCTTCCAAGAAGACCGAACAGATCTACTTTTTGAAAGGGAATGTATTGCAGCAATTTCCGTAAAGTTACGATTTATTCACTAAACGTTCTTCGAATAATCCGAGTACCATGACACAAAGAGAGATCAGTTGTCGCGGTCGTTTAGGTGTTCCAACAACAAGGCTTTTAGTGGCAAAATGAAGTTATGGATAGGTGGTCGCACATGGACGTTTGAGTGTACTCGGATTAACTTTGAAGCAAACTGCGGTTGCAGAGGATACTGTCGCTATGCTTGCGTCGCAGCTAGGATTATTTGATAGGGCTTCGGTATCAAGTCCCAATTCAGGCGCGGATCTAGGATACATACTGACCGATTTCCTGAACGAGGGCCGAAGGCGCAACATTCGACGGGGGTTTCGGGGCATGCTCGCCCAGAAAATTTCCTGGGTGTCTCAATCTTTCAGACGGGATATTAGCCAATTCCATTCTCCTCTGATAAAGCCTTGCAAATCGGGGGATTATTTCATCTCTCGATTTCAACTTGGTACGTTTCTTTATATCAAAAGATATTTATTACGAAAACTCTGACCGACTTCCGTCGAACGGTGGAAACCACTGTAGATCCGCGAATTGATTAGTGTTTTGATTGCTTTCTCACATAGCACCAGAAAGACGTTGCCACAAAGACCATTTTTGAAACTTTTATTATTTCTTGTATCGTTTATATTAATTTTTCTGTAAAAATATCTGAAATCAATATATTAATCTGAAATGATTTTGCTGCTTATTCAGAGCAAGCATTAACATGACTGAGTAAATACACGTATAATTTGTTTCCACGCACGCAAAGGTTAAGTCTAAGAACCCGACTCAACGATAGATAAGACCTGGGACAGGTTTTGTAATCTGGTTGCCTAGCTAATGCATTCAATATCTACTGCTAGATGTTCTTATATGACGCTCGACTGGAACCCTCGCACTCGTCAGTGAAACGAGGCATTCTAGCTGCAACTAATCTCGGTAGCGCGTGTGCAGTAGTTGCAAATATCACTGCCCAAACAGAAAGCGAATTTTTACCCCCTTGGCTTTCTTGTCCACAGAAGCCATACAAAACAAGATGGCAACAGTGGACATCAAGTTTAAAGAGCGCATGGTGCTTGTTACATTATTTCCCTTTGCACAGTCCGTTTTCTGCCGACGACAAAAAAGAACAGAAGTTTTGCTTATGAACAGAATTTTCCAATCGCCGAGAGCGCCTGGAGATTAGCAACAAGCATTCACACCTCGCATGACGATTCTCACTAGGTACTGTCATAGACTCACTTATAACACACATGCCTAGAATAGTGTGCGCTAAATGGCACAAGGAATTTTTGTTGTTCGGTGAAACCAAAGCACTATAGGACTAATCTGCAGTCGTCCCAAAAGCCCTTTTTCCATGGACTATTGATAGTCTGGAGTAAAGGCATAAATTGTAAACAAAAATAGTAGAGTTCAATATGCAGGAACAGGAACAGTTACGAGAGGGAGACGAGTAGTTATAACACTTTCCGAAATCTTCATATTCTTCTCTTTTAAAGGGCATTTGTTAAACCGCAATTTGATTTTATCGACAGACAGCACACGCATTGACATAAAAAATCACAAAATGGGAATCACTGTGTTCATCGGTACGAGTAGGAATTCTCTGGATAAAAATAACAATAATAATAATTTCGTAATATAATTTGGTATTTTCATTTCGTTTTCTCCCCGTTCAGTAATGGCAGTGAACTTCCAACTTTAATACCTGAAATGAAAAGAGATCGTATATTAGCAAGCGTCAAAAGCATGATAAAAGAGTCAACCCTAAATGTCTAATTTTTGCAGCAAGGGGTACGACTTTCCTCGGTTACAACCACCTTTGGTGGTGGGGGGGGGGGGGGTCCTTCTTTCAAAGGTTTGTTAAGTATCAGTAACACAAATCAAATAAGAGTACTTCTAGTACTCCTCGTACCAGAGGTAACGTATCCTCGCCATTTCTGTAAATTGATAGTCAGTTGCGTCAAGCTTGTTAAATAGGGACCTTACGATCCGAGAACGGCGACGTCCATGAAAACCTGGCTGAAAAATAGATTCCGCATCCTTTCAAACCATTTCGTGATCATCCCAAGTCGCCCAGTTACATAAAAGAAGGGAATTTATGTTAGAGCTGAAGAGAGGGGGCCGCACCCGAGTTCAGACAGAGATGGTAGCATTTATCGCCTTGCTGTTCCAGTCCTCAAATAGCTTTAAATTTGTTTGGTCATTTCACGTCGTAGTCGTGCGGGGACAGCAAAGAAATGTACAGAAAAAGCGTGCTGCACGTGCAGAGGTGTTGTTTTGCAAATCTAAACCTATTGCTTTTTGACGTTGCCGTTGCCCTCGCCGTCGTAGTTTCGTAAGGTCCCTAATTTCCTCAGCATGATGGCCTGCGTGGCAGGCGTTCGAAAGGGAAGGGAAAGGGAATTAGGGCGCGAGACCGCGCGCGAGGGAGGAGGGAGGAGGTTTCCTTTCCTTTCTCCCTCGCGTGCCCAAATTCCCCCTTCCCCTTCCCCTTTTAATGGCAGGCTATCAGCATGAAGACGAGAGTGAGACCAACGTACTTCCCACTCGTAGATGTCAAGTTGGGTTATTGGAAGGTACAGTTAGACTATTAAGGGTCAGTCTTGAAACTTTTGATAAACCGCGTAAGAACAATGTCAAGCAAAATTTGACCTAAATGTCACAGAAGAAGTGGAAATGAGAGCCAGACTTGATTAGTGCGAAGAGCGCTAAAACATGAAGTATACTCTAGAACTTCTGCTAGCTGGCACGTGCTTTACCATCGTGGGACGATGTTTGACATCATCGTGCTTTTGGAAGCCGTTTGAGGGTATTAAGCTAATTAATTATACAAGCATTCGAGAATGGGAGAAAACTTACAGTCTGAAGTAGTTCACTCACAACAGTCTCATATTTCAAACTGAAAACTAACAACGAAAATGTTTCAACGGGATTAGGTTTGATACCTCGGTTTAGCGTGCACAACGATCAGAACAAGTACGAGTACTAGATCTTCACATTCTCGAGCTCAGAATTGACAATACATGTTTAAGCATGCACCGAACTCGAGGAATATAACTGAATGGAACTCGATAGTCTAATGCATGTACCCACGACCTGAGGTCTTCTTCGGTTCAGCAAACCGATGTAAATAAATAAGTTCTCACCGTCCCCCTTCTACCTGCCTGCCCGACGAGAATTCAGAATGCAAGAATACTTAGGCTCAGTTTATAAGGAAAACTGTTGTCCCCGGTCGAGAAGAGTTACTCGCCTACCCAAGCTACCCTGGGCGAGCCAACGTTTCATATATTTCCTTACAAAACATGGCGAACCGATTATTTGAAAAACAAAAAGTTGGCTCGGCTTGAAGGGCGACCCGCCTAAAAGGTTCACCCTTTTTCGATGGTGGGTCACCCTCCAAGCCGGGCCAACTCGGTCAACGCGAAACAATCAGATCATGAGCAAGCGCTGATGTCTCGGGCGAAGCTTCAACTTTTTTCTCATATTAACGTTCGCTTAAGTTGACTTGGGTCATAAAAGGGGCCTTAACTTGACCTCGAACTCGTACATAACGCTGTAACTCTCTCTGCGTTGTTCTGAGTAATTTTTCAGTCTCTAAGTGAAACGAATGCTTCACTTAACTTGTTTCCGAAAGCCAAATTCTGCGCAACCTAACGCTAGCAATTTAACGATCAAACCTTATGGGCAGGCAAATCAAAATTCAAAGAGGAAAATATCCTCCTGTCTTCGCGTGAACTACAGGTAACCACTTCATTCAGGCTTTGGAAAGTCTGCAACAACTCGTTAATGGGAAAGGCAATGTTTACAGGTTCCAAGAAAATGGGGTCTACAAATGCTCTCATGATCATTCGTATGACGTGTGGTGGGAGACATGAACGACCACATTAGGTTTGTCCCTTGGGACATATGAAAACGCTTTGTAGAATGATAATACCAAAGTTGGGCGAACACAATTGTAAGTAAATCACAGTCAACAAATGAAGGAGACTCCCAGACCACGTTTTGGTGAGATAATTTGTCATTCTAACTTTTAACTCTTTAGACGAAATCCTATAGTGTTACCATTCAAATGAAACCTCTTCAGCAGTACTTTCACATGGTACTATTTATTTAGTATGTAGTTCTAACTTTTGCATCTGTGAATGAAATCCTATGATGTTACCATTCAAACGAAACCTCTTCAGCAGTACTTTCACATGGTACTATTTATTTAGTATGTAGTTCTAACTTTTGCATCTGTGAATGAAATCCTACGGTGTTACCATTCAAATAAAATCTCTTTGGCAGAACAATTACCCGGGGTGTTTTCTTCTTCTCTTAAGCGAAAGTTGTTTTTTTTCCTCACTTCTTAGAGGAACTATGTCACGATGATATTGCTGTTTCAGGTCAATTCTATGCATACATACACTGTTTACAGTAGTATCCATAAAGGCTCCTGAGGCAGGATCATGAGGTTATCCCAATATTATTAAGATCCCTCCTTACAGATAACTCACGCAACACAGGAAAGGTTGGCCACCCCACCGGCGTCTACATCCCCTCCTCTTTTCCAACAGGGGTGTGGGTTCTTTTGCGTCTCAAAAGGACCAGATACGTGAAAGTGCTGTGAGACGGGACCTACGGTTTTTTCGTCCTTATCCGAGAAGGCTAGAAAGTCTAACCATTTGCACATGTTATTACAAAGGCAGCACTTTCTTCTCAGTTTTTTAAAGACCCTGAGTGTTGGTCCGGCCGGGGTTTGAACCCGCAACCTCCCGATCAGCAGACCGACGCTCTCTCAAGTGAGCTAAACAGGCGGCGGTATGCTTAGTGCCTTAAATAATAAATACACAAAAATAATTTTAAAATGCTCCTGCAGAGTTGTGAAGAAGATATCAAACAAATTTTACCGAAGAACTCAAACCAACATTTTTTGGGTGATTTTTGCAAGCATAGCACTTGTCCAAATTTTCATCCGTTGCAAGAGACGACAGGAAACAGTGGCAATGCCTATTATTATACAGTCTTAGACACAAAACTGGGCCACAATATTTTTTGGAATTCAATTAATGGCAATACACGTTTTAGCTTTTTAAAAGATAACAAAAAGCATGACACGGCCCCTTTAAAATTCTGAGAAAAAATTTACGTTTTTTCCGTGAATTTTTTATTTTAGCCACTGTTAATAGCAGTGGGAGGAACGGTTAGTAGACAGCTGATTATATAAACGACGGTTAAACGTCTAGCATACGTTTTACAAAAACAATCAGTTGCAAGCCGCTCTGGGTAGGATGGTGGTTAAAAAAGCCGTCACTGTTCTTTCATGTGTACATTATCCGGTTTCGCAGTTAATGTTGATGTTAAAAGGGAAGAAGTTACAGATGTTACTAACATTACAAAACAGCAAATATTATAAGGAGGAAACAAGATAATCCCAAAATTATATCTTTATTGATTACAATCACGTGATGACAACATTAAAATCAAAATCACATCAAATACGTTAGCAAACTACGCATTAAAAGCACCGTTAGTTGCAAGCTTCCCTTCATGAACATGAAAAAGACTAAGAATACCTCACATTAATTCTGATACACAATGAGAGAACAGACAAGGCAGGATTTCTGAATAAATAACACATTGATAAAAATAACAGTTCGAAACTAAAATTTGTTTTTTGCTTTGGACGATTAGTACTGCTCGAAATATCTAATCAAACCAATTACTTTGCTTTACGAAAGCTCTTATCATACGTCCACACAAACCATTACTTTCCATTCAAGAAGAGAGCAAACACCATTGAATTCTACCTCATTAAATCGACATACATTACTTCGTACATGATGCAATTAGCACGGCCCGACTAACAAAATTAGTATCCCTTTCAGCAATAGTTTGTTTTCAAGCAACTGGTAACTTAATGGAGACATCTTGGTCTACATTAGCTTACAGCTCAAGAGACCGTAGGTGTCAGTCGATTGTAACGATGCTTTTCTAGTCACTCGAAACTTTCTTAAATTATTCCGAGTTTCTGATTTGACAAGAAACAAAGTAAAGTAAATTGAGATTCAACTGAGGCCTCCACAAATTTGTTGGTTAAGAAAAATTAAGCAGCCACTAAGGCCTAGGCCAGACGTCGAACTTTTCATGAGACGAACCAAACTTAGTAAGTTAAGTTCATCAAAAGTTCGACGTGTGGCTGAGCTAAGTTCGTCTGAATGAGTTTAGATAGACCAACATGCTATCCGTCAGCTTCAGACGGATAGAACGTCTAATGATCGTCTCCGGGACAAACGTCGATCTGAACCGACATGCGACAAACTAAACCAGTATATTAAAAACTTGTACTGTATCATAATGTATATTTAGCTTCGTTCGGGAGAAAATTTATTACTGGCCGGCTACCTAAAATTGCTTTTTGGACTGATTCATTTGATTGGTTCGACGCGTCCTAAGTTCGTCGTCCGGCCCAACAGACGATCTTCACTTTATTTAGGTCGACTCAAATTAGGGCTTGGTTCGTCTCCGTGAAAAGTTCGACGTTTGGCCAGGGCTTTACTCTACGACCTTAACAGCCTTTGTTTCGAGAGGCTTGCTTTCTAATTTTCAGACATGATTCCATGCATATGCTTCACATAACTTAAGTATAATTTTCGCAATTTCTTAACTTTAGAAAATATAACGCTTCAACATAGAAACTTTTTAAAGACCAGGAAAAAAATAGAATGGCTAGAAGAAGGTTGTTATTGCTGAAAGGGTAGCTTGCCAAAACACCACACATTAAACAACAAAGAACTGATTAATTCAATAATATATTACAGTTATTTTATCAGACTGTCAATAATTCCTTTTCAAACATACAGAAATATATTAAGATCATTTGATACAAAAATCATATGTAATTATGGAAATCAGTGCAACACAATTAGTCCACAACTGATCAGTGGTTCAGGAAATAAAACAAAGGGCGCTTTCAGCTCCAGGCTTTTTAAAATCTAGCCTAGTGGTTAATCAGCCTTCTGTAGAGTTAGTGTTACCCATTGTCAGTCTAGTGGAAAAGAGAAGTTACCGGTTAGTAAAATTATATTATATATATGTGGCATGCAGCAAGGGTAGTGCATTCACAATTGTTGTAAATTTATAGTAGGGATATATAGCACTGGGCAGCTTTACCAAGCAAGTTAAAACTAAACAGAAAAGACTCAGAAAGTAGTCAACCATAAAGTGACAGCCATTATTCTAGCAAGTTGCTGACAAACCACAAGCACTTACAGTGTACAGCAATACTCTGCAGGGATTATTAAATGGTCCAAAGTAATATTAGTTTGAAGGAATATTAGTCAGAAAACTTAAAACCTATAGTTTTCCAACAAATGGGAATAAAAAAAGGTCCTTAAAATTTGCTGTTAGCTTGAAAAATCCAGGAGTCTACAATTCATGTTGGAGTTCTGTCTGATTAAGATTTCAAAATACAATGTACCTTGTGAGCAAGAGATTGTGAGTCAGAGAATCAGTATGTTGTTTCCCTAAAAAATAAAGATAATATTATCACCAGGTTCCCTTTCTACTCACCTTCATCTTTGGTAGGGATGTTCTCTGACAGGTCTCCTTGGTTTTACTGCACCTAAAACGTCGAAACACACATCAATTTGGCCGTCACTCAGATATCAAGTTGCCAGGTACATTTTACAATTAGTAGGAAGGGAATGAAAACGTTTGAAGCTTCTTTAGATTCTAACTGTATTTTCATTTTCTTTCCTACGAAAGTAGTTAGGGGTCTGGGCCGGGTTGTTCAAAGCCGGGTTAAGATAACCCAGGGTTAGTGCACAATAATTTTGAATTCAGATTTGAAAGCTTAAAAAGTAAATTCAGTTTTATTCTTTCCGTCAATGGGTTAATGATTGCATACTCTTACGAATAACAGAGAAAATTATCCGTGAAAATGCTTTTGAAGAAACAAAAAACATTAAACATTTCAGAGACAAAGATACATAATCAGTTTTAAAAGATTGTCTTGCTGTTGGTTTTACATTCACTTAGGAGTTAATTTGGTCTAGAAATCAGTAGGTAAAGTTAAAACAAACAAACAAAAAGTCTTAAAGATTAAAGTTAAACTCACCAAGAATGGATGGTTCTAACCCATAGTCGAAAATAGTTCCTCTGGCACCATACGCCGTGAAATCCAACCCAGCGAAGCCAGCAGGGTAAGCACTAGGAACTGAAACATTATACAACAACAGTTAATTTAGCTTTCTATAAATGAGCTCCAATTACACCTGTAATGCCCCAATTCAACAAGTGACACCTCCCTTAAATGCAATATTCAAAGACAGCACTGCTGAACTTCCATAAGTGGCCAATTAATGGCGGTTGACTGCTCAATTTATTGTTTTCACTGCGACCATAATACACATTGTTTACCTCCAACATTTTGCATAACCATTGTTTCCTATTTATCCTGGGCATTACAGTTGTCCCAAGAGAAACCGAAGACAATGGTGATGCAAAATTTGGGGGTGTAAACAAGGTCAGGGTGCAAAGAAAATCATTTTTACAGCTTGCCATTCGGGCAAGCTGAAGCTAGCATTTATTAGCCCACACGTCATTTCAACTAGGCCCAAAAACTTTTTGACTAGCAGAATTGATTTCACAATTCTTCTGTTATTTGAATTCCTAAAAAAAACATCACTTGCCCATCGGACAAGTGAAAAACAGAATTCACTAGCCCAATAGCAAAATCCAGTAGCCCCGGGCTATCAGACTCTACTTTCTTTGCACACTGAAGGTGCATTATGGTCTTAGTGAAAATGGTCAATAGAATATCTTTGCATATTATTAGCATTAAAACTTAAGCAGAAACATCACTTTATTTTGAAACAAACACAAGATGGGTACGACATAACTGGTCCAGAATCAGTGGTCACCAATCTCAAACTGTGTTTTCCTCCATCACGTTTTAAAGATAAAGCCAAACCAAGTACATAACATATAAAATATTAATAAAGACAGTATTGATTGTGACATAGGTAAGGATGATGACTGAGTTTTTTCTACATGATATCATCCACACTGTCACCGGGCTATCTAAGTATCACTGAAAGAAACTGCTTGCCTCTGCAAGTCCCAGACATTGGTCTAGTGCAATCCTATAATCTTGTGCGCCCGAATTTAAACTTAACAGTTAATTCTTGTCGGTTTGAACTTTATTGGGACCCAATCATCCTCATTCAACTTGACAACTGACCGGGAGATGAATTTGTGGGGACTGAATCCAAGTTCAAAACAGAGAAAGAAAAATTTTGTCATGGAGTATTTAAGTCCCCTAAAAGTGTCGCATAACGAAGTTTCATATACATGTAGTATTCATGCAGTAACAGCAAAGAAATGTACCAAAAGGGTGTGATACATGTTTTATAGTTGTTTTGCATCACAGCTGTTTTATCTCCCAATGTAAAATGGTTAAGAGTACTTTGAAGAACTAACACCATGAGATGTGAACCCTGCAATTATGAGCCTTACCTGCAGGTCGGGGGGCGAATGAATATCCAGCTAATGCAGGTGTAATAGGCATTCCCAGGAGACCATTATGTAGAACAGCAGCACCACCTAAGCAAAGAAAAAAAAGATGAAGCTGTCAAGGGAAAAAGCTCACAGCAGCGTTAAAACCTTGCTCAAAAACCTTATCTTTCCAAATCTATAGTCTGCACCACAGACAAAACTAAACCTCTTGTTAAGTCCATCTGTGAAACAGCTCCAAAACTGTGTCCTGGGTCCCCACCTGCTTAACAGACACCACTGTTAGATAACATCTGAGCTGTTAGTTACAACATTGAGGCTGGGTGCTTTTAAAATTTTCCTGCCTATTAGGGTTCGTGTTTGTCTGAGGTGGGTGCTTAATAGTAATGGGAATCGGCTGAGATGTTATCATTGATCATCGGAAAACAATCGCATTGACCCAACCGATCGATCATCAAATATAATCAAAAAATCTATTGATAAAAAACTAAGCCGTCATGTTTGTTGTGGACAACATGAAAATGAGATGAGGAGAGGACCCTGGGAACCAACTTGAGTTTCACTTCGATCTTTGCAAGCTGTTTTTTCCGTATGAAATACGCACTATCAAATGTGAACAAAATGCAAAACCTGGCCTGGCCCGAGCGTGTTTCGCCGAGTTTTGGAAAACAATAAAAATGTATGAAATGTAGGAGAAAGAGGTATTCAGTGGCAGCTGCTGTTACAAGTCCTTTAGAATGTGCATACAACACACAATTTTTGTAAAGTTTTTATTTGTCATCAATAATTTCTTTTCATTTGTCCGCGATAATTGATTGTCATCATCTATAATTGATTGTCGCATTGCTTTAAGATTTTCGATCAATGATCGATTATAATCAATGATCAGCACACCACTAGTGCTTAATCTAATAAATATGGTAAATACACATGTATATAAAGAAAAAATAATCCTTTTATAGCTGCAAGATTGCTCTTCGTCCACCTTATTCCCGACTGAACTAGAGAGAGTACAGTAAGAAAAACTTCCTGGAATGTTGGATGTTCACTGTGACACAGTTGCTAAGTCACAGCCTTGCCAAAAAAATACAACAAATTGAAGTGTGCACAATACCACAGAAAGCAAAACTGTGATTATAGTGAATAATGAAAGAGAAACCTTGTCCTGCTTGACACATCTCAGTTGATGCAGATGCCTGTCAGCGCTGATACATACCCTCATCCAAGCTGACACATACATGTACATGCATCTGCTCCGTGTCTGCCATGTTTGCTTAGTTCATTGTACCTTTTATCATAGGGAAATCAACAAATACAAACTCTAACCTGCTTGTTCTCTAAGAGTTCCATTCATCAAAGCCAAATCTTTCAGTTGTTTCTTTTTTAATTCATCTTCACCTTCATCCTAGGATAACAAAAACAGCCACATATGAAGTAGATTGTACTTTTTTTCTGGCCCTTTAGGACACTTAAAGGAGATGCACATGTCACGAAATTCAGCCAAATCAGGAAATTACAAAATGCCCGTTAAATTAAGATAAAAATAAAAATAACCGCTTAAAACTTTAAAGGAAGGTTAAAATAACGTAACAGAAACAACAGATGTCACGGATGGGGAAAACGGATTGAAATTACAATTTTTGAAAACTGTTCAGCCTAACAGTTTTTCAAAGTTGATCCCTGCTGCTAGCAACTTCAAAAATAATGCTCAAGAGACATATTTTTTTGTCTTGGATCTCTGATTTTGTCATTTACATGTAATTTCTTTGCTTACTTTAAGTTCCATAGTGATTGAGGATGCGTAATTGGCAAAATTAAACAAAATGAACTGGACTGCCGTGACACAGCCCCTTTAAGGACAATGCAAATCTAAAAATAGGCAACACTGTGTTGTACCTACTGGATTGCATTTCTTTTTGCTTTCTACATTAATATTTGTCACTCCAATTTGCACTTTAGCCCATAGCCCCAATATCCACATACAAATTCTCCACACTGATATTCATACATTTCCTTCGAGATAAGTTGAGAGAGTTTAATAAAAGATCAAAGCATTTTCTTTTTGAAGATCATTTGATTAATTCTCGTAACCATTTCTCTTGACAACATATGGACATTGTTAGGAGAAAATTGATGTTGGTCAAGAAGACAAGGATGTAAAGGCATCTGTGTAAGATCCCCTTCCCCAAAAGAAGATCCCTAAGTTCTCTAGTGTAGCTATTATTTTGACACCTTTACATAAATGTAGGTGTATGGGTGTGAACACAAATTAAGCCAGAACTGATTTTTACAAATACAAGAAAAGTACTACACCCGATGACTGCCAACTTCCCGCAGTATTATTTTAATCAACAGTGAGTATTCATTACTTCTCTCTTAACTTCTCTCCAGATGAGCCAGCGAATGGATATGCCCAGTGGAGAAGATATCCTCCGGTGTGACAATTCAATGGACCTCTTTCATAGTACCCTCACAGAGTTCTGTGTTTTTCAGTACAATAGGGAGTTAAAACCAAAGAGAGAAAAAGAAAATTTATCATCTTACCACAGGTTGAAGAAGATCCTTAACTTTCTCCACAGCTTTTGACAGCCTTAACTTAGCTCTATCTTCTGTATCATCCACTGATATCAACACATGTAGATCTTCTTCTAAGTGTTCATAGTTTGGTTGGCCTTTCTTTTCTTCTTCCTGCAAAACAAAGGACATGTGGAAATTGTTATGGACACAGTGGTATCTGCCCTGAAAATGCCGCATAATTTTAGTTTTCTTATTGCACCACCACCCGGGTAGCTCAATTGGATAAGTGCCAGTCTTTCAAGCGCGAGGCCGCTGGTTCAAACCCCGCTGGACCAGGGCATTGTAAGTAACTGAGGAGAAAGTGCTGCCTACAAATGGTTAGACTTTCTAGTCTTCTCGGATAAGGAGAGTCCTTGGCCCCATCCCACAATCCTTGCACATGTAAATCCTGTACAGGACTTTAAAGAACCCACACAGTTCTCAATGTGGTGGTCTACACTGTATCTCTCAGGGCAGGGACTGTTACCGGCCCACGGTAACAGGGTTCTCAATAGATTTTTAAGTAGGAGGTGATCACTGATAAAGTAGGAGGCTCTTCAGCAAAGCCAGAGGTGTCAAAACAAAGCAAAGAAAAGCGACCTAAACACAAAGTAAGCGGCTATAAATCCCAAAGTAAGCGCCGATCAATCGCCGGGTGCTGCCTTCTATTGAGAACCCTGAGTAATAAAAAAGTAGTGCCATGCGTTGTTGCAGTGACCAAGCAAGAATTCGGGTAAGTATTACCCAAACAGAAGGACTGACCCGTTGTCATATTAAAATACTGACTAAATACTTTCAGTCATGATTAAATAATTGACTAACCAATTTTTTGTCCTTCATTGATCCTTTCCCACGAACTAAAAGTTTACAACCTGTCGTCGTTTCTACTTCTCTTAGCGTCATGCCTCTGGGACCAATTACTCTACCAACAAAATTAAACTGAAACAAAATTTAAACAAATTAATGTACATGTACATGTAGATGGTAAATTTCTTACAGACCCATACTCACAGGGTTTGTATTTTTTGCATTCCTTTCTCCACTCGTAAATAACTTAGAGGAGAATGGAAAGGAAGAGAATTCTGTACATGGGTGGTTTTGGGTTTTGACTGGATCCTGATTATACAAAGATGTTTGCTAACAAGCTTACAAAAAATATGAAGATTGGTTTAATTTATTCAGATACCTCAAAAATAGTGTTACGAGCTCGGCAGTGACAGTAACTGTGCTCACATTGTGGGTGGCTCCTCTTAAAAATTAATGTTCTACGATTGGTATAGGATTTCATGGAGCTGAAACCAATTGAGGAATTACACACATTTTAGGCATCCTACTGATGAATAGTTACGACTTTTGGATATTAATTTTTGAGCAACAACTTGCTGTCAAACTCAACCTACTTTTGAAATTTGCCGTCCGTCCTCTTTGAATTTATATTTTTCAATTCAATACACCATTCAATAAACTGGTCTTTTCAATTTCATCTTATGGTAATACTGTAGTGACATTTGCGCACTCTGAATCTTGGCAAGAAGATTCTAGCTGATAGTCATTAAGTCACTGAACCATAACTGTCAAGTTAAAACTTTGCCTGTCCCTGCCGGGTCAACCTTTGCAGTCTAATTCAAAATCATTGGTGCTATGCAGATTACAGCTAGCACATTGTTTTTGATGCACATTCTGCAAGTTGTTAATGCTTTCTGTGACAATACTGTACATGTAGCTTTGATATTGTCCCCCTCATTTAACTGATCTAATTATGAAGACATCCACCAGAGAGAGAGAGAGAGCAATTGAGTGGCACATATTGAGCCACCACCTACAATTTTTTACTACCTTATCAAATTAGAGACAGCTAAAAAAGACTAAAAACAGTCCACACCAAAGCAAACGGAATCCAGTGTCTATTTTTAGCTTTGGCTTAGTGCAAATTAGTCCGCATGCAACATTGGGTTATTCCAGAAAAAATCCACACCTCCACGACGGAAGGAATGGTGGAAAATCTCATGGGTGGGGGGGTTATGGCGCTGGAAATTCAGATGGGTGGGGGGCTCTGAACCAAAAGATAAGTTTTGATCGCTTCAATCAATAAGTTTTTGTAATCTTAACTTTTGCAACAAACAGAATTCACCGAAAATAGAGACTTATTTAATAAAAAGATTGCCTAAGTGCCTAACATAATTCTTCTACATTGAGTGCAAATTAAAATCACGGTGTCTAACAATTTTATGGAAATCCAGATCGGTGGGAAGTGGGGGGGTGGCGGGGGGGGGGCTAAAGCAATTTTGAAAAATTAAGGTGGAAGGAGGGGGGGGTCAAAGAACTGTGCCTTCCGTCAAGGGTGTGTAGAGTCTTCTGGAATAACTCATTCTTACTTGTATGCTATTGTTGGTGTGGTTATAACATTGGTACATACTGTAAATATGCAATAGTACCTTAGGATACTCTTTTACAGGAGCATAAACTTTTTCTGCCAATTTCACTCTTGGTCCCGATGCACTTGGAAGCTGAAGTTCTGTGAAGCCGCTGTCTGGTTCATTCTTTACAACCCCATGAAACAGCTCATTTCTGACTCTGTTGATTTCTAGTAAAGATGAAAATTGATTTACAGATGTCAGGGTTTAAGAAGCCTACAGGCATTTTCATCAACATGGTATCCATTAATTTATTGGCCTTCTCAGCATTTGTTTATTGTCAAAAGAACTAATATTAATATATCATGTTCACTTTCATAATCTAATTTTGTAACATTGATGCTATGCTCAACAGTAGAAAGCCTTGAGAATAAAAAGTTCTACTATATTATTTTCTTTATTCCATTTTGTTGTATAATTATCTCAATATTGAGATTTTACAAGATTACCTTCAACAACATTTTCCATCTTTTATTAAGGGGCCGGACTGTCACTTTTGGGTAGCTTAATATTTTTCTTTTTACCAAAGAGGATTTTGTCAAGCAAGAACTATTTTTAAGAACATCACGGCAATGAATACACAGCCAGCTCCCTGACACCAATATTCAAAAGGAAGATCTTGAGTTATTTTCACGAACAAAATTTTGATACAATGTATGCTACTGTTTCAGCAATTCAGCCACATTTCCTCTGAGCTTAAGCCACAAAAAAGACACAACACTGAAAATGAACCTGAAATCAGGTTCCAGCTACCAGGGGCAAATAAAATAATATTACATTCTCTTTTCCCTGTGACTGAATATCAGATGTGAATGGAGTGTTGCTGGGATACTGGTGAGCCATTCCCAAAAAATTTATATCCATGGACAAACAAATAACACAGAACATATAAGAAAAACAAAAATACTTCTGTATTAGATTTGAAAAAGTATGTTGTGGTTCAATTTTATTCTTGGCATTAACTTTATTTTCCTTTGTTTCAAACTCATTATCATACACTACCGTACCCAAAAACAGAGGAAAATACAAATGTCAACCAAGGACAAAAGTGAACTACAAGATATATATTTTATTTTAATAGTTTCTGCACAGCAGGATGATTTGCTGCCTTTATCTCCGTGATGCATATGCTATTAAAAATAGATTTGTTCAAGAAAAACGTAACCTAAATCCTTTTGGAGTCCAAGGTCACCCTGGTAACTGGAAATTCTGTGGGAGGCAGCCTTTAAGGACAGGTTTTGCAGAGGAAGGTGTAAAAATAAACTGGTACTAGTGCTACCAGAAGGATTAGGATATAGGTCTCAAAAAATATTTGAATGATGTAAAGGGATACAAATACATTTTTTAAATAATAAATATTGTATTCACTGAAATTTTTCCCAATACCCATGCAGTTTTACTATAATTCTTAATTTATTACAAGGATGTATTTATAGTGTATTTTGGTTCTCATTTCAAAACCTTATAGCAAGCATTTTGAAAGACAATGGCATTGACTCACATCAAATTGAAAAAATTCCTTTGGAAATGGGTTCCAAAAAATTAATGAATTTAAAAATCCTTATAACATATTTTGTATATTATATACTACTCAATGATCAAGCAGCCTTTCTTGTACCTTACATAAAAGCCAAATTATTACCACTACAGTAAGTTCAACATGTACATGTTAATTCCATTTTCTCAGATTAATATATATGCAAATGAGGGACTTCAGTTAAATTCTTCAGTCCCACAACTTAAAATACAGCCTTTCAAAATTAATACAGTAACTATGTACTATTTCAGAAGGAATAAAAAATTGTTGGTTGAGTGAATTGTTGCTTCTTGGGAGTTGGACACAAAGAGAAACGTAATTCACTGTTAAAAGTTTTGAAGAGGAACTAAATTACGTTTACAACCACATCAGATGAGGGTTCTTTTTTACTTACTGCAGATGGCAGGAGCTGGCAGAAGGAATCAAAACCTAAGAGAATTAAGACTGAGCCAGGATGCTGTTTACATCAAACATGGACTTTATTTGGAGAAGCAAAACAAAATTGAATTTCAAAATTATTGGCTTCACTTGTTACAAAGAAATCAAATTACCCTGAGAATTCAGAGACGGGTCGAATGATTTAGCTGTTGAGGGCTAAAAATAAATAAACACTTGGATATTTGTTGGCAGTAAGCAGAAGGGCAGGAAAAGAAGTTGTCAAATCTCATGTGTTTTCCTGGAACTTGTTTTGACAGATTGATATGAGACATGTCAGATCCTTTTTCTGTGACTGAGAGCAATGTGACACAAATATCCTGTGCTAGCCAGCACAGATCAATTTCTTCTCAATTTCAAAGTCCACTTAATCACAAGGAGGAAGCCACAACAAATTAAAACGCCTCACCACAAATTCAATATCTTTGCCTGTGGATCTGTGGTCAGACAGCCGATTTCTAAATTATACTTTCGGTTCATCGGTCACCCGATCTGTTTGGCTAAATAACGACACGTTAATAAGAGCATCTGGCTCTTATCAAGAAAACGATAATCATCCCACATTCCTGTAAGTGAATTCCTTACAAGTCATCAAATCGTTGTACAAATTGGATACGAAAGGAAGGCCTCATTTACGAATATGTTAGCTTTGACCCAAAGCACTCAATTATGACTTGATAATTCCCGGTCGTTTGATTTCTCCGTTGGGACACTCGTGATCAATAATTCCGGACACAATCAGGTCAAATTTTTCACCGTGATTTTCAAAAAACTGAGTTCAAAGGAGATTGAATTACAAGCGTGACGATTTTACTTCATCAAGAACATGTAATTTCACGGACCGTCAAGCGTTTCAAGCACTGAAACGCAGTTAACAAAAGACTTTCCAGGTTTAAGTCAAATGTTTTTATTTTGTTTACATCCAAGAACAAAAACAAAACGAAGTCGGCGACGAAAAGTAACAACCGTGAAATTTACAGCAAGTACTTTCCACACGTAGGCTAAGGTTGAACGAAGCTAAGGGGTCCAACTCACGGGACTGCACTGCCCTCTTATTTAGTTTAAGCTCAATAAATGCACTACGATTTATTGTGATTACAGAACTAAACAATGACAACAAAAGTATTTCAAAACTGCGTTGCATAACGGCTTTCCACAAGGCGGATAAAATATTCAAATGTCCCACTGAGTCAAAAGAAATCTTGTTCAATGGAATTGAACGCGGGGCAATGAAACAGAAAATCACAACAAAACACTCATAATGCTTACAACAGAAATAACCCAAATAGCCCATTTAAACATTGAAGTCTAGGATACATATATATATTCCCAAAGAATCTTTTAAATGATACCATATGAATCACAAGGAAACGAATAGCAATGAGGAACACATTTATAACAAAAAACGCGCTGGCAACAGCGTTGATCGGGGCAATGGTCTTTTCTATGATCTATGCGATGCAAAGAAAAAAATAGATAACAGAGTATAAGCAAAATGTCATATACATAAAACAAACCTCAAGATGATTTCTTGTAATCCCTGGTGTCTCACAGATGCTAAACTAAAATAAAATCGCTGTACCGTAAACACAGGACATGGTGTCCGGATGTCGGTCAAACAAATAGAAGGTTCGTCCACGTTAGCTCGCACTGTCGTTCGATTACGGGTTTTTTGCTGACAGATTTTAAGCTTAACTCGTGTTAGAACAAACTCAACCTCTGAAAATAATTAGATATTACCTAGCATAGTTATATTTCTCTCTGCTGGTGATTATTTATGTTCATTTACCGATTATTATTTAACATAAACTGCCGTTATTATTACATTAAATTTGGAGTTAACGCGCAGCAACAAACACACAGTACCTTGATCCAGCAGCCGTTCGGCGTGAAGAAAAATCTTGGGCATTTTCGATACTGTTGTTTTGTCGCTCAGTAGTTCGTTAAGGTATTCAGAAGAGGCGACAGAACAAGACATTGTTGCTGTTATGGGTTAGTAGAACGTAAAAAGAAACATGTAATAAAAGCAATAGGCACCACGATGCGTCCTTCTACGACTGATCAGGTCTTGTGATGATCGACATGTGCAACCAACAGGATCTCGGTCAGGGGACTGAGACGAGACACCCGACCATTGAAGCGAGTCCATTGAGCCTGTGTTGTGTTTATACTGCGGTAACCCATCATAATTCAAGATGGCGGCGGCATCAAGCTCTTCAACCGATGAAGTCGACGAGTTATTTTCGCGGTTTATGTCCGAGGTACGAGCAATTTATTCTGTCTTACTTGATTTTAATAATTAGTGCTTTTTGTCGGACTTTTTTGGAACTTGCGTGCGTTCCGTAATAGCTTACGTAATGCGGCTTTTAAAATTTTCAAAAAGCTTATTAAAGCTAATTTGAAATCAGTTAAGCTGAAGCTTGCATGTTTTTTTGTAAAAGATTGATCACATGTATAAGCTAAGTTTCTTTTTAGAATCAGGGACCTGGAACTGTGATTGTTTTAAAACAGCGGCATGCCTGTGTAAAACAGCTTTCAGTGTTTTTAGTCTTCAAAGGAAACTGTACTGCCGGGAGTAATTAAGCTTATAATTAAATGAAAGCGTAAATTAAAATTCTCTGTTTTTTAAAACGACCATAATGTAATGATGTAATGCCACACAATCATGTTTTGATAATCAGAGATATAAGTTGTGGGAACCTCGCACTATTTGCACAGTCATGATACTTTAAGTGTTGTCCAGAACTTTTTTACAAGATTCTTTTAATGCACTCAGAATATCTAGCTAGCTATTTTGTACAATTCTTGTTTTCATGTAAATCCTTATATATAAATAGTTTCGAACAAACGGAATGTAAGAGCATTAGTTTTGATGACCCGCAAAATTTCTCATAGCTATTAATTTACGTTGAGGGTACAAGATGTGCATCATGTATTGATAGCATGTTTTATACGTAGCAAAGTGTAACATTTTAGTTTATGGGATTATCTATATCAAAAGACACCTTATTCCTAACTGGTGGCAAATGCAACTACAGTAACTGTAGACTACGAGTAATCCCCACTTTTCCTCCGGAATAGAAGAGCGAGCAAAACACGAGTGCACTTGAAAATCACCCCATGCGAGAAAGGCGAGATGCGGCGGTGAGGGAGAAACATGACGGACTACATACAAAGCCCAATTCAGCTTTTGACCTTATGCGTTGCTCTCACAACGCAAAACTCTGATTGGCTCTTCCATGGAAATCTGTCAGCATCCATCAAAAATGTGCCAATCCAGCAACTGATGAGGTTCGCACGGAGAATTGAAACCATGGTCTTGCCTGATCACAAGTGGCAATAACAGAACAGTTGTAAGGCTGTTAAGCTTATCAGGGTGCTTATTCAGGCAAGGGAGGATCTATGTGCTCCAGTCTAAAGGCTCACATTATCTGTAGAGAAACAGGCAGGAGTTAAAATTCATTGCTTTGAGACCAATCATGACTGAGTCACATCGCAATTCCCCATAGTTAATGTAGCTTCAGTTTAAGCAGCAATCTATTCTTTGAGATTTGGATCTGTAAATCGGTATCCGTGAGAATTTAACATCCTGCTAAAAATGCTAATGAGCTGGGCCGAGTGTGACAAAACATTACAGGAAACCGTCACATTCATGGACAAAAAGAAAATCACTTATAATTATTTAGATCCAGGAGGCATTTTGCTGGAGAAATTTAACAACCTAAAACGCTCATTTAGCTGCATTGAACAGCTTTACTTTTCAAAAGAGGTCAAATAAAATGCTCTTGCATCAGAGAGCAAATCATGCCGACCTTAAAAACAATAACCACAGAAAATTATTATGAATGTCTGTTATACATGGCAAAAATCACATTTGCTCAGTCAAAACGTTTTCCTTCAGAGCATAATATACCCATCGGAGAAACAAAAATTCATTGGAACAAGCAGCACTTTGGCCTTTTACACTATCAAGGTCTTTAAGCGAAACAGCTTCAAAGAAAATTAGTATCTGGGTTTTCTTTTACTTGCAATGAAATAATATCCCCCACAGTTTACCAATGACAAGAGCAATGACAGCTAAATGAGAGAAGGAATCCCATTGGATGTGCTTAATTGATTTGAAAGAGGATACGAACTTCACACTTCAAAATCAGTTGGCCGTGAAGGGTCAAGAGCTTGGGCTTTGTCTGTAGTCCCTCATTTTCTCTCTCCCCACCACATCTTGCCTTTCTCACGTAGGGTGATTTTCACACGTGCTCACATTTTGCTCGTCTACTATCCCTGAGGAAAAATGGGGACTACTCAGTAGTCTATAGTAACTGGGGCCACCTAGACAAAGTTGACCAATCAGATTATGGGAAAATAACAATACTTGCCAAGAAAGTTGGTTGTAGGCCAATCAGCAGCTTGTAAGAAGTAAGGAAGTAAAAAAGTAAGTAACTTTATTTAGCCAGGGTAGCCCATTCAGCAACGAGACCGGTATCCATAGGGACCATGAGAAATAAAGAATAAGATGTATACAATTTAAAAATTACTGAGTTTAATGTCAATTATGTACATGATAAAAATCAACAATAATACTATAAAAATCCAGCTAAGTCAATATAAAAAGTGTGTACTGTAAGAAATAATATTAAAGCTATGCTGTAAGTTAAAATACTTAAGCAATCATCATATTTTTAATTTGCCCATATTACATTTCGGCTTTGGTGGGTGCAGGTTGTTCGTTCTCGTACATGTAGTTGCATGATTGTGCAAATCCGCATTCCTTGTAAAATATTGAGTAAGATACTAATTGGCCACCAGACTACTTAAGCACTTAAAAACTAGAATACATTTGTGCATTTTCCTTCTGGAAGATAGAGTTAACCAGTTAAGCACATGGAAAGTGTCATTTGAGGTGTTCTTCCATAATATAATTAGAGCTGCACGGTTCTGTAGGTGGTGTAACTCTTTTCAACACCCCTCTGAGATTCCCTCATGCAACATCAGTATAGTCAAATAATGGCTGCAAGAGTGAAGTATTTGCCTGCTTAGAAGCTTCCAGCATGAGACATGATTGTACATGAGACAAATACCGTAGCCTCCTGCTGACCTTGCTGCTTACATACTCAACGTGATCTTTCCAAGAAAGGTTCTTATCTAACTCAACACCTAATTAGCTAAATTAGCTACTCTTTCTAAAGTCTTTCTGTATACATGTAATGATTTTCGTCTTGGAAAAAGCCTATTTCATTGCCAACATGTCTGGTCTGGCATGGTCTTGCCAGCCAGTTCTGACTTTGGAAAGCACCCTTAGTATGAAACTTGTGCAGAGGGAAGAGAGTTTTCAAATCATGCCCGGGTTCATACAAGGAGACTGATGAAAAAGGCAAAAAAAAAAAATACTCGCCTGCACTTCCTTCTATTTATTTTTAATACTACATTCCTAATAACTTATTCAAAAAGAAAAAGGAAAGAGAGAAAGGAAGGAAAAGTGGAGGACAGGAAAATAAAGGGAAACGTCAAAACTGCTGTAACACTTTTTAACCCAAAAGACATCTCAAAATTTTGCTTTCTGTGCATATGCAATTTGTTGAAGCTAACATTTGCATCTGGAATGGAAGGCTGCAAAGTGCTTGATCTCTGAATAGTGTTTTGGGTAGTTTTAGCTTTTAATAGCCAGACAATGACTGGAGGTTTTTTCTTTGCAGAGGGGGAGGGTGGGGGGCAAAACTCTCAGGAGCACATTATGGGCTACAGGGGCGGATCCAGGATTTTTTTTAGGAGGGGGTGCGCTCATCTCTTGCTCCACTTCAACACCAATAAACCACATACTTTTTTTTTTTGCAGAATACCAGATGTATTAGAAAACCGCAGGTTATCTCGGGGGAGGGGGGGTGCGCACCCCTTGCACCCTCCCCCTAGATCCGCCCCTGGGGTATTCATAAGACCCCAAGTATTATTCCTGCCCTGGGGATGGAACCTAATCAGTGAAAGATTCCGGCATTCTACTTTTTTACAAAAAGGTCAACTCTGCTGGTTAAAAAAAGCAGAAAAACTAAGTTTCTGCATTCATTTTCGTAGAACAAAATGCAAAATTGTTACCTTTTTTGTTTATCCTTGTCGTTTAGGTTAAAAGTTAAGAAAAGGTACCTTTTTTGAAAAAAAAAGTCAGGTATTTTCAGCTTTCAAGTGATTGATATTTTGAAGGCAATATTGTCCGCTCTTCATCCATTTCTCACTTTACCAAATGATGTTTTAAAGTACAAAAGAGGTACCTTTTTTTTTGGTTTCAAGTGATCTCATGAAAGGCCCAAAAAGGTACCTTTTTTGCAGTTGGAAGCGATGTTCTCAAAAGCGCGAAAAACCTTGGCAGTTGGAAGTGATGTTGTCAAAAGTGGGAAAAAAGTACCTTTATTAAAAGTCTTAAAAAATGTAAAATAGTGTTTTCAAGCCATGGGAAGCCATTTAGAATCCTACTGATTGACAGATGTCAACCGTTTGGTGCCATTTTATGAATTTTTTTGCCTGAATTTACGAATCCACTAGTCAAGAGATAAATATTCCCCGTTTGTTGGCCAAGTTAAAAAAACAATTGCTGAGCTTGACACTGTGACAGTGTCAGGTCGCAGTTTTAAAATCTTTTCCCCGTGCTTGATTTTGGCATGGATGTGAGCCATGTCTTGATCAGTGTCCGAGTGAAGGTGGAAGTATTGTCACTGGTTAAGTGGTTATCAGTGAAGGACAGGTGTCAGTTATAAGTAACCTGAAGAGAAGCCGGGCCAGGCTCTTGTGCATTTAAAATGCTTTTTTTTGTTTCCTCGCTAAAATGCTTTACCTTAATGCTCCAT